TATGTAAGCAGCCTGACTTTGAAGTTCCGGTTAAACCGGTGAATCAGAACCGGCTTTAGCCGGCGCTAGCCAAACCTGCGGCAACACTATAGAGGCGCGTTGTGCGCAAGACACATCTCTCTTCCTACCATCACTCTCCTCATTACCTGTACACTACAATACCCAGCATTCTCCAAGCATTCAAATGAACTTGTATACCACGCACGATGATAATTATGCCACACCATACATTACGTCCCAGGACTCGGAACACCGCCTTACTTCCATGAACTTGAACAACGAGGCTTCCCAGTTAGATTTTGCACCTAGCCAACGTATTGGCGCTTCTCTATACACGGCATATCAGATTGAATCTTCGCATCAATTTCGTCAACCAGCACATTTCGAGTCCCTTCAGCCATTGCCTCGTTTAAACCTTGCATCAAGCAGCAGTGGGACCAGCACTCACAACTCTGTCCCGTCTCTCACCGAAAAACAACAACTCATTCAAAACAGCACCTGTGACTCGTTCCTTCAACTTTATCAGCTCAACGAACTCGCAGCTCAAATCAGCGACTCAAAATTGTGGGAACTACAGTGTCCTGTCAACAACTGCTGGGTGAGAACGGGCATTCGCAGCCACATTAGTTTGACCACTCGAGGGCAATTTATGCCTCTAGAAAAGCATTGTGGATCACGCGCTTGTGGTTCTCGCAAGTCTCTCCAGAAGGAGACTTTGAACAGCTCTCGCGAAACTGTTATCGCTACTTTTCATCCATCGCACACTTTGCACAAAAGGTGGTAAGTCAATCTTTAGTATCATCGTTTTCTGATTCTGATTTGCATACTAGTGACTCAAATCTTACGCTTATCGAAACAGCACCTTCGTGCTCCGGTCTCGCTATGCTTGACTGGCCGTCGCTTCCTGGCATTCCTCCAGAGGCTAATTTCCCCTGGCTACGCACACGAGAAGGCCCCGACAAACTGCTGTTCGATGTCAACCTCATCGACGGTGTTCTATACGCTCGATCGTCTGACTGCACTCGTGATGCAGATAATGAACCTGCTTGCTTCCCTTGTCAACAATTGCTCCCTCGTATTCTCGCTCTCGCTGAACTTGCAAAGGATCGAAGACAGTACACCCGTCATGGCATTCTCACACCTATTCAACTCCTCGACGTTATCAGTGAACGCAACAATAGCCTCAATTCATTCAAGCTGCAGGTATGTTTTTTTGTCTTGACGATCGACTGCAATCGTTGCTCATGTTTCTTATATTAGAGTTTAAACGATGGTCGCAAGATCACTCGCATGCTGTCCCTTCTCGAAGATCATTCTTCACTGGTAATGGCTCTAGCCCAGTGCGACGTCCCATGGCTCCGAAACCTCCTTCAAACTGCATTGAAAAATGGCGCGAGTATTCATACTATTCTCCGATTAATTGAGGATGCACTCGAGCGGGGCTATCGGCCATGGACAAGTGGGAAAGATGCCCAGGATCTCTCACTTCTTATACTGTGTCTCGGAGGACATAACCTCCTCTTTTCTCTCAGCCAGTGTCTCCCTATCCTATCCCTTCGAACTCTACGTCGACATGTCTCATTTGTCAAGATCGCACCAACCGTGGGCAAGATCACACACGATACCATCCGTCACAATATTGAATCTGTTGTAATTGCTCCCCGTGCCGAAGCTGGACTGAACACAATCCGTGGTGTCAGTTTCGTTGTTGACGAGACTGCACTTGAGGAAGCAGCTGTTTATCTCCCGCAGTCTAACAGCATTGGTGGTCTTTGTTGGACCCATTCTCATTGTGTCGACTCTACTCTTAACAACTATCATTCCGCTCTCAATATTGCCGAGGCTCTCAAGGCTGGCGACGTTCATCTTGGGAAGGAAGTTTTGGTCGTCGGTGCACACTTATTCAATGAAGATGGTGTCTATCCTATTCTCGCAGCACCAACGTGCAAGAGTGAAGCGGCCAGTGACATGGAGTTTATTTTCGAGTCCACCATCAAGTCCTGGTATGAGAGCGGAGCTGATACCAAGGTTGGACCAGTGTGGTCCTTTGCCACGGATGGCGACGCAACCAGACGTAAAGCTGGACATAGTGTATTTCTTCGTAATCCCCTTCCCATCACGTCCCCATTGTACGGCACACTCAGCAATCTTCGTGGCCTCAACACTCTAACTGGCGAACATGAAATCACCCTCGACTTCGATTACAAACACGTCATCAAACGTATGTACTAATTTCCACGTCTCTAACAAGTCTCCCTAACATTAATCTTTGCAGGCTTTGGTACAATGTTACGCTCTCGTGCCGGCATGCATCTAAATAACGGACGCTGCATCAATTCAAGCATGCTCGAGCGCTATCTCTCATGGGTTGACGGTGTGGATGAAACTCGGGCAACAAAGCTGTTGTATCCGGACGTTCCTCGTGCAGTCGAGTTGATGAAGGCTGTCATTTCCCTTAGCGAACTAGATCCTACAAAACCACCACACACTCCCGAAGGTACCTTCCCGCATGTTGACACTGTCGCCGACTTTGATGCGATCAAGATACTTGGACATATTCTCCGCAGCCTCGTTGACCCGTTTATCAACATCACACTTTCCCTCACTGAACAAACGATCTTGCTCAGTCGGCTTGCGCACCTGCTTTATGCATGTTACCATAATCAACGCCGCTCGTTCATGCCAAATCAGTTGTTTTACGACACTCAAACGCTTGTGAAAAATGCCGTGTTTTGCATCAAAAAACAACAGAATCTCGATCTGAATGCACCATTCACACTCCTCGACACTGGCGACGACTCCCTCGAGCTTCTATTCATGTTTCTCCGCATGTGTGGCGGGCATAACAGTGCTATAAACTATAAACAATCTCTTGATCGACTTGGTGCCACACGAGACATGGGAGGTGTCTATGCACGCAACCCCGATATCGCTCATGGTCACCACCATCTGAATCTCACATCACGCACTGAATCTGTCGACCATATCAATCGCTCAATGTGGCTGGGCGACATCATTTCTGGACACTGTAATCTGCAGAGCGCGTGGAAGCAGGGCTGCTACGAGGCCGTTGAACTCCTTCATGTCACACAGATTCCCTCATCGGCTTACGATTTCAACACTTACTTCTTCGCTGGTTCAGGAATTGACCTCATGTGCGTGTTTGGAGAGGGTAAGTATCCCAGCATTGACGACGGAGACGATAACGATCGGACGCTCATTGATTTGTTGATGCCAGAACAACAGGTAAGCGTGACTGATCATTCACTTCGAGTCTATGCTAATATGTGATTTTAGCCACGTGTAGAGTCAGACGACACCGAAGACGAACCAGAGCTTGATTTTGAAGAGATGCTTGAGGAAGCGCTTGATCCCACTCTATCGAACGACGTTGAGCCTGAGCCTAGCAACATTGAACCAACTTTGACGACACCTCCAAAAGGCCCCGGTATCCGTCCTGCTGATTATGTTTGGTGCGAGAAGAAATGGGTCCACAAGCAGACAGTTTGTCGGCTCGTTATCACACCTAACTTCACTCCGAAGTCCCAAGCTCGGCTATTTCGTGTTCGTGGATTTACATCAGTCAATAAGAAGTCAGGCGATGACGAGACAACGAACTTCCTGCACGGCGACAATTTCATGACGGGTGACCTGTTCCTAACCCTCATCCGCACCCCAAGCAAAGTCATTGCCCTCGCCCTCGCCCGCACAACCTTGATTTCAGAGAATGGTACATCACACGGACGAATCAAGACTGCGACACTGGCGTCTGCACGCAGCAATGTCAAGGTTACTGGGGAAATCATGATCATGTGCTCTTCGTCTGAGTCTCCTGGCCTGTGGGTCTGGAATGGTGCTTACCTCAAGGCAGCCTCAGCCGTTCCAGGAACCGCCATCACAACTCAGAAGGTTATCGCAATATCTGTTCCCAGTCACCTCCTTGAAATCGCCAACCCTCGTATTGTAGACGCGCTCAAACACTTGACACCAGATCAAGCACGCGAAGTGAACTCAAACGGTTCAACATGGGCAATGACTAACGATTCACTCCATGCTGCAATTAGTCTACTATGGCTGAAAATCGTCGATTCAAAGATCCCGATCAACTCCGTCGTTGCACTCGCCAATGAGAGTTCCAAATTTCCTTACAAGACAGAGAGCAGTACGTGCCACGGCTTGCTTGATGATGCTTCGTTACTTACACATCTTCTACTACTAGGCTTTGATGCACTTCTTTGCGCAGCTGGCACGGAGATGCTAGCCTCAACAGGGCGCAGGAAATCAGTCACTAGTGCTTGCCCATTGTGTGGAGAGGCGACGAAGGACATCCGCTCTCACATGGGTCGTCATATTCTGTGTGCTGTACGAGGGATCGAGGAGAACTTACCCACTCCTGTCAGCGGCTCGTTGCCGTGTGGTTTCTGTGGCTCGTCCGGCAATCCGGATTGTGCAGTCACGCTGAAGGAGACCAATCGGGGGATTAATTGGGAGACGTGGTGCCCTCGCAAAGAGGACTTCCAATATGGCAGTGCCAATAAAGGATCCAACAACCGTCCATGTCGAAATGTGCCGATCGTCTGCAAGCTCTGTGTTCACCCGAACCGCGAGATGGATTGGAAGCCAGCCATCTGGAGGTATAATCTCGAAGCGCATCTGACAGAAGAACACCCGGAGTACGCACATCCAGGAAAGCCCTCTGGTGCCTCCCTTCCGCACGACATGTTTGAATGCATGTTGCTCACTCCCCTTGAAGAGAAACGCCTTGGTGTGCCCACCCGTCCAGCATTCGTACTTACTGTGGAGAAGGAGAACATTGCAGTCAGCGCACGCGCTAAAACCTCGAAGCGCAAAGCAAATGCGCAGACATTTGTTTCTGCTGCTTCATTGTCGAAGAAGTCTCGACTCTCTCAAACTTCATGTTGATTTTGCGTAACCTGTCGTTCTTATTTACGTGCACTACCTCTTACTTCGAACTTGCTCCTACCATTCATTCTCATATCATCGTAACACTCTCGCTTTCATGTCGCACTCCATAGCATTGTAGCGCTTTTCTGGGGTCCTTGGTCTCCGATCATCTCGATCGTTCTGCATTCTTTAGTGACAGAAAATACTAGGTATGTAAGTTTGCGCTGTGACGGGTCACGGTGACACTAGTAGGTGTACCGTCGAAAAATATACATCCTAGTGTCTTGGTTCTTTTCATCGCCCACCTCTTGACCATAATATCGAAAATTATACAGGCCCCACAGACTTCACAAGCTCACAAGCCTACAAGCTGTACAAGCTGTACAGTCTGTGCCTCCTTGTACAAGCCTGTACAACGAGGGCTTAGCTGTAGGCTCTGTGAACTTGTACAGGCTTGTACAGAATTGTACAATCCTGTACAAGCCCCCCCTAGTTTGCTGATGCAGTCAATGGTGCAGGCACTTGTGGACTTCCACTCTTTCAATCAAGGACACTATTATTGAAGCCAAAGCAAGGAAGGGGAAGAAGGGTGTCAAAGAGGATTTTTTCATCCCGAAGCTCGAACTACTGCAAAGCTTTGAGGGTACAATCAAGAAATTGGGCACTTTGACAGGGCCAGGCGCCAACTCAACCGACACACACCCGCCCACAACCGTTTCGATCGCCGGGATTCCGCCCGATCGGGAAGCACGATCGAGATCACGTGACTTCTCGCTGAGGCGAGGTGCGTAAATTTCTGGACATAAGTTGTTCTAATTTCTCCACCAGTTTACTGATGTGACACCCTACCTTCATGCCATCCACGGACACGCGTTAGACAACGGGATCCCTGGATACCAAACCGCGCTTGCACTCACAACTGCAGCTGTAAGTTTTCCGTGATAGGGAAAGCAACCTCGTGATAGGCATGCTATGCAAGAGACACGAAACAGCTTCGCAACACAGCCTTAGTGGAAAGTACCAAGATGTCAAAATATAGTAGCCAGCGCTCCACCGTCATCTTGACTCGAATCCAATGAACCAAACAACTTGCCTCCTGGCCCATTTTTGCCAAAGGTGAAGCCCACCCAGACACCTCGGGCTTCTGGTTCTTCTTTCTCCTTCACCTTCTCCACGTTTCGCTGCTTGTCTTTCACCTCAGCGTACTTCGCCATGTCTTCCGCAGAAGTGAAATCATCATAGTACCCAGTGTCGATCTCTGAGTCAAGAGCAGGCACAAACGGTGCGCGTGTTGAGCGGAGGTCCTCCCATTGCATCCCGTCAAAGAAAGGGTGGCTTGTGACTTGGGTAAGAGTGGAGTATCGAACGCTCGAGTGCGAGATGAGCCTGAACAGGAAACAAGGGGTGTTCAGCGTCGTCAAACAACACGCGGTAGTAAGTCCTATACCTGGTCACGGCATCCCATGCGATATCCGTCAAGTTGAAGATCAAGTCTTCGGGCTTATCATACTCTGGCCTTCTCAGCACCTTCGTCCAGTTCTTCAGGTTTGTCCAAGTCTCCTCTGGCGTGCCGCCGCTAAACGGCGGGAAACCAGCAAGAAATTCAAAGAATATGCAACCTAGCGACCAGTAGTCGACTGAAAAGGTGTATGGCTTCCCTCTTAGGACCTCTGGCGCCATGTAGTCTGGGGAGCCAACTATGGAGTCTGCATACCGTGGGTCTTCAGCACGGATGGATTTGTACATGGAGCGGCGTTCCAGGGTGGAGCGGTAGACGACTTGGACGTCTTTCACTTTATCGAGCTGAGAAATGTTAGGGTGCACAGGATGACATCAGAGTCATGAGTACCTTCAATTTCATCGATTCAATACGCTTGGGATTAAGAGCACCGGTGGCAAGGCCGAAGTCAGTCAGCTTGACGTGGCCAGTGCCGTCCACAAGGAAATTCTGGAAACGCTATCAGTACTACAGAGCCCGCGCATGAGACAAAATTTCACCTCCGGCTTCAAGTCACGATGAATGTAACCAAGCTTGTGAAGCTCGTTGACAGCAACGAACATTTCTGAAATATAAAACCTTGCGTGCTCTTCCTTAAGAACGCCGGAGTTGTTGAGGAGAGTACGAAAATCGCCTCCGGGAACATACTCCATTGCTAAATATACGTGTTGTGCGTCCTGAAAAGCGTAAAGAAGTCTGACAAGCCATGGTGTTTTGGTTGCGGTGAGGATATCGCGCTCCACTAGAACGTGCCGCACCTTGGGAGGCATCAGCCTTCACGCAAATGTGCTAGTGAGATCACAAACCTCGTCCATCTTAAATAATGTACGCTTCTTCATCTTCTTGAGGGCGCATATCTCTCCTGTGTCCTGTTTCCGCGCCAAGAACACTTCGCCATAACCACCCTGCCCAACTTGTGCGATGATATGAAATTGGTCAACCCTCAGCTTTGCTCTACGTTTCCTCAGAATAACCCTCTCTCGCCCGCAATACGACTTGAACTCCTTTGCGTTCTCAGCGGCTGTTAGCTGCCTTTTGGTAGTATCTGCGTCAAAGCGTGCCCTCCTTTCCTTCCTGGATGCGATATATCCAAGGTTCATAAAGTAATAGTCGAGAAAAACTGGCAGGAGGATAGCCGGTGAGATCGCAGAAGTTCCCAAAGTGTAATGCTCACATAGTTGGGCAACGGTGGCCTTGCGCTTGACCTCGGCGCTCTGGAGCAACTCCCTCTCCCAGAGCTGAAACCCACCTGCTTTCACGGTTGTCGCGTTGCGTGCAGTGTCCATTGAAATGTCGTCAGACCATGCGCCGCCGCCAGGCTTTGCTGTACTCATGTGGATGTCCCGAAGTCCCATTGTGATGCCCTTTGCCGTTTCCATATGTATGTCGCGATATTGAGGTGAGTCTGATCGAGATGGCAGGGGAGCCATAGAGCAGATCTCAGTGTATATCCTCTAGAGGTTCTAATCTATGGATCCTGCTATCGATCTTTGTACGATGAAGGGGGTCGGTTGACAACTTGGGCCCACTGTGATTTGGTTCATGCCTCATTTGGATCTCTAGATCGATACGGTCACATGACTGGCGCGTTCTGTTCTGGATTTCCGAAACTACTGTAACATTACCAATATCGCTAATTGACCATGCCTCAAGTTCGCCCTACTCATATTGATCTTGCTTCAATCCTCGCAGAGCCCAACCCTTCTGTCGACCTGCGCCTACATGCATATGAAGCCTCCACATCTAATTTTCTCAGGGCGGTCACCAACTATGCAAACCGCGCAGTGGCAGAGATCACCAAACATAGGAACGCTCAGGAGGCGGACAAGAAGCGCTTGACTGAGAAGACTGCTGCAGTCAAAGCTGAAACTAATCAGTGCAAGGTGAAGGAGATCGAGCTGCTGGCTGGTACGTGGTCGTGCTTGTTGTGATGTAATTGTGCGGTGACGTCTCGCAGTAATGGAAAGGGAAAAAGAAGAGGTCCGAGAAGCTGAGATATCAATTACTGCTCTGAAACGCCAACTTGCATCCATCCGTGAAACTTGCCAGTCCATCGATGCAGAGATAGAGCAGTATCGTGCTCTGAACGCCAATCTAAAACGAGGTAGATACTATCGTTGTAATTTTCTTTCCTATACTTATCAGGCTACTCTCTGCAGAAAAAGACCGAGAGCGACAGACGCTAGAAATGCATGCAGCACAAACAGGGCCTGAATTAAATGCCTGCGAAACCCGTCTGCGTTGTCATATCGAGGGAATAGAGAAAGACCGGCTCCTAATCCGATTTACACACATCGACAAGATTGACATTGATCGCGAGTTTAGCTTCGTGCTCGATGTTGCATCCAGGTCGAATCAAGGTATGCAAGTTAAGGGCCTTTCTCGAAAAGTGGTGCTTATAAGATGCCAACCAACCAGTGATAACAACCACACCACCACTGCCCAATCTTCCCATACTACTCAACGAACTAAATGACATGAGAGATATATTCCGTTTTATCAAGTTGATGCGCTCGGCGTTTGCCCAATTGGTAGAGCAGCCCTAAAAATTCATCATGTCTTATATCGATTGTGAATCAATATTACATATCCCACAGCTCTTGCAATAATCTCCGAGAAAGCTATAAATTTATATGTACATACCATCTTGCCTTTCATGTCATTCATTGTTCAATCATCGTCTCCTTCTCCCCAACCCGTTCGATCTCTATGGCCGCCCGAGCTTCCCAACTTTGTTTTGGTCTTGCTCTTACGGCCACCCAGCTCCTTATACATTTCTCTCATCTCCACCTTGCCCGGCCGGCTTTGCGTAAGCTCCTCTTGCCGCCATTGCTCCTCTTTAAGCTCCTTTGGCGTCTGATAACCGGACTGTGATGGTGAAGTGCGGCCTGAGCCTCTCGAAGGTAACGGTGATGACGGAGGCGAGCGATTCGACACAGAATTGATGTAAACCATGCGCTAACAACAAATCATCAAGTCACGCTGCCAAACACAGGAAGACAAATTACCCACCCAATTCTGTTTCGACTCCCTCCTGGTCCACTTTCCAGGGGGAAGACTGTCGTCATGAAAATTTTCCTTCCTGTAATGCTGAAACCAAACTTGTAACACAACGCAGACTATTAGCATAGAGCATATTGAATTATATAAATTTGACTTGCTGTAGTTTAGCGTCTGACTCTTATTCCACTTTCTCGATACCCTAGCGCAAGTCACGAGCTCGGATATCCCAAGCCACCTGAAAATGCTTTGCGATACTTGAGTTGGAAATGCCTTTAGGGGGTCAGTCGAGAGACCCTTCATTGGCAGTCCACTCGCCAAGCGAGTAGGACCTCTTCTGGTGGGTGAAGAGGGGCGTGAAGAGGGGCGTGAAGCGGGGCGTGAAGGTCCCCTCGACCTTGCTGGCGTCCCTGGTGGTGAGAACTTGAGAATTGTAAGTAATTGGCACTAGAGTGGATGTCAAAAAGGCATACCACGCCAACGAGCTCATCATCTGAGTCATTCTCGGGCTGAGATTGCCTGGAAGACAGAGAAAGTCCATTCAAATCATGAGTTTGTGATTGCGATTTAAGCACGCCTTGTAGCAAACTCATTCTGCAGAGTTGAGTAGTGTTGGTGGTTTAGAATCTAGATGAGATGAAGCTTCGATCGGTGAAAACCACAGGCTGACTAAGATGGAATCATGATGTCACCTAATCGATTACAACCTCTGAGTCACAGTTATGTAAGGGCGGCCACAAGGCCAAAGGACTCCAATGAATTTAAAACAGACCAACTACCGTAAATTATAATCAAGCCTGACACCCAAGTTCATAGTACTTTTAAACTGACTTGAACAGCTGCCACACACCCTTTAAATATCCCACAATCTCGTCCGCACCGAGCTTGCTTTCCCCAAATATCCGATCCACAAAAGTGATCGGCACTTCGCCAACGGTGTACTCCAACGCCCGTGCCCTTACCATCATCTCCATCTGGAACACATACCCCCTGGACTGTGTTAGTGTAATGATATGCCGAAGAACAGGCAGCCGGTACAGTCTATACCAGCATCAAGTTCAGTCCGCTTTCTGTAACTGATCTACGCACCTGAAACTGCCTGTTAGGTCGCTCACGCCAGGGTTGAGCACAGTAGCAGCCAGAAAGTTTGCCCCTCGTGAAACAAGTTTGCGCTTCAGGTCCCAGCCGTGCACGCCACCAGGTTGAGTATCAGCGAGGTAAGGAGTTGATGTTGAACGATATCGCGTTCCCGTGACAATGTCAAGGTTATGTGCTTGTTGTAATCTGCGCATCGTTAAAGGGGAAGAGTTTGGAAAATAACAACACACCTTATGAATTGCGGGATGAACTTGGGCTGACGGGGTGCGTGTACATTAGAATTTGTTTGTCGAAGGATATCGGGGTACGTACATGATGCGAAAAGTCGGCGTCCATTATTATCACAAAGTCACCAGTGCAAAAATCGAGTCCATGGATGTATGCAGTCCTGCGCACACGTTCACGACGCGTTTCATTTTTCATAGTTATTCCCAGCACTTACCCGAGTCCAAGCTTCCCTGCCCGTGGTCTGAGAAGCTTGACCAACAATGAGCCAAACGTCGAAGAGTTGATACATTTGCACTCACTATTTTTTCCTCGCCGTAAGCCCTTGCCAGCTCAACGGCTACTTCTTGTGTCCCATCCGGACTCGCATCATCCACGATGATGATTTCCCATGCAAGCTGCCTGGCGTCTTCAGTCTGGCTTTCGGCATGTTAAGCAGACAGAACGCACTGTTCCTCAAAGACCTTTGCTAGCAACCAGATGATTATCGGGAGGTTCTTGCGCTCATTGTATGTTGGTAGAATAACAGAATACTTGTGGGTGTTTAGCGTGTTGTATTGGCCTTGCATGTTCAGCGACACTGGGCTAGCGAAAGGGTTCATTAACTTCTGTAGTCTTGCGACTTGATGGCAGTTAGCGTGCGAGTTTACAGCATCGGCCCTTCTTTACATATTGCGACGGCCTCCTCGAGCTCGCTGCTTATCGATGTCACCCTCAAGCACTGACCAAAGCACGTATCCGTCTATCACAGCGCTCAAGTCTCTGCTCACTACAACCCTCCGTATCACAACCACCGATAATCGAGTTTTTATCGGCACATTCATGGGCACCGATCAACTTCTGAATATCATCCTCGTCAACACTGAGGAATATATTCTGGGAAACGAAGCTAGTCGATTCGTCGGCCAAGTCATGCTTCCCTGGCGTCTTGTCCTTCATGTCGAAGCATTTGACAAGCAGAATACTTCAAATGGCAAATCAAAGGATAACAGGAGCTTGTACATCTAAATCGCAGTTCGAGGATACATGCATTAAACGACTTGTCCATATGGTATATATCTATTGTCCTGTCCTCCTCTCCTATATTCAAGGGTATATATGACAGAAATCCATGATCTTTCTTTCTCCTCGAGGAGCCCTTATATTCACCGTCCGCTGTGAGGATCCAGTGGGATATGGGCCTTTTGTGGGCGCCGCTGATAATGCGCAGGGTTGCTCTATTCTGGGGCGCGGGATTTTCATCCTTCGCTAGCGCGCTAGCCCTTGTATTTGTCCTTGTAGATCCACGCCATCCCAACGTCGCTGGCACCTTGTGCGACCTACAGATCAACATCAACATAAATTTTACAAGAATTAAGCCTGTTGCACTTACAGCCGCGCGATACCACTTAGCAGCTTCCTTCTTATCCTTCTTGCACCCTTTGCCATTGGCTAGGCAGAACCCGAGATCTTCTTGCGCATCACCATCACCGAGGTTGGCAGCAACTCGATAGTAACTCTGGGCAGTAGTGAGCACGAGACTAGAGACAACTAGTGGTGACGCACAACTGCCATCTTGTGGTCCTTAGCTACGCCCCAGCCATGAAAGAAGCACTGGCCAACCTCATAAATCGCTAGCACAAGCTCCGACTGAGGAAGATTCATGAGCGCTTCCACATATAGTGCCGCAGTTCGAACTCACCCTAACGGCTGTCACGTCCAATCCTTGTCTCGCCTTGCCCAGGTCGTCCACTGCACTTTCCGCGGCCTTTGTTAACCACTTAAATGCACTTTTCTCATTCTTCTCGCATCCCCACCCGTGCCTGAGCGTCAATCCCCACAAGAGCATCCCTATCCCGCATCCGCCCTCTTCCTTTGCACTTTTCTCGAAGCAAAATGCGCTATCCTGTAGTTTGTTGGCCTCGTGGTATTGTATTCCTAGCTGAAGATACTCCTGTGGAGTTGAAGGCTCGGTGGAAGGTGAACGGTTGCCCGGCGGGGAAGGTGAATGGGAAGGAAATTTTGAATTGCCAGTTGGGGATGGAGAGCCATCGCTCAAACGGTAAAAGGAGTATGAGGTAGAGTACAAGCTTGCTGGTGAGCTCGGACGCACAGACGGCGGGCGAGTGGAAAGTTGTACTTGGGAGTGGGATGAAAGCGTTGGAGAAGAAGCAGCATAGTTTGGTTGAAGATAGGACCGTGACGAGCTCGCCTCGGATTGGGGTGTAGGGGACAAAAACTTGCTTTCAGGGAAGACGCCCGTCTGGGGCGTAATTGGGGAAAGTGGAGTATGAGCGGTCCGTGGAGAACGGAGCCTTTGTGAATTTCGCTCAAGAACCTGGCGTTTCTGCTCTTCAGAAGAGAATATGGGGGGTCTGCCTGGCCTGGAAAAGTTCAAACGAGGAGTAGGGTCAACTATGGGTGATCTTCCGCCAAGTTTTGGTTCATTAACGGCGACTTGCTTGTCGATATCATGAGGTTTGGAAACCACGACGGTTGGAACGGGAGTACTAGGGCTTGAGTTGAATGGACGCATGTCATGAACCGAAGATTGTATGTTCAAACCGCCACTGGGTCCTAGAGTGGTATGCCAATCACGGCGGCTGTCAACAGAAGCGCCGGATGTGTGACTTTGCAGTGAATACATGCTGTTCTCTTCATAATACGACTCAAGTTCGTCATAGTATCCATTTGGTTCGTCCGTCAACGACAGAAATGACTTTCTGTTAAGATATTCAGCATTGCTAGCTGTCGAATTACGGAATTGCGAGTGCAAGAGAGGAGACTCGGGCACTCTCGGACTAGTTGCATACGGCCTTGGTGGAGAAATTGGGTGCAAATCCTGGACCTGCAGCGGTGTTGGAAAACCAGTTGTCCGAGAGGAAGATGGTACTGGCAAGGAGGAAATAGTAGCCTGCTTCCGGGCTTCATGTTCTTCTTTCCGTTGGACGGCCTGCCGTTTGGACGAAGTTCGCCGCACCAAGGTGTCTAGCGGCGATGAGTGGGCTAGGCGGACCCTGTTCTCATGTGGTAGTGTCGCCGCCATGATACATGGAGTCAGAGGTAAGTTAGGTTACTAGGGGTAACAACTCACTCCAGGGTGCATTGGTAACAATCATACTAATTACTTTATACTCACAGCGTTGGACGTGTGGCAGATCGAGATCACACTGGTCGTACCTTTCGAATGTGACGAACCTAAAACATTTGTGTTCTTGTCCTCCATGACGATTGTACACACATATATTTAGCTCCCAATGCAACAGATGGGACATAGTGCTATGTAGTGCTATCAACGAAACGCAAGGAACCTCCGGAAGCCTACGGATGCGTATATTCCGACCCGTCTTCTAAGTGTTGCGACAGCCGGGATGTCATCGATTCATCATATCTCGGTGTTCCAGGCACAATATTAATGATCATGCTTCCACTCGAGACCGCGAGAGCCTCTTGCCGGGCATTCCCGCAACAATGAGACTGTCAGTCACGCACATTTCCCTGTGTGAGCGGTCCTTGAGTTCAAATGATCGAGTAGAACAACTGTACAACACCAAACTAAACTCAGCTACATGATGGATGGACGTCTGACACTAGTACTCACTTCGACGTCAAGATCAACATGTAGTGAAAACATGTCTGTTTAACGTACGCGGGAGAGCCACTATGGCATCATATCGCGTATCTGTTAACGACCAGCTGGATTCATCCCTACTGCCAAGTTTACCGTGAATAGGAGTCTTGGTCTGCGTGGGGAGGCCCAGAGCAACAAACAGTGCACTCAAATACATAGATTGCTCTCTCAACTTGAGGCAAGTTGATACCAACAATCTGTATACAAGCCGCAGGTGGAGTATCATCAATAGGTCGTAAAGTGTAATCAAGAATCACATCGGTACGCTTTCCGACAAAGCGTGCACCACCTGGGCGCTTTTGGTAACAAAAGTAAATGTAAGCAAGAGCCGCTCCCATCCAACAATAAGCCCGCGTCTACTCAGCCTTGTAGTCGGGACGCAGAGACCGCACAACCTTGCCTGCGCGCCAGATCTCCTGGTCGTCGATCTCCTTCAGCTCTTTGGCCAGATCTTGGCGGTACGTCGAGCGACCGTTGAATTCGAGAGACTTGCGGGTCTCCGTACCATTTCGCACGCTCTCATACAACTGCTCAAAGATAGGTGTGTTGGTCTTCTCGAAGATGGGTGCCCAGTCAAGCGCACCGCGACGAGCGGTCGTGGAGCAGGCGTTGTACATGTAGTCCATGCTACGGACAATAAGGGAAAGGAAACATGAAATGGAAATAATCACTCACCCCTTCTGTCCAATCAAAGGGTATAGGGATTGAGTGGCCTCCTCGACGGTTTCGTTGAAGGCTTCCGAAGGAGAGTGGCCGTTGGCACGGAGCACTTTGTACTGCGCGCAGAACAGGCCCTCTAATAAACCGTCAGCTGAGAACATATATCTTGCGTCGAGAGAAAACTTACGGATGGCACCCATGAGCACACCACGTTCACCATAGAGATCAGAGTAAACCTCCTTCTCAAAGGTGGTCTCATACATGTACCCTGAGCCGACACCGACACCGAGAGCAACAGCCTTTTCCATGGCTTTACCAGTGACGTCCTGGAAGACGGCTACACTGGAGTTGATGCCACGACCCTCCTTGAATAGGGTGCGGACAGTACGGCCAGAACCTTTGGGCGCGACCAAGATGACATCGACGTCCTTGGGGGGTATAACCTTGGTGTCCTCTTTGTATACAACGGAGAAGCCGTGCGAGAAGTAGAGGGTCTTGCCTTTGGTAATAAGAGGTGCAACGGTGGACCAAGTTTGTGATTGTGCGGCATCAGAGAGAAGGTTCATGATGATCGTGCCCCGGTTGATGGCTTCTTCAATGGGGAAGAGAGTCTCTCCAGGAACCTAATCATATTTCAAGTTTACATTAGATACCTGAGAGCCAAAGAAGAAGCGAACATACCCAACCATCCTCCATGGCCTGCTGCCAGCTCTCGCCGTCTTTACGGACACCAACAATCACATTGAGGCCATTGTCACGCGCATTCAAGCCTTGACCGTGGCCCTGAGAACCATAGCCAATGAGAGCAAGGGTATCGTTCTTGAAGTAGTCCTGGAGCTTCGCAAGCGGCCAGTCACTTCGCTCGTAAACAACCTCCTCGGAGCCAGCAAAGTTGAGCGTCTTTACGCCCCGAGTAGCGGCCTATAGGCATGTGATCGTCAGCGCTTCTTAGTCACATCAATACGATTTTTTTTTACCTGGAAGGCGGGTTTGCGCGAGCTGCCTGCCAAAGCCTGGCGAGCAAGCAAAGAGTAGGATGCGGTCTGTGCAGGCTTGGCTGCGATTTTTGTACCGGCACGAGGTGCACGGCGAGAAGCAGCGCGGAGGGCTGAAGCTGAGCGGGACGCGAAGGAGGCCATGTTGAGTGGAGAAGAGGTTGGAAAGGGAGCTAAAGAACTATGTAAAATTTAGTTGTGCTTAATACCGAGTCATTATCGGCCGGCATTGTCCGATATGCCAGCGGAAACAAGCATAACGTCTACTACTAACGATCATCCCATTCAAGTTGAATCACTTTATATGCCTACGTCCGACTCAGTGATAGACACTGGAAGTCGATAGCCAGCAGAGCGAGACTATATATATGGCGCATTCGAATCGAACGAATCATTTTACACGCATATTTATCTGACAATGCAACAGATGCCGACAATATCTATAGAATGAAACACACCGGAAACCCATGAATGGATAGTAGATACGTCCATCATATCCCGACTTGTCTTCTGGGTGTCTGACCAACGCGATTGCCTGCAAGACCAGGATGTCTCGGCGTTCCAGGCACGATGATCTTTGAGCTGCTGCCACTCGAAACCTTGACCGCGAGAGCTTTCTCTGCCTCTTGCAGTGCATGCCTGCAACAAGCATCAATAAAATAGCCATTTCGTGAGATCGTCGGTCACGTACTCTTCCCTTTGTTTCGCGATTTGCGATTCCAATTCAGCTTTTCTGGAGAATTCTCGATCGGCTTGTCGCCGCATTCCGCGATCATCGAAGTCCTTGAATTTGACCGAGTAGAACACCGCACCAAATTCAGCTACAATCATCGTGAATTAACTCCAGTATAAGCGTGCAAGACAAATTGTCATACCTAGCCACATGGCATCAATCGCAGTGACCTGGGTCATATACTCTTTGGACGTCAAGATCAGCTCGTGGTAAACAACGTATGTGGGAGTATCTTGGTCGTCGTCAGCAAAACTGAGAAAAATAAAAATAAATCACACACATCCAAGACCATACAGCGCACTCGTAGGATGCAGATGCGTCGGGAGACCAGTGCGAATATTTACATACTCGCCGATACCCTTCACACGTGCACATTGGTGGAAATAGCCAGCAGTGATAGCTTTCCTACGAAACGGTCAATGCGACATAGGTGATGCAGCTATCGTACGGCACCTGACAACGTCGAAGTCTGTGCCAGCAGAAATGATCTCCATCTTTTGGAACTTCATGATATCCTCCAACTGAGCCCTCACCTCACGAGCTTTTCGTAGCAGTTTCGGATGCAGAAAGTGACGCGTAGCCCATTCATCGCGGAAGCTACGAGTTATATTGAGCACCTTGTATCGATAATAAGACGAACGGACTGACCCGTGGCTCTTCCACTGGTTGAAAACATTCAACAGCGTCAAATGGTCGCTCTCTGGTACGTTGAACTTTTCACGTGCTGCATCGGCCTCTTCCATCCTCTCCTTTGGTCTGTAGAAAATGCTTGGCACCGAAAGCATGGACACTATAGTCAACATCTCTGCTGAACACCTCATCTCCACGGATGCGATGAGCATCTTGGCCATTGAGGGCTCCATGGGGAACTCGGACATTTTCTTACCTACAGGCGTCAAATCGCCCAGGTTATCCAGCGCACCTAAAACCCAAAGTTGGTACATTGAATTTATGATGTTGGCTTGGGGCGGAGGGTCCATAAAGTCGAATTCAAGAAGGTTTTTGACGCCGAGGGACTTTAGGAGCAGAACAGTGTTGGCGAGATTGGTGCGCTGGATTTCTGGGATGGTGTTCGGGAACATCTCATTGCGAAACGCCATCTCTGTATACAGGCGGTAACAGAACCTGCACATTGATGAGGGAATTGATGTCGTGAAGCTAGAATGAACACATACCCGCTTCCTGTACGGCCGGCACGGCCAGTCCGCTGATTGGCGTTCGCTTGACTGACTGGTGTGATTTGCAGGGCGTCCATTCCGACCTTCGGGTTATACACCTTGAGCTTTGAGTAGCCTGCGTCGACCACATAGATAATGCCATCGACCGTCAAGGAAGTCTCGGCGATGTTAGTAGCTACGATGACCTTCCTTCGCCCGTCCGCAGTGGCTTCGAAAATCTTGGCCTGTAGATCGGCAGGCATCTGTGAATAGATTGGGAGCACTGCTAAAGGGGCAGGCTGATCAAGCTGCGCCAGTCGCTCTGTACAAAAGATTTAGAAAATGACGTCGCTGACATTTGGTGCTTACATACCGTTAACAACCTGACATGTAATTTCGATGTCTTCTTGTCCAGTCATAAATACGAGGATATCACCGGGAGGGAGCGAAAGATGAATTTGAAGAACCTGCTTCACAGCACTGTCGACATAGTCCTCGCAAGGTGACTTTGAATGGAACATCTCCACCGGAAATGTACGACCAGGAATCGTATAACAAGGGGCATTGCCATAGAACGCAGAAAACTGACATCACGTCAGACTTTGATTGCCAGAACAGTAATGGGGGATACTTGCCTTGTCGGCATTCATGGTTGCCGATGTAACGATGAGTCTTAAATCTCTTCTCCGAGACAGAACTGTAACAAAATAATGAGCCCAATGTCGTCTAGCTGGGCAACAACAAAGCGTACTCTTGCGAAGTAAACCCATGAGAACATCAGTGCTCAGTGAACGTTCGTGGGCCTCATCCAAAATGATTACGCTGTAACGGTCCAAATCACCTTCGTTCAAAGATTCTCGCTGAAGAACACCGTCCGTCATGTCTGTTAAAAAAAGTAAGGTCAGAGGTTGGAGGCGAGAGAGTATAACACTGTACATTTGATCTTGGTTTCTGCCGATGTGCAGTCCTCAAAACGGATCGCATAACCAACGGTAGAGCCAAGCTTGCACTGAACAAAGGGAGGATCAGCACAACCAAGAAGATCGATCTCTAAGACTTGCCTCCATCTCCTCAGCCACACGCTTTGCGACAGACATAGCGGCCACACGGCGTGGCTGAGTGCAACCAATGAGACCATATGCGCAGTACCCATCCTCATAAAGGAACTGCGCCAGCTGAGTGGTTTTCCCAGAACCAGTCTCGCCGACGACGATGACAACTGTAGAACACAGATATTAGACATTTAGGCACGGATGTGTAGCATAACTCTAACCCTGGTTTTCTCGGATGACCTTGAGAAGCTCGTCTCGACACGCAAATGCAGGCAAATACTCTCTTTGCTCCTTTAGTGTCCTGTTCTTCGCAAACGAACTGACCCCAGTGGAGGCCTTCAAGTGGCTGGCGAACTTAGAATCTCCCTTATAATCCTCTTTCTCACCAGACTTTGCCTTTGCTTCTGCCAGAGCTGTACCCAACATACCAAATGGACTACGTGAATGTCCAACTCGAGCTGCGCCACAAGGGCAGAGAATAAACACGCACCTTCAGCTTCGGCCTCCTCGTCCTTCACGCCCATGATGTTACCGAGTTGTGTGCCACCAAGAGATGCAAGTTTGGCAGCTGCCTTGGCCCTCTCTGCCTGTTCTCGCTTCTCTTTCACGAGAGCGCTCCCCTTCTTTGAGAAGATCGCCATGTCGCTCGTAGGGTCGCGGATTGGATTGATGGGCTCGAGTTGCTTCGTGAAAATGGTCTTGCCATCCAAGAAAGGTGGCTTGATATCATGCACCATGACATGCACCGTCGACTCAGATTCGTCTTCGAAGTCAAGATCGACTTCCTTACGGGTCGCGACACCGGAGGTCAGCATCCGATTAGCTTCCCAGAGGTCGTTGTCTGCATTCTACATAGAAAGTTAACAACTAAGAGAAGAGATTAAATATATCATGTCTCACATATTGCGCTTGCCTGGCCGATATTCTCCTCTACAATAAGCTTCAGCAACACTGACCTGCTCGCTGATGCAAACGACCACATACCACTTGCTTTTTCGAAATCTCTGCGTCCTTCAGTGCTGCGAGATCCTCGTATTGCGCCAATGGATTGTGTTCGTCGTCTCCAGCGACACCACCTTCCTCTGCTCCAGTATACCAATCCCGGTCCAGCCGCAGCTGCTCCTCCTCCCATTCCCTCACATCGACACCAAAGAGTCCATCATCCTCTGGGCTGCCGCCTCTCGGAACGCGCGGGGTCGGTGCATCCCAAGCACGATTCCTTGCCCCTCCCCAACCGGATCCTTCGCCCTCTTGTCGCCTCGGCGTTGAATCCCACCCGACATTAGGTACACGGACACTAGGCGCATCGCGGTTGCTACCACCACGCTCTGAGCGTGGTGTAGAGTCCCAGCCGCGTCCATTACGCTGATCCCTGTCATGGTCTCGTCGAACCCACCCCCTATCGTTATCCCGATTTGATCGTCGTTGGAAATCTCCGAGCCCTCGCGAAGTGTGAGACCGTTGCTCCTGCACCGCGGTGATTCCTTCTAAAGTGTTACCTTGGGGTCAGAAACCACACGCCAACAGCAGGATACAAGAATCGTACCTCTCTGCTTCTCGCGGTTTCGTCTATGTTCCTCCAAGCGCATTCGTGCGGTATCGGACAGACCGCCTGGATGAGATGGCGTCTCTTCCCCTCGCTGCCTTAAACTATTCCCTCGTCCGGCTGGCAAACCGGGGACTAGATGCAAGGTAAGAGAAAGCTATGAAAGCTGCAACCTTGTCGCACCTTTGAAAACAGTGTCATCACTCAGCCTCGGCTTTTTTCGAGGGCCGTTTTCAGATAGAGCCTGTTCTCTCTTTTCTTTTGCTAGTCGATCAAGGCCGAGCAAAGAGCCTCGAGGGGTTGGTGGTTCAATTGGCTTGGCAGGCTGGCGGAATGTGTGTCTCTGTAGATCATGAGTGAATATATAGAACTCTGAGCGCTGATAAACGTACGGTATCGCTCCTCACGAGGCCCCCTTGCCGGATTGGGTCAGGCTCGAGCACCTCGCTATCGTGGACTGTTATACCCTCAACAGGACGAGGAACGAGCCCGGAAGCCTCCTGCTTGACATGTGACAAGATTTCGTCATGGAGTTCGGTCAGAAAGGAATCTTGAAACTTGCCAAACGCCCGAGCCGCTGCAACAAAGTTGTCAGTGAACGTACCTGGATTCCGGTAAAGCAAAACTCACCTTTGGCGAAGCCTTCCGCGGAGTTGGTTTTAGCTATGTCAATAACACGCTCTGCGAGCAAGTCGTTTGGGTTCACGAGGTTCAATGCTCGTGAAAGTTGGATAGCGACCTGGTGCTTGAACCCATCGTCTGCATTCGGAGACGTCATTCGCTTAATTCAGTTCAACCTGCCTAGTCGTCGAAATGTTCAAAGAGGTTGCCAATGCACGTAGGTTTTGAAACCTAGGGCCTTGCTGTGCCAGACTGTTGGACGTACCAAAGACAGATAATTGTATTACGTCAGCGGCTGGCTCCCAGTGCCAAATAGCACTCACTGCCTATGTCACGGTAGCCTAAGAAAGGGCACTCTTTCCTTCGGATAAAGACACACGCATGATCCTAGAAAAACGATGGACTGCCTGGTTGACATCAGTAGTGCATGCTTTCTCAATGTCTCTGATTCTTTGAGACTTTTTAGTCTGAATTATAGCACTCAGCAGCTGCGAACAGTCGCCCCGGCTTTTCCAGTGATAAACCTCTCATGCTATCTATAACATGTATGCGACCGCGGTCTTTCCGGAATCCGGCTGCACCATCAATGAAGCTTGTGATGGAACCGAGTCGCACGGTCCGAGATTCCTTCTGCTGTGCGAGCCCATGTGGGCCCAGATCAGCGGTGTACAAGCATCGGAATGGCACACTAGTTCTTAGTGAGGGATACCACAGACAGATATGATCAACTGTGGTACGTTTTATTTTTGAGTCCTTGTATCTGGTGCTCCAGAATGTAAATGGTGTCACGAGCTAATTGTACAATTTTAGTCCAGCTCTTCGGGCCACGGCACTCGCGACTGAAGCAGCCCCTCAAGTGTTCTATGCTCGCATCCATTTGAAGCATCCATTCACAAAGCGCCATCGAATACCTGGACCCATGTGACTGGGTGAGCAATCTGGAGCTCACAATAAGCACTGTCTTCCAAGACAGTCAGCAATTGAAATGCTGGCAGTCGAACGGTGCGCTTTTTTTTTATTCAAAGCTTTCTCGTGAGATCGTCAGTCTATTTTGTGAGTGCGCCACTTTATGTCTCGAGGTTTCTCCGTCACCAGCACGCGCTTCCATGTCACGGGTCAAGGGGGCTCCCTCGCCATCATGCTTGCACTTGTGTCAATCCAATAAGCTGGTACATTTTCTCGTTGTTTCCGAGGTGTCGCCTTCTCCCTACCCGGGGGGCGTCATGACGCCCTGCTCTACCGCATGGTATACTTCACATAGACTCATCACGAGCTCAAAATCATCTCCCCACCCGCCAGGAGTCACGTTTAGGCTTAAATACAGAGACAGGACAGGGGGATCGTACTCTGGCCTTCCCTGGACATACTCCGTCAGTCTGACTATCTTTTGCCATGAAACTCAACGCTTTGAATGTCAGTTTCACTCTTGCTTCGCTTGCCGGATCTGCTTTGGCAGGTGCAGTCTATACTCTCAATGATAGAATCGTTGGTGAAGGCTTCTACAACTCCTTCAGTTTCGAGGCTATCGCCGACCCCACTCACGGGCGTGTGTATGTCTACTCGCACGCAATCCGCTCTGTTCCTTATTCGATGACAGGACATATGTGGACCAAGAAACAGCACAGAAACTCAACCTGACCTATGCCACGAGCAATACCTTTATCATGCGTGCAGATGACACCACGGTATTGACCCCCAGCGGCCCTGGCCGGAATTCGGTCAGAATTCTGTCCAACCGCCAGTACACAACGCATGTTGTCGTGTAAGTGATTCACCGCCGATGTCTCACCGACTGATGGTTTTCAATTAGCTTTGATATGCAGCATATGCCCGAAGGTTGTGGGTGAGCCTCTTGTGTTCGTCCGGAGAGTTCCATTACTCATTTATCTTAACACAGAACATGGCCTGTAAGTGGGTAGCACCGATGGAGTGAGCTGATAGTGATTTAAAACAGGCTGTCTGGGAAACCGACGGATCCAACTGGCCTGCTGGTGTCCGTGTTCTTCCCTTGCGTATGATAGCTCTCCTGACGTAGATCCTTATGCCAGGGTGAAGTCGATATTGTCGAAGGCGTGAACAATGTGGAGCCTAACCAGTCGACACTCCACACCAGCCCAAGTTTGTTCCGTATAATCTTTCTAGTTGGGCTATTTTCAACTCCTGTTATCACGCAGACTGCTCCATGCCAGCTTCCGCTTCCCAATTAGGGTATGTTTCGAGCCGTCATTGCACAAAACCATCCAACTAAAGTTCTCATTGTTTAGAACCACAGCTTCAACCAACTGTGACGCTACAGGTGTGGCCACCATCGCTTATTCAAAACTCGTACTAAAAATGCAACAGTCAATGGAAATTCAGGGTGTGGTGTGCGGCTCACGGAAGACTACAACAGTTTTGGTCCAGGATTCAACAGCATCAATGGAGGATGGTGCGTTGCTGCAAATGATGATTGATACTCTTGCGCCTTACGAGTTCTTCCGTAGGTATGCCATGGAGCGCACGAATAGCTATATCAAGGTTTGGTTCTGGGAGAGACATGACAAATCTGCTCCCTTCGATGCTACCACCGGTGCATGGGTCATCGACACCAACTTCTGGGTAATGGTCCTTACACCTCTGATAGATTAGCTGTTTACATATGACCCGACTGCCAGGGAACTCCTGCTGCCTACTTCCCTAACACCTACTGTGACCTCGAGTCTCACTTTGATGCCAACAACATTATCATCAACTTGACGTTATGTGAGTCTCGCCTTGTCTTGTAGTACTCTGTCATGCTAATGCGGCGCACAGGCGGCGACTGGGCAGGCAATGCGGCTGTCTATGCTGCTTCTGGATGCCCATCAGACTGCGTGAGTTACGTCGACAGTAAGTGTTCACCCACCAGCGTCTAGTACGGCTGTAGACCCTATATTATCATCCGCAGACAACCCTACGGCGTTCACAAACGCCTACTTCCAGTTCTCATCCATCAATGTTTACACATAGGTATCGCAGGAGGCTGTAAAAACAGAAATAGCTTCACATAGGTATCCATCTTGTGTTGCAAGTATAACGAAATGTAACAACATCTTAAGTGGAGCTTGAGAAGGATATCTCGTGCAAGTAACTACATTTTATTGGGCGAGCGTTCGTTGTCCGTTGTTTTCACCAAGCTTCTACTCAGACTTAGATCTTCACGAAGGATGCCGTTATTAGCTGCTTGGTTGTTAACATACGTTATCTGATTCAACTTTCACTGTAAGTAACGCCTGAACACGTGGTGCTGAAGAATCGGGCTTAGTATCAACGAATATGAATTTATGGTGTGGGAGGGGATCAGCGGGGATCAGATGGACCGATGAGTTATCAAGTATTGCTTCCCTGGTAATCACCGAAGGACACTACCCTGCCCAGTGTTCACACATACCGCTTCTTCCCCCTAAAATCCCCATATCGGTCTGCTTTGGGCATCCTCCCGAACTTCGGCTCCGCAGTTTCTGGAATAATCATAAGTTCAATTCGTGGAAGAAACTTTGCAATACTCACTGAGTATGTCCTTGTACACCGCGGGAACTCCTTCACTCCAAACCTCTCGCCACATATGGACACCTCCCCCAGCGTTGCTATCTAGCCCGTGCTGCTCCATAAACGCTCTGACGTCAAAGGCCGCACGCTTGTCCTTAGCAACCATAGGAATAGATAGACGGGACTGTTGGGGAAGGAGTAGCATGGTATAGCGGTGATATGTAGTCCCACGTTGTGGGTGCGGAGGTATATAGGCAGTGTGGGTGTTCAGGTTGGGCACTGGGGAAGGCGAAAGGCTTGAAAGAGATATATTCGGTCTGGATACAGGTCAGCCAACGAATTAAATGGAGAACATGTTGCTTACTGAAGCCAATGCAGATACGTCTGGAATGTTTGATTAGTCTCATCGGGAAAATCTGTGACCAATATCAGTCCCGGTCATGTAGAGCTTAATACCGACTGACCCGGATCGATCATCAAAAGAGTATATAGTCGCTCCTCTGGATGAAAGACGGTTGTAAATATCTTAGGAGGCTCTACAGTCTGAAATATCATCAGCGGAATGAATGCGTAAATGACTCCACCACATACCTGCTCTGGAAGAAGAAATACTCCTGGTTCTACGTGCTCGTACACGACTTTTGAAACAGTAACCGGAAGCCCTGTATTCGACTTCACTTTTGGGAAGTTAACCCGGAGGTCCAACGAAGGACGAATATCAGGCAAGACGTCTGGCACAACTTTCATCTGGTGGATACGCTCCATCTACAAAACATAAAATTGAGAATCGTTGCAGAACAGCTCAATATGCATACTTACCAGCAAGTCTAATGCACCCTCCTTCCTCCACCGCTGCTCCAGTAGGTGTCTGTCTACGATTTTTGACATGTCCGCTGGAGGACTGTGAGCAAGACACGATGCCCAGGCATGAACTTACTTACCCATCCCATTGGCACATTTCCACCTCACTTGAGGGAAATTTATCTCACTCTGCACTTCTAAAATTCTCAGCTTCTCCTCCAGCACCCGCAAAGCGTCCTGGTTAGGCTGAGGTGTCTCCTTTTCACGCGCAATGACACCCTCCAAAGCCTTTACCTCCTCCTTGAGCGCCATTGAATCCTCTTTGATGACCTTCAGTGCTTCATCGAACGCAGGAAGAACACCAAATGCAAGAGGCCTGTTCCATTCACGCGGATGTTGCAGCGAAATTCTAGGCCGACGTGTTCTAATTGCCCGAGACTGCCTCTTCTCCGGTGTCACGGGTTCTTCGGACGACTGAGACTGTGAGGCGTCAGTGTCTGCAGCTGTCGATGCGAGAGCTACTTGTATTGTCGCGCGTCGTCGCGCAAAATCAAGGGCTCGAGGTTGGAGACTGCGTAGGGCTAGCATTGTAACGTGCCTACCAGTATGGTTTGGAGAGAACGAAGGCTTTTGAACGAAATTTCTCTCCAAGTCAGATTCCATAAATGGAAATTTCTTGCTCATCACGGCAATCAGGGGCTATATGTGATAAATCGAATGAATAACATACAAATCGTATGTGTAGTATATCTATCAATCAAGCAATGGTATCGTAGATGGCAGTGAGATATAGAAGCACAATATGATAAATAACTGCAAGGACAACAAGTGAATTAGCATGGAGAAACATCAGACAACCATGAACCATAAAATTACGTATAAACAAGAGCAGGAAACAATTATGCACGACGAAGGAATACAACAGCTGAGGCGATATATACACCGATAACATGACAACCTAGAAAGTGGAGAAACACAATGCAGTGCGGGAAAGACTAGCCGCGACTCGGTCCTGCCGGAATCGATATTGAAACTCTGCAACATGACTCAGTATGGAGCGATGTAAATTTAAAAAAACCGACACATACCTCCATCCCGCACAACGGGATTCTGACAACGAAGACGTTCTTCTTGCTCTTCTCGTTCCATTTCAATTTCATATGGTGCCTTATACCCAGGTATCCGAACACCGATCTTGGGAGGTGAATGCTTGGGTTCCCAGCGACCACCGCCTGTTGCCTTACAGATAATACTGGACCTCCGTAGTGGATAGGCATCAAGTTCACCGTATGATGGTTCTGGGACCTCGAGTTCAGTAGGGGATAAGATAGAATTAGGTAATGGACGATGTCCAGTGCTGAAATGAGATGAGCTCCGGGCAACGCGAATGGGCCGAGAGGGTGGGGCTGGGGTGTCCACAGGAGATGCACAAACAGACGAATTAGGAGAAGGAGCTCTGGAATCTACCGGAGATTTGACAAGCATAGGAGTGGATGGTCTGGCATCTGGAGTGCGAGGCGAATTGCAGCCGTTGATCTGGTCCCAACAATCGTCGCAGACCTTCTTAACGACGACGGGTGACGTTGGGCTATCGTAATTTGAGATAGGGACGTTCCGCGGAGGATGAAGGAAATCGAGATTGGAAACGTCAAGCAAATGAGTTGTACGGGTGGTGCACTGATGGCAGAAAACGCCACCGCATTTTCTGCAATGCTGTTATGTACAATTAGCATTCTAGACCAACTAAGATATAAAATTCGAACTCACATGACGCCGTTCAAGAACCGAGAATTTGGTGCGGCAATAAAAATTATCACATGTAGTAGCGATAGAATCAGGCTGAGTGTGGTTAGCATTAGTATACTGAACAACAGTGTGTCACAATCGGTCCGCACCTTCCAGAGGCTCCTTGGCAATAAGACTGCCAGATGTTCATTAGTGCGTTGGGATAAGGCGAGATAGAGAGAGGATTCAGATGTTGAATCACTCTGCGAGCCTTGACGAAAATTGTCAGAAAAAAAGGAGGATATGTATCCCGAAGGTAATACCTTCAGCCAGAGAGGACGCGTCAGAGGAGCACTCTGACTCGTTGGAAGTCGATGAGCGAGGATAAGTCATTGATGAATGGGCCTTGGCAGCAAGATTAGCCAGTACGGTAGCGACTTGAAGAACAGACATGGAGGGAGGGAGGGAGGAAGAAGGTGAGGATTAAAGTGCGCAAATGCAACACGGTGACCGAGCTCATCTCTTCCGTTGCGACAAGTTATATCGAATCCCCATCATTGTCGTGGGAATAAATGGTGGACCATAACTACAACGGCGCTATTTTGAACCTTGAAAAAATTTGGACTTTTCTAGCGGATTGTAATTAGCCGACCCAGGCCGACCCTTACAACCTTGGCTGGAGCCGCTCGAGGCCGCTCGACGGGCTTCTTGTCATTGGAGGATTCGGTGGAAACGAACAAAGCCAAATCGATTTTATAACGTATACCAATACCGCGGAGTTTCCTGGATTTCCCTTGAAATAACGAATCTAGGCAAATCCCTGGGAACCAAACCTTGCATTGTGTTCGAGAGCTGCTTTGTTGGTTAAGTTTTGTTTCTTTAAGCTGACACCTTCTGCCCGCTCTTCCCAGCGCAATCTTGTATGACATGGTGTGTAACGCTCCTGCCACCAATGGCCACTAAGCCATCGCCGGGGCCGATTGAATCCAGTTTCAACGTTTACCCGTAATTTACTGTTACCCACGTCGTCACAACACCTCCAATGGCAAGCGGAGTCGTATAAAGTCAATAAACTATACAACTGTTAACGTTCATACATAAATTAATGTGTGTTTCAATAAAAACAATGCGTGTGTCAAGTAGGGTAAAACTCAAAAGCAGTTAAAGCAGTACATACAATCTCACGAAAGGGCACTCAAATAATTAACCACGACGTCCTCCTCTCGCGCTGTCAACATGCCCGTCCAGAAACCGTCCGCCGCCTTGCCCACGTCGCGAATTCTTCGCAGCCAGTGGAGATTCTGCGAGACGCCCGACAGGGGTGAAATGATGACCAATTGGTGTAATATCAGGGCTAGAGGATAGATGCGTGACAAGAAGATGCGAATCATCTTCTGCACCTCCCGGCAGATGGTGTCCAAAACGACGGCTTGATATGCCCTCGCTAGGTCTAGTAGGCGTGTTGAACAGCTCAGGACCACGTCCTTGCCAAAAATTATTCTTTGGTGTTGCAAAGGGAGCGCCAAACCTGATGCCGCGTGAAGGGGTGGATGTTGGATCAAATGGAGATTCGTCAGCCATAAATGGCTCAGTATAACCAGGTGTCGCTGTGTACACACGAACACTTTGAGAGGAGTGTTGCGGTGTCTGCGGACCAGGCTGGGAAGATGATTCGTCCCATGAAGAACCAGAGGAAATATGGGGGCCCGCCCTACGGCCAGGTGGAGTCATGGGTGGGCGTGGAGAGCTGCTCCATGGGACCGCTGGCGAAGGGTGAAGGCCCACATGAAAGAAGGGTGGATCGTAGCTTTTGTCGTGCCTCAGCTTCTCTTCAGTTGGCACGAAGGTCGGCTCAGATGCCGGCAGAATATCTGGAGGGGGTGTTTTGGCGCAACTACCACAAAACCACGGATCTTCCTCCCTGCCCAAGTCTGCAATACTTCGAATGCCAATGCAGTGTAGGTGGTACCAAGTGTAACATCCGTCACATTGAACCAACTCTCGGCCATCATCACTGCCTCGACAGATACAAACAATTTCATCATCAATGTCATCGTTGGTGGATTTGTGTGGCGTTCGTCGAAACGAGAACTGTCTAATTGATCGCTTCGATAGCAATGCAGTTCTGGCATCAGCTGGATCGCTCGGAACAACGGATACCGTGGTTGGACCACGATCTCGATTCTGTGACCGAGCGAAAAGAGGGTACATTTTGCCTCTGCCACTGCAGAACCCAGGACGCGCTGATTCGTTCTGAAACAAACTCTCCTCGTGGTCTTCATCATCCGAATCCCGGCAAAGGAAATTTTCGATGTACCGCAAGCGTTGTTCTTCCTCCATTTTGGCATAATCGTCACACTGCTCTGAACGCAAGCGCCACGGAAATTGGGAGTCCGGCCAGTTTGGAACATCACTAGCTGCTTCCACCTGCAAAGGGAAGGCACTCTGGTCCTTTAATTCGTCCATGGAAGGCGTCTTCTTCTTTTTCCGAGAACGCTTCTTCTTCGATGGGCTTATTTTATTTGAACTGGGTGGATCAGAGGGTCCAATATCCATCAAAACTCTGCCATAGCCTTCCACCTCAACTGGTGTTAACTGTGACCGTGAGGAGGAAACTTGGGAGGAACTCCGGAAAGCCGACAATCTGTTCTTTTGGCGGAGCTCCTGCTCATTGACCAAAGGAAGGGCTTCAGGTTCTCCAGCATGATCCAGGTCCCCAGGATCCTCAGGTCGCTGCAAGTCCGTGCGCTGATTAGTGGAGTAGTGGGAGGGTCAGCATGCCCGTCGACGCCAGCTGGAACAGGTACATACATAGCGATCGTACCCTCCTGCCATCAGACTTTCTTCAAAGCTTTCGTCAGAGGTTTCCTGAAATAACATTAAGCGCCGGCCTTTGATAGGACTCTCCGTTACTCCGATCGTTGCGGCGACCCGCTGTCCTTCTTTATCGTCTATATCAAGAGGCGGTGGTGACTCTATACGCTTTGCACGCTTGAGGTAATCAGGCCTCCGTGCCTCTGCTTCTCGCGTGAGGCTGATCTGATTCTCTAACAGCTGTGCACGGATCCGAGCCATTTCCCCTCCGACCTCTTCGCCAAGTTCCTGTGATGCAGGAGGCGGTGAAAACATGCTGCTAGACGGAGGTAGGAAATCGGTAGATGAAGCTTGAGATGCTTGACGCTTTCTGTTTGGGGTGGTACTCTTGACTTCCCCTGATTGCTGCGTAGTAACACTGGATATGTTATCTTGCGCAACAGAGATCCGAGGACGAGGAGAACGTTCTGCAGTTCCCCCGATGAGTCCATTTATGAAACTACAATAATGCTTAGTGTTACTGCGCAGTCAACATTTGCGAATAAACCAACCTTGTGGGTGGCGTTCTTCTTGTAATCCGAGGGGGCGAGTGACTAATTGAATTCAGCAAGATTCAGGATAATGTACCCATAAGGTATATATACCTTCTCTTATCGTTCTTTCCATGGGGTCCGTTTGCACGAGAGCGTATAACAAGTGGGCTGAAACTAAGCACAATGACCCTACACGTAACATCAAATTGATGCATACCTGGAATCTGGTGTGATCATTTTATGGGGCCTGAATGTTGGAGAAGACTCAGAAGGATACCTACATCGTATATCCAGTTCACGTTGAATTAAACCAATTAGTCGCACTCACGGGATAGATCTAAAATCTGTTGGCAGGGCATCCTCCAGCAAGCTGCACGACAGTTACTCCCGCTTTGTTTCCTTCAAGATATAAAATGTCATACTCACATTTGGCCTTTGAGAGCAGCATTGCGTGAGCTCGACTGCCCATATGCACCAAGATTACCAGGACTGCAAGAAGAATAAAGTTAGCGTCTTTGCGTTGACTAGCGTACAAGCATTTGCAAACGGCTCTTGTGACGGTGAACAGATAAGGTAAATATTGAAGCAAAGATGCTCACCTCTGCGGCGTAGGAAGATGCACATGTTGACTTGAAAAGGGAGGTAGCAAGCCATTTATGGGCCTTGTTGGACTATCGGGTGTGTCAAATAACGTATCCGAAAAATTAGTAGAATGTACTTACCTAGCATCACACAATGATGCACGCCCCCTCTCCGTGCGCTCATTCGTTGAACCAGGGGTTTGGTGGTATGTGAGATGGGAGAGCCACATCGCATCTGCCATATCTGGTGTCCTCAGCACGCTGCTATGCGGCATACTGCTTCCTGTCACAGGAGGTGCGGCCTCATTGCTCGTTTTTGCGGGTTTGTCAGACACGGCCATGGGACTCTGGCTACCGCCTCAGGGATGCACCAAGGATCGGAAACAGGAAGAAGAGCTTTGAAAGATAGATAAGACTGTCAAGGTTCAGCAGGTTCTTCCTTTGTGTCTTGACCAGCCCTTCACAGCTGGACTGAAGAGAGATTGCGGAATGAACTTGCAGACAAATGAGTCTATCTTCTAATTAGTTTACAACCTCGACGATTACATAACCATAGCCTGAGGTTGATCCGAAAATGATCGACTAAATATGTTGAATCCTTGCAATCGAACTTGGTCATGCTCGTGCGGGCCATTGAATTTTATAGTGGTATAGGTGCCACTTCACGGATATTGATGCGATCGAGCTTTCCCTAAAGTCACTTCTTAGGTGGCCTGCATCTCGCACTTCGCCAAAGCCGTGTGGCGAGTTCCCCTGTAAAAGCGTTCGACTGGGATCAAACTGCATGTCAGGTATATGCAGCTAACTATGGCCCCAAAATAATCTCTAGGGTAGGTTGACCTTTTATACATTGATTATCTGACATTGACCTGTGCGAGGTCGTGTGTTCCTTTCATAGACAGACATATCAACGCTCACTGCGATAGATCTTTTACATCTGCATGCTGACGTCTGGCTCCTATCTCCGTCGTGCCAACCTTACACCGTCTTGAATCCTTCTGCTAGAGGAGAAGCAGACCCTAGAGCAAAGTCGTTTCTTCATCTCATTGATCACGTTTTGCCGGACCTCGCTGCACAGGATTCACAGCCTCGCTACATGCTCATCGAGAATGTAGCGGGCTTCCAAGTTAGTCGCCTTTATCACACGACGCACACCGTCCAGTATCAATTCTGATCCATCATTGGCAAGGACTCGACGACAAGGAGGCGCTTAGTCGATACCCTCCAACGGCTCGGCTATGTTGTTGCTGAATTTCTTCTGACTCCTGTACAGTTTGGTATCCCAAATTCGAGACTGAGATACTATCTTCTCGCGAAATTATCCCCCCTCCGGTTCTCTGGTCTTCATCATGATGAATATCCCTTCGATCGAGTTCACGAGAGGATACCAGGAACTGCATCAGGCATCCCTGTGCACCCACTACGTGAATATTTGGACCCTTCGCATGAGGATGGTAATTATCTGCGGCACAACATCCCCGATCGAGTACTTGTAAAGTGGGGTCGTTTGTTCGACATCGTACTGCCATCTGGTCGACGGACCTGTTGTTTCACGAGGGGTTTGTTTGCTCCAGCACTGGCTATGACATTTATTAATTTTACCCTAGGTTATACACGACTTGTTGAGCGTGCAGGTTCCATACTTCAGGTGAATGAGGATCTTGACGTGAGTTTATAGGTGCAACGTTCAAAGTTGAATTCCGGACTAAAGTGAGGTAGACCACCGAGGTCTTCGACAAGTTTCTTGAAGCTCGATCGCGGGGAGATGAAGACGCCGTTCGCATCCTAGATCAGTTACACCTTCGGTACTTTACACCCAGCGAACTCTTGAAGATCTTTCGATTTGAGGAACTGGAGTACAATCAACAGTTTCTGTGGCCACCCACCGTATCTTTAAAATCACAGTACCGGCTCATCGGCAATAGCATCAATGTGGAAGTAAGTGGGCGTTTGTTTGATACAAGGAAATTTTACTAAATTCCTATAGGTCGTACGGCACCTGATCAATTATCTTTTTGATGGCGAAGAACATACAACGTGATTCTGAACATCTCTTGCTCCTTGCGTTCCCTTGCAATTTGATAGCAGCAATATTGGTTGCAGTTGCATGGAGTTTATTCTGTGTGACTCGTTTGAATCGTTAGTAAATACAGATTACCGTGAGGGATTTGGGGCGCCATGGACGCGGCGCCAGGTTTCGCCGCTCACTAAGTTGAAATTACGCACGTTGTCTTACAGAAATCAAGTGCAATTCAAGTGTTTTGCCGAGGACCGGTTTCGGCTTCCAAGTTACCGGATATATATATTTAGTTCCGTGGACCGTGTCATGCGAGTATAGCTACAAGTTAGTTTGACACGTCCCCGCATCGACATCCTTCGTTCGCACTGCCTGACGCATCGCGACGTAGCATTTTAACATGTCTCAGAAAAAGTTCCAGAGGACTTTTATCGTCGGCTGTGGATGCACTGCATTTATAAAGGTCAATACTTCAATCTTGTTAGTCTTTAGCATTCAATTCATTCGATACGCAGCCCAGAGGCCAGAGGACAACGGAGGATGTAAGTTGAATCAGTACAAGAAATAAATGTTTTCCGATTTCGTTCATGTATAGATGGGACTGGAAGCGGGTACAAAGGCGCTGCTTGATGCTGGTGAGTTACGCATGAAGAGTCGCGTTCAGGCGAACTACAAATTTGAACTTCCTAGGTATTACATATGATGCAGTGCAAACTGCATTTGTGGGTTACTGCTATGGTGATTCTACAAGTGGTCAAGTATGGCACTCCGCAATTTAGTTTTACGATGCTAATCTGTGTAGCGAGCTCTTTACGGCCTCGGAATGACCGGGATTCCCATCACCAACGTGAATAATAATTGCTCGACCGGAAGTACTGCCCTTTTCAATGCAAACAACGCTGTAAAGTCAGGCCTGGTCGACTGTGCCCTCGCATTGGGCTTCGAGCGTATGGCGGCTGGTAGTCTCGGAACCAACTTCCCTGACAGGCCACCACCGACTCTATTGTTTAACAAGCGGACTATAGACCTCGAAGAGACCCTTACCTCCGGAACAAACTTTGGTCCAGGTGCTCCTCGAATGTTCGGTAACGCAGGGCAAGAATATATGGACAAATTCGGTGCCGAGGTCAAACATTTGGCCATGATAGGTATCGTGCAGCGCTCGTGTTGAAAATGTGTCTTCAATGTATTCTAGCTGCAAAGAATCATGCACACTCCGTCAAAAATCCATATTCACAGTTCCGTAACGGATGGACGGTTGAACAAGTCCTACAGGCACCTAAAATCACTGCACAACTAACAAAGTTCATGTGCAGTCCTACATCGGTAATGATGGTCCTACCCTCGAGCACTCAGCGCTTACCGAGCATTAGGATGGTGCAGCCTGTTGTATCGTCGCATCAGAAGACTTTGTGCATGCTCATGGATTGGAGAATCAAGCTATTGAAATAGTCGCGCAAGGCCTTGAGACGGACGACCCTGCTGCATATGATTCTCAAAGCGCTATGGAGGTCACCGGTTACGGGATGTCGAAGCGATGCGCTGACAAAGTATTTAAAGACGCTGGCTTCGCCGACGGCGAAGGGCGTGACTTGGTCGGTGTGGTTGAGCTGCATGACTGTTTTTCCGCAAATGAAGTAAGTCCACCTTTCTTGAGGTAGGCTGGCGATGACTCTCCCTTAGCTCGTCACATACCCTGCCCTTGGACTTTGCGCCCCTGATGAGGCACATAAGATGGTCGAAAGGGGAGACAACACGGTCAGAGCATTTTGTTCAAAATTCGGCAGCATCTGAACCTTCTCTAGTACGGCGGCAAGTATGTTGTAAACCCAAGCGGTGGCCTTGAAGCCAAAGGACACCCCCTCGGGGCTACTGGTCTGGGTATGCATTTCTATATCACAAGTGAGTAGCATTGATTATATCTGCAATATCATTCTCATATCACTTTGGCAGTGCAATTGCGTAATTGTTCGTGTGGCAATTTTGTTTTCCGTTGTCTCCCTAACGTAGTTTATGTTTGCTAGGGGCAGGACCTATGCAAGCACCTGGCTTATTCGACATTCCGGACAAGCGGGGCAAATACGGTCTTATTCACAATATTGGTATTGGGGGCGCAGTCGTCGTCAGTCTACTTCGCAGGCCCGAGTTCTACAAAGCAGGCGGTATCGACGGCCAGGCTAGGTAAACCTGCTCTTATTTGAATACAGTTTACTAACCTGCACGATAAATCAGGCTAGGGTACAACCACGCTCATGAATGCCGGCCTGTTACGTTTGCAGATGTTGACAAAGTTAAGTCGAAGAAATCATCAAAGTTTGTCCTTCAGCATGCAAAGCTTTGAAGATCACATACCCGTGAATGTATTTGTATATTCGTATCTTCTTGTTCTATAAATCTTCAGCTATGTATGATCAAATTCATATAGAATCTGTATGGTGCAAACAGATTTCAATGAAGTGAACGGTATTTTGCAATGTGGACTCGTCTGTGGACGTGTGGATCGTAAAGCTTGCTATTGGCTATTTGCAATTACATAAGATGAGATACAGAGTCCATGCTAGTTAAACGCACAGGCATCTGTGGACCTGCCTTCTTTCTGTCCAAAGTACTACCTATTGCACGGCACGGACAGCATATCATTATCTTCAAATGCAGGCAGCGCCGTCCAGTGCCCTCAGTGCCCTTGCTGACCCCCCTGCTCGAATGGTCGATGGTGTAGCCATGGACTACTTATTGATCGAAGCTGTGAATGCCCTTCGTGTTTCATCCACAGTCGCTTCTGCTAGGGCAAGAAAAATCGAGCGTGATATGGTTGAAGCTGGGTTGGCTCCGCCGCCACCACCACCCGCCAAACAACAGAATCCAAGAGACAGTGCCAGTAGCGCGTCAGGTAAGATATTAGGGCCTGTGGATGAAGAAGAAGAAGGCGTGAGGTCCAGGCTGGAAGCTATTGGCATGCACGTTGGGGGTAATTTTGCGGAGAGGTAAGGTGTCTGAAAGGCAATGTTTCAGATCCTAATTGTCTGCAAGGCTTTGCCGTGATCGCCCATTATTCAGCGACTCCCTGGACGTTATCAAGTTTGTTTGCAAGGATCTTTGGGCCTCTTGCTGGGACAAACAAGTCGACAACTTGCGCACGAATCACAGAGTAAGCAATTGTTTCGTGACTTCAGAGATTTGGCATTTATATATCCGAAGGGAGTCTATGTTCTCCAAGATAATGCCTTTAAGCCAATTGTTCGAATTTCGTCATGGGAGGGTCGCCAAGAAGCCCTCAAGCGAGCCAAACTGGTATGTTGATGGTTTGCCTTGAACATGCATCTATAGGCCTTTGACATGTCACAAAGTATGTCGCACTTCCTGCTGGGATTATTCGGGGTGCATTGTCTCGAATCGGTTTTCAAGGGACGGTGGTTCCTGAAATCACGACTCTACCCCAGTGTACGCAGCCTTTGGCAGTTCATGCTGTATGATGCTGAGCTTACGATCATCAATCAGGCACCTTCCAGATCAAGCTACCAAAAAACATATGAAGCTATAGCACTATCTCAGCCTTGACACGATAGATCATGCTAGCCCAAGTTGCAAAGTGGCTGCTAAACTTGAATCCCCCGGCTGAAAGCTCAGTTGAACCGTTGATGGTGTCGGGGTCATAGAGCGGTGAAATGGACAACCAAGTAGGCAGCATGGTTCAATGGAAGATTCAGGCCTTGCGGGTTCCCCGAATCACTTGTCTCGATTTTCCGGCTACATACTCCTGCCCACATTGCTCTCTTTGTAGTGGATTTATTTGTTCACGGGCGAGAACATCTGAAGTTGGTTATCCACGTCAAGATTCTTGTTACAATTGCAAGCATGAATCAGAATCAGAAAGATTATTGTCACAATTACAGATATGTTGACACGGATGGTCTCCTCCACAAAGTGATGGCCATTTTCACCCCTCAGAAAACATATCTTCGATGGTTTTCTTCTCGTTCGTGGCTTCAAATATAACTTCATCCAGACATAGGATGGTGTAGGTGACACTACGCATGACCGTCGACGACATCTATCGGGGGCTCGTTCCACGTTGAAAATCGAGTCGATGCGATTGGTAAAGATATATTGAGTTAGAGGACATGTATAGGTGACCCAGAAGTAGATGTGGATTAGAGTGGCAGTGGGTGCCGGTGCTTTGAAGCTTCAAGTTCAAGTTGAAGCTTCGAAGGCGCGTACCTTTCGCCAATCGCATATTTTATAATAACTATATTTGGTCATCTGGTACGCCGAAACATTTGCATCTTTTTATCTTACACTGGCGAGAAATGGCCTCCGTGGAGATTGCAGAAGAAATACGCTCGATCTTTCCTGGGACGGAAGAACTCATCGTGCAGTATCTTTCAGGCTATCTGGTCGATGACGCTGGAGAAGAGGAAGATGTTCTTCAGGTGGCCAATGACATCCTGGATTCATTGGGTATGAATCATCCAGACGACGTCAAGAGGCTTATGGCACGCCTACGGGATCTGCTCGCCGAGCAGCTGAGTGCACGAGCGAGAAATAGTGGTCGACCAAAGTTGATGAAGCTTGACAAAGTTATGGATATGAGTAAGGTCGGTGCTATGTCGAACACCATTGGGCTTGGAGAGGGCGTAGACCTGGAGAGCATCAACAAGGGAAAGTGAGCCTGTACCTTTGTATCGTTCCGTCTGCCCCGAACTCAGTGATCCCTCCTACGCAGAGCATCCAGGGTAGATGTGAAAAAGCTTGAGAAACAGGAAGCGAAGCTCAAGGTGAGCGTGAAAGCTTTCTGCGTCACATGGACATGGTGTAACGGTTGCTTTCAGGCCAAGATTGAGAAACGTGCTCGTCGTGATCTCTACGAAGGGTCTAAACTATTGGATCAGCACCGCAAGCAGGTCAGTTGAATCACTTGTCTCTCTAAATCATTCTGATCATGTGCTGGGTAGCAAAATTATGAAGAGATGTTCATGAAGGTTACCTGCTTCACGTGTGCTTATTTTGATCATTCAATAACATCTTTCAGATCAACCCCTTGGAAGCGGCAAATGCTGCCAAAAACAAAAGCAAGGATATACATCTGCCCTCCATTGACGTCAACTTTGGTTCCAATCGTATACTGTGCGTTTCACTTTCGATTCCTGCGATACTGGTTGTGAGGTATCTCCTTAGATCAGGAGCAAGTCTTACATTGGCGTATGGTCGTCGGTATGGGCTCATAGGACGCAATGGTACGCTTTATAATATATCACCTTTCGGACGACTGTACACTTTCATTAGGTGTCGGAAAGTCCACCCTTTTGAAACATATTGCCATGCGGGAAGTACCTATCCCTGCGCATATTACCATATTGTTCGTAGAACAAGAGGTATGTCACTGTGTTTTACATATGGGCCTATGCATGACACCGGTCTAGATTGTTGGGGATGACACAACCGCTCTCGACTCCGTTCTTAAAGCTGACGTCTGGAGAGATCACCTGTTGAAGGAGGAAGCTTCTTTGAACGCACGCCTAGCTACGCTGGAAAAGGAAGGCGATGATAAACGGTTTGAGGATGCTAGGGAGGAGGCTTCATCGAGATTAGCAGACGTGCACGCTCGTTTGAGTGATATGGATGCCGAGAGTGGTCCTTCGAGGGCAGCCACTCTTCTCGCCGGTATGTCGAAATCTGAATGTCAGAGAATGTCTTATGATACGAGGTTTCCAGGCCTAGGTTTCAGCGAGGCTGACCAATCCAAGCCTACAAGGACATTCAGTGGAGGTTGGAGGTAAGTTAAATAAATGGGGCATGACAATGACTGATATATTGGATTCAGAATGCGACTCGCGCTAGCACGTGCACTGTTTGTGAAGGTGCGCTACTTAAGTCCCGTTTGTTCAAAAACGAGGTCTGTAACAGCCACAATCGGATATAGCCTGCTCTTCTTTTGCTCGATGAGCCCTCGAATCATATCGATCTAAATGCGCTTGCTTGGTTAGAAGATTACCTTCAAACATGGCCCGGAACATTGCTTGTTGTGTAGGTTGAGCGAAATTATGAGTTGATATCATTCTGCTCACATTTTGGACAGATCTCATGATCGTGCATTCTTGTGAGTGTGTAGCAATTTTGATTTTACGTCTGAAATGTGATTTTGTGCAGAGATGCAGTTGCGACTGATATCGTACACCAGCACTCTGGTAGACTGGACTATTATAAAGGGTTCGTCCAGCGTTCATGCCCAGACGGGTGTGGTTTCTGACATCAGTCAATTCACAGGAATTTCACGCAGTTCTATTCAACCAAGTCCGAACGCGACCGCAATATGCGAAAAGAATACGAAACACAAATGGATTACCGGAAACATCTGCAGGCTTTCATCGACAAGTGGAGATATAATGCAGCCAGAGGTAGGATTATGAATCAGCGGTTGCTTTGATGTTTCCAACATATTTTTGCGTAGCTTCGCAGGCACAGATGAGAATTAAGATGCTGGAAAAGGTGGGTGTATTTCACAACTTTGTTGCAACCCTAGACCGCTCATTTTGTAGCTCCCTGAGTTGGAGCCCCCAGAGGAAGAAGAGGGTGAAACTTTCAAGTGCGGCAAATTGTTATTGTTACCAGTGCAGCGAGTTGACATTCTGACGATTAGATTCCCCGAGGCCGAGAAGATATCACCACCATTGCTCCAGTTGTCCGAGGTCACCTTCGGGTATACCCCTGAAAACCTTCTCCTCCAAGGCATCAATATCGATGTAGGGTTGGATTCGCGAATAGCTATTGTCGGCGCGAATGGAGCTGGAAAATCAACCCTGCAAGTGATACTATTTGCCTCGAAGAACAGTGATACAACTGAAAATTGGTTGGGCTACGTAGTATTAAACTCCTAACTGCGGAACTAAGACCCTTGAGTGGTGACTTGAATCGGAATGGTCGTCTGCGGATGTGAGTCGTCACTGTGTTTGCATCATCGCCTGCTCACTTGCTTCCTAGAGGATATTTTTCACAACATCATGTCGACACACTCGATCCTGCTATGTCTCCTGTGCAGTTCTTGGCCTCTAAATTTCCAGGAAAGACAGAACAAGAATATCGAGGTCACCTAGGCAACTTCCAGATTAGTGGAATGACGGGGTGCGCAAACTTCTCGTGATCCACTTGCAGTTTATTTCACCAACAACAACAGGCTCCAGCTTATTGGTACGCTTTCCGGAGGTCAGAAGTCCCGTGTCGCGTTTGCTGCCCTATCACTGCAAAATCCTCATATATTGTTATTGGACGAGGCAAGTACAGAAGGTTTCGGGTTATAATTGCTGTTGCTGATACCCACCAGCCCACTAACCACCTGGACATTGAGGTACAGCACAAGCTTCTGTTTCTTTCCTTCTGCTGACCGTTGTACAAGGGTCTGGATGCGTTGATGGCGGCTTTGGGCACCTGGAATGGTGGAGTGATCGTTATCTCTCACGACGAGCGATTCATCACCACAGTTGCAAAGGAGGTAAGCTCAACCAAGTCTGTGTATCTTGGCTGCCATCTAAGTCTCTCTAGCTATGGGTGTGTGCTGATTATGCAGTGACCAAGTTCAAGGGTGATGTACAAGCGTATAAGGTTTGCACCACATCGTGTAGGCCGAGATCATACGTTGATATTCTGGTCACAGAGCATCATTGTGAGCAACATCAAAGCACGACCATAATGGTAGTTTGTGTATGTGGTGTATATGCAAGTAGCACGGAGGTCACGAAGGATCACGATGATCCAGTCATTTCTGTTGCTCAATCTAGTCCAAATTTCGGAAGGTGAGGTGAACCGGAATCCATGTCAGTTTGGAGGTGGTGCGGTTTTGAATCAGATAACTGAAGTTAAAATTTGCGGGTACTTCTAATTGCGAAAGTGATTAACTCGTTTAAAATCGCCTGTCCCGAAAACCTTACCGTTGCTTAAGCGCTTATACTTCACTTAAAAGTTATTTGGTGGTGGTCACGTGCTGACGCGTTTGGCGGGAACCGTGACGCGACCGCGGTTTGTGCTACCATTATTGTTCATCAATCAACATCAACTACCGGGCGACTATTTTCAACAATGAGCTCTTCAGAAGGGGAGAGCTTCGACCTTGAAAACGTCTCAGGTACAGAGAGTGAGGACTACGCTCCTCCTATCAAGAAGCCAGTGAGTCGTACTTAATGAATTGTAAAGGGTGTAACTCAGTGCCACTTTGCAGACGAAGGTACCAGCAAAGAAGACCATCGCGACGAAACCCACATCAAAACCTTTGAAACCTCCTGTTAAATCCAAGGCTGTACCTAAGAAAAAGATACTCGTGGATAAGGACGACAATGCAGACCACAGCGCAATGGACGTTGACGAAGTTGATTCAGGCGATGAGAGTGCAGGGTCATCCAAACCGAAGGCTCCAGCCCCGCCGAAGAAGAACAAGACAGCGTCGGAAACTTACACCAAAGTACGCGTGCTGGAACGCTATCGACGATCCATTGCTTACAACAGAAACTTGGCAGTTGTCTCAACTAGAGCATATTCTAAAACGTCCTGACTCCTACATCGGAAGCGTTGAGACAATCACAGTACCAATGTGGACGTATGACTCAGAGAACAAACGCATGGTTCATAGAGAGGTCAAATATGTCCCGGGTTTCTTCAAGATTGTGGACGAGATTCTTGTCAACGCTGCAGATAACAAGGTGTGGTGTACGACCCCAATCTCTTGCTTGTATTTATAACCAATTGCCATAGATAAATGACTCAGGCATGGATACCATTAAAGTGAACATTGACGTCGAACTGGGCGTTATCTCTGTCTACAACAACGGCAAGGGCATTCCCATAGAGATGCACTCGCAAGAGAAAATGTACATCCCCGAATTGATCTTCGGTCACTTGCTCTCTTCATCCAACTATGATGACGACGAGAAGAAGCTCACCGGTGGCCGTAATGGTTACGGTGCCAAGCTTGCCAATATCTACTCTCATGAATTCACCGTCGACACTGCAGACAAGAACACAAGCCAGAAGTACAAGCAGATATGGACGAACAATATGAGCAAGGTCGGCACTGCAAAGATTACAAAGAACGGAAAGGGCGAGGAGTACACGAAGGTCACCTTCAAGCCGGACTTGAAGCGTTTTGGCATGCAGACCATCGACGAGGACACCCTGTCTTTGCTGAAGCGGCGCGTGTACGATCTCGCGGGCACAGTGAAGGATGTCAAGGTTTTCCTGAACGACGAGCGTTTGAAGATCAAGAACTTCAAGCAGTATGTCGAAATGTACCTCAACTCTGCTGCAGCAGAGGCATCAGAGACATCAGGAGGGGCGGCGCAGGGAAAACCAGCCATGATATATGAGCAGATTGGCCCGCGGTGGGAGGTAGCGTTCGCCGTATCAGATGGTACATTCCATCAGGTCTCTTTCGCCAACTCCATCGCAACCACGAAGGGCGGCACGCATGTCAACCACATGGCAGACCAGATTGCGAAGAATCTCATCGCTGCCATTGGTAAGAAAAACAAGGGCGCGACTGTGAAGCCTGCACAAATTAAGAACCACATGTGGATCTTTGTCAATGCTCTCATCGAGAACCCAACATTCGATAGTCAAACTAAGGAGACGCTGACATTAACTGCCTCCAAGTTTGGCACGAAGCCCGCATTATCTGAAGACTTCATGAAGAAAGGTACGCATCTCTTGGAGTTATACGTTTTGAACTCTCATCGTTGCTCAGTTCAGAAATCATCGATTATTGATCACGTTCTCAACTGGGCAAAGTTCAAGGCTGACCAGCAGATCAAGAAAACTGATGGGAGCAAGCGCAACAGGTGAGAGAGAATTTTTACACAATGAATATTGATCTAAATGTCATCCAGGTTGACTGGAATGACCAAACTCGCCGACGCAAATAATGCAGGCACAAAGCAGGCTGAAAGATGTACGCTAATCTTAACCGAGGGTGACTCTGCAAAAGCTTTGGCTGTAGCCGGACTGGGTGTTGTTGGTCGCGATAATTTTGGCGTCTTCCCGCTCCGTGGAAAGTTGCTCAACGTCCGGGAAGCGAAGCATGACCAAATTATGAAGAACGAAGAAATTCAGAACATCAAGAAGATTATGGGTCTTCAGCACAACAAGGAGTACAGCAATGTGGCCAGTCTGCGGTATGGACGCTTGATGATCATGACGGATCAGGTCAATCCTCTTGTTGAATCGTCGATATCGATGAGAAAGCTAACACGTTGTGTGCAGGATCATGATGGATCTCATATCAAGGGTCTGCTCATCAATTTCTTGGATCACTTCTACCCGTCATTGTTGAAGTTGCCGAACTTCTTGGTTGAGTTTGTGACACCTATCGTGAGGGTACGCAACTTTCTTTTGGAATATGTCTTCTTCTGCTTATACGCGAGAAGGTGACGAAAGGAAAACAACGGATCGATTTCTTCACTATTCCAGAGTATGAGCAGTGGCTGGAGGATACCCCCGATGCTCACAAGTGGGACTCGAAGTACTACAAGGTCACTTCTGATTCTCTCGCGATTTCTACCTTTCTTACGCACGATGTAGGGTCTTGGAACAAGCAAGGACTCCGATGCCCGCTACTACTTCAGCAACATGGCTAAACACATGATCCCTTTTGCAACAACACAAGATGGCGATAGGGAGCTGATTGACCTCGCCTTCAGCAAGAAGAAGGCTGATGATCGAAAGGAATGGCTTCGCCAGTTCAAGGTGAATGAGCATCATAAAGAGTATACTATCATATATTCATCTGTGCCGCTTAGCCTGGGACATATCTCGACCACAACATCGACGAAATTCCTTACTCAGATTTCATCAACCGAGAGTTGATTCTGTTCTCCATGGCTGATAACGTTCGTTCTATACCGTCAGTAGCGGATGGCCTCAAGCCTGGTCAACGCAAGGTCATCTGGGGTTGCTTCAAGCGTAAGCTGAAGAAGGAAATCAAGGTATGTGCACTGCTCCACATACTCAGTCAACTCTAACTGTTCGCGCAGGTTGCGCAACTCGTAGGTTACATCTCCGAGGTCGCCGCATACCACCATGGTGAAGCCAGTTTGACTATGACCATCGTGAACTTGGCCCAGGACTACGTTGGCAGCAATAACTTGAACTTGCTCCTGCCCAATGGTCAGTATGGTACGCGTGACCAGGGCGGTAAAGACCATGCCTCGGCTCGTTATATCTTTACCGAGCTGTCGGCCTTGAGCCGCGCCGTCTTCAACCCCGCAGATGCTCCCCTGTTGACCTACCTGAAGGAAGACAGTGACTGGATTGAACCCGAGTATTACATACCTGTCATCCCGCTTGTCCTCGTGAATGGCGCTGAGGGCATTGGAACTGGTAAGCAGACTAACAAAATGTTTCCTGCGACCTGACCGTTCTATCAGGTTGGAGCACGACAATTCCCTGCTACAACCCGGTTGACATCGTGGATAATCTGCGCCGCTTGATGGCAGGCGAAGCGATGGTCCCGATGTTACCTTGGTGGCGTGGCTTCAAAGGCACAATTAAGAAAGTCAGCGACCACAAGTACGACGTCATTGGTATTGTCCGCAAAGTCAATGACACCACCGTCGAGGTTACGGAGCTCCCGATTCACAAGTGGACTCAAACCTACAAGGCTGAGCTCGAGGCCATGATTGGTGAAAAGGGTGATGGAATTATCAAGGTATCACACATCTAGGCGTCGTCCTGTTCTCCTATTGAGTCATGAGTCAAACAGGACTACAAGGAACACCACGATAATGTGAACATCCATTTCGTGATTAGCATGGCTCCGGGGGGCCTGGAGAAGGCTGAGGAACAGGGTCTCACGGAGTTCTTCAAGTTGACGTCCAAGATCAACACAAGCAACATGATGGCGTTCAATTTCGAGAACAAGATCCAAAAGTACGCCTCCCCTGAGGAGATCATCGAAGAATTCTACCCGCAACGGCTTGCTTACTACCAGAAGCGAAAGGTAAACAATTCTTGAGGATTCAAGGGTTGTTTCGCTTACGTTTTTTTGCTACGCAGGAATACCTCGCGAATGAGCTGCAAACGCAATTTGAGCGCCTTTCGAATCAGGCACGGTTCGTGAAGATGATTGTGGACAAGGAGCTCGTCGTGTCGAATCGCAAGAAGAACGATCTTATGGCTGAGTTGCGCAGGCTCAAGTTCCGACCATTCCCCAAAGTGAAGAAGGCGAAGGCTGCTGCTGGCGAGATGGAGGATGTTGTCCAGCTCGAAGACGAAGAAGATGAAGCGGAAGAGACGGACAAAGATGCTGGAGCGACCGACTATGACTACTTGCTTAGTATGGCTATCTGGAGCTTGACGAAGGAGAAGGTATGTATATCGGTGCTTCAATGCGTTTTCATTCTGAGAATTTTCTAGATTGACAAACTCCTGCAACAAGCGGCAGACAAGGATGTCGAACTTCTTGCTCTTCTTGAGCGCAGTCCCAATGATCTTTGGAATGAGGACCTGGATACTTTCCTGAAAGAGTGGGAGGTAAGTTCGCCTTGCTGTTTGCCAACACCACTAGATTGAGCGTCCATGTCAGAAATCATGTCAAGAGTTTGACAACAAGTCCTTACTCGACGCTAACGGCAAGAAGGTCAAGAAGAAGCAAACAACGCTTGAACATCGCAAGTCGCTACCTGGTGCTGGGCGGAAGAAGGTGAAAGCAAACTCCGATTCAGAGTTCGAGATGGTCCCAGCTGCACAAGTGAAGGGCAAGGGCAAAGCCAAAGCTAAGGAGGAAGCTCCCAAACGGAAAAGGTAGCTTGTTTTTCAGGCAAAAACGAACTACCTCATAACCATTTGTTTAGCCCCAAGGCAGAGGAGGACAGCGATGAAGACTACATCAAGCCTGCGGCGAAGAAGATGAAGGTCACTCAGGCCCCGGTAACCGACTTCTTCGACAAGAAACCATCTGGCCCCTCGGAGCCCAAAAAGCCTGTCGCTCGAAAACCCTCGAGCAGCAAGCCGGCTCCTGCGAAGAAAGCTGTAGCCAAAAAGGAGAGCGATGACGAGATCGTCATAAAGAGTGACTCGGATGCACCACCTGCACCGCCGAAACGGCCAGCACGAGCAAAGACCAAGAAGTATATTGAGATAGAGTCAGATTCTGTTTCGGAGACGGAAAACGTGTCTATGTTTGAGGATGACTGAGTTTACCATTGACATACTTATTTTCTTTGCACATTATCCGCAACTGTTCTGTATTTGTGTCCTACATGACGACGATTTTTCGATGGCCTTGCAACCGCGGCGGAGCGGATATATATGAATCCGGGGCAAAACCACGTGGTCTGTATAATGGACGCGATTTTCTGGTGTTTCGTTTTGATTGTTCTTGTCCTCCCGTCTATCTTCCGGACTTCCAGTGTTGAGGGCAGCAGTGTGCGCGTCTCCTGCGCATGCTTTGGTATTAAGATACCCAGAGGGAGATTCGTAGAGCGTGCAAAGCTCAGTCTATTGTTACTGACATTCAGCGCCATTTTGTTGTGACAGCGTCTGCAGAGACATAATTTCTGCGTAATGGATCCGCATCCGCGTCAACCGCCGCCTAGGCTCAGCATACCTCCAATGATGACCATGCAGCAGCCTTTTGACGGCAGGCAACCTATGTTTTCACCTGCTCTTCCTACTGCTCTCCAGCATAGTTTTCATCCTCCACCCTACTATATGAATGGTCCTCCACTTCAAACACCTATGCAATCGTTTTTTCCTCATCAACCACCTCCTGCTCCCGCTCGTCCTACCTATGTGAATCACAAAGGACACGCAAGCATAGCTCATTTTCCCGGATACCCACCGCCGAGTGCCATTCCCATGACTCCCTTGGGTTCTGCTTTTCCATCTCAGATGGGCCCGCCATTTGGACAACCCTTCATTCCTCGGAATAGAAGGGCTCCAAGCATTAGCATAGGTGGTCCGCCAAAAGCACCTCTTGGAGGACCAGGACGCAAGCATAGCCCCTTGCCTCCTCCACAGGCTGCAGCCACTCCAGCCCCAAAGGGTAAGAAGGTGGTCGTGAATATACCGGTGGAAACAATTTCCGGTGATGCCGGAGAACCTTCAACGCGTCCGTCGTGGGCACGAACACCGGTAGCTGCAATGAACCTGGAAGAGCCAGAGGTTATTGCGCCTGAGATAGCCTCAATTGAGCTCTATCCACCAGATTCATGGCGGCGGGACATTCCTGATACGGTGGACGTGTTTCTTCCTGGACAGGTGCGCGAGCCTCTCAGCTTCTTACCCACAGCGTTTGACGCTTTCACAGGCTGCGTGGGATGCTATAAAGCTCAGTGTTATCGAAGAGAAGCTTGTGAGGTTGGGTGTCGAGAGAGGTTCAGGAGGTATCGTTCCAATCCACGCCCCCCATGCTCGTGCAGCATCAGTATGTATCTTTTTCATCTCACATATCAAATTTTCTTACGGCGTGTTTCCACGTGTCTAAGATTTCATCTCCTGCTGACCCGTCGCTCCTGCACTTCAAGTTGAATAAATTACAGCAGGCTCAGACTGTATCCTCATTGAATTCTCTGTCAAATTCGCCTCAGCCACTAAATATATCTCCTTCTCCACACCAACTTCCTCCTCGATTCCAAAATAGGCATGGTCACAGTCTGTCCCTTGCACACCCTCCTCTCCACGAAAATTTCTACATTCCAAGCGCGGCATTCAATCCTTTTGGTCCGAGCGCAGTCCTCGGCTCCGACAGCATCGAAATAAACGCACCCACCGAGCCATTCCGTGCTCCTATTGAAGGCATTCATGCTCCACAAGGCCGTGTCCCTGTTTCTGTCCCATCTCTTATTCCTCCCGGTGTCTCTCGTGCAAGCAGTCGTCCTGATTTCACACGCGGGTTCGGTCTCGACATCCCGGAGGAGGAGGAGCCTTCGGAGGAAGAAGTTCCCGTTGACATGGACGACAATGCTCTAATTGATCTTGAAGGACCTGATGGTCAAGATTCTGGGAGAGATGCGACGACGGTTGCGCTAAGCAGGTTGCATTCGAGACATGTATCACGACTGTCGGCTGCGCTATCATTGCGGTCGGTCGGTGGTATCGCGGAGGGCGCCATGTCAGAGGTGAATATGGTGCCCATCCGGAGTCCGATAGGCAACCCGGGCATTGATGATCTTGACAAAGAGGCGGTTGGAGAGTGGACGGGATCGGAGGACATGCACGCAGACAAGGAACAATCAGACGACGAGGTATGCCTTACATTTTCTACGATATTCACGCACCATTCCTGACAAAATTGAAGGAGAGCATTGGCGAGTGGTCTAATCCCTCAGATGAAGAGCGGGCTCGTCAAAATCGGGTGCAACGCCGTATTTTGCGCCAAATGAAACATGAAGCTGAGAAACCAAGACGTCTACCCAACTTTCCCATTCCTCCTCGTGGTGGCCTGGGCATGTCTTTGCGCAGTGACTTTGACATTGTCTCGAATCCAAGCGAGGAGGATAACCGAGGAGAGATCCATACGGCATTCCTCGGCGTGGATCCAGCAGATTTCCCAGTTAGACCATTATCGGCATCTACTACTGGAAGGCGGCCTCTCCCTCCTGTCCCCCACTCCCGTGGTCAATCAGGACAATACTCGGTGCATGACCCCGCCCTCGCTCACTCGCGCAATATCTCTGAGCAGCTCGACGGCAATAATGAAGGACCGGCCCCCATCCAGTCATCTTCATTTGGGGCTCTCAATCCACACGCGAAGCCTTTTGTGTTTGGTGCAGCCAGGCAGTCTGGTTCATGGTCAATCGAGGCGGCACCGCTAAAAGTTCCCGTTCTTAGTCATACACGCATCCCGTCCCTCGGAAAGCCACTCAATGCAGCTGCACAAGAATTCAAGCCCACAGGCTTCACATTTCGTCCGCCACCTGGGGTGCCCCGCCTGGCCTTCCCCGCATCAGAGCCCTCGCGGCCTCTGCCGGTCCCGCCCATCAAACCGTCGTCGGTACGTGCTCAACAAGGACGGGAGAAAAGGCAGCGCCGTGGGTCCCGCTCATCGTTTGATGAGGATGAAGATGACAGCGGCAAGGAGAACATGGCCTCATTTAGATTCCCTGCATTGGGCGAGACCCCGCGCAGCCGTCGTTCTGCTCCTACATCCCCATGGACGTTGGGATCGAGAGATTTCAACTCAAGTGCTGGGCCATTGCAACCTCTCACGTTTTCTGGATTTTCTACTCTTGCCTTGCCTGATGAGGATGGAGTGCAGGAGATTGAGATAGCACAGGTGGCCGGCGACTTCGAATCTCCCCAGAACGACGACTTCCTTGGCATTTCCAACACGTTCCCATCGATTGCGCCTACCAGACCGAAACGCGCGCCTATCCCCTTAGATTTCAAGAATCCTACCCCCAGCAACACACTACCTGCTGGTGTCTTCAAAGCTCTGGTGGGTGATGAGAAAACTCGCCGTACTGTGCGCTCTCGGCTGAGTTCCCGCGAGATATTTGAGCACTCGCAACGGCCGTCTCTTGACGACCTTGCAGCGCCCGCCATCTCCATGTTACAGCAGCGTTCACAATCGCGGCTTGTCACTGATCCTGGCCTTCATCGGCATCCGCTCCAGTCTCCTGACATCTTCACGCCTGCTATCAAGCGTCGCTCCTCGTTGCCTGCATTGCATAGCGCTCACAACTCTCACCACTCGGAGCTTTCAAATGTTTCTATCCCTGCCCTCAACCTTACGAAGCGTCTTGAGACGCAAGCTTTGGAGGACAAGATTGAGGCATTATTGACCGAAAAATTCCAAGCTCTCCACACTGAGATCGCCCGCGCCAGAACGTCGGCAGGTGCATCGTCCATCAGCCCTACCACAGAAGATATGATTACGGAGGTTGTTGGTTTGTTCCGTACCCAACTGCAGGAGTCTGCTGCTCGTGGCCTCGACGAGAGCCAGATGGACGCCCGCGGCGAACTGGACCTTGCGGTCATCCGTGATGTGGTGCAGCGAGGTCATGCAGAGGGTCTGCTGATGATACAGACAGAGTTGCGTGGGCTCGTGGATCGCCTCGAGGAAGCTGGACCTACAGAATCAACAACGGATGTTGTTGCGGCTCTGGAGCAATTGAACAAGAAGAACATGCAGGTCATCCTTAACACCATTGACCAGCTGTCGTCGCAAATCGGCCAATACTCTCGTCCTTTCGCAGACGGGGATGAACGGCTATCCCTGGTTACTGATATCATGGCCGCTCTGACACCCACCTTTACGGCTCTGCGACCTGATCCTGTCGACTACAATGTCCTCACTGCTCAGCTCAGCCAAGCCGTCAAGCCAAATATCGAACAGTTGATTGACCTCGCAGCTGACAAACGGGAGACCGCCGGGCTGATCGTGGATAGCATCATCCCTCTGCTGCCCAAGGTGTCGCTGGATACCAATGAAGTAATTGCCCAAATCACTGCGGAAGTTCGCCGTGTCATTGCCCCCATCGACGCGCATGAAATCAAGGAACAAGTGGCTGATCTAGTGGTGGAGCGTCTGGACTCGCGTCTTGCTGTTCGCGACAAGGCGTTCAACGTCGAAATCGTTTCAGGCAAAGTCACAGAGGGTGTCTCTGACCTGCTCCACTCGTTCAATGATGTAGTCCCCAAGCTGGACGCACTGGGTGAGGCTCAGCAGCTCATGTCCAAAAAGAGTGACGAAATTACCTTGAAACACACCGATCTCCACGCCGTTGTCGCCAGCCTCCCTACTCAACTTGATGATCTCAAGTGCGCTATGCAGTTGAGTAGTCAAGAGCTGCAAGCCCGAGCATCGTCTCAAAGTAACGAAGAAGTCCTAACGGCTATCAGCCAGTTGGAGTTTGCCATCAACTCCCTGGCTAGCACCCATCTGGCCCCCTCCACCCAAAACGAGGAGCTTTTCTCGATGTATAAGTCCCTCCGCGAGGATCTTTCTGAACGCATGAATGCGCTCCCTGAGGCGTTGCATGCAGCTGTCAGCGTTCTTCAAACTGCCCATGCTGAGTTCGCAGTCTCTAGGGACGCTTCAAAGAGAGACCAGGAAGAAATTCGTAGACTCAAGACAGCGCATGCTGAACACCAGGTACAGGTGGCGAAGGCTCGTGGAGCCCATGGCCAAATTCGGGTGGAGAAAGAGAACCTCGCTGAACGCTTCAAGGATGTCGAGTCTGAGAGAGATAGGCTCCGTGCTCAGGTTGAAGAACTCCAGAGTGCTATCAAAACCCATAGCGCAAATGTTGCTGCCGTCGAGTCGCGGAATTCTGAACTAGAGGAGGCACTTTCTCAAAGCCTTGCGCGCCTCAAAGCTTCGGACGTTACAACACAAGCCAATCAGGAACGCATTGGTGAGTTGGAAAAGGCGAACCAGGAGGCCTTGACCGAGCAAGCCAACCTCAATTTCAAGGTACGTCGCTCTCTCTGATGACAACGTTCGTCGTTCGTCGTCTGATAGCACTTCAGGTCGGGGAATTGAACACATCAGTAAAGTTTATGACAGATGAGAAGGACTTGGCTGTGCATTCTCTTCAACTCCTCCAAAAAGAACATGAGCACCTGCTGTCACAACAGAGCCACTGGGATGACCTCCACCGTGCAGCTGAGCAAATTGACATGCTCACTACTCTCATGAACCAGTCTGGCAATGAAGAACTCAAGGAACTCCGACGGGCTCGTGAACAGAGTCGTATCCTCGAAAGCGAGCACGCAGCGCTTCAAAAGCGTTTCAGGGAACAGGAACTCAAAATTTCCAACGCTGAACGTACAGCAAACGCTGCCAGACAGAACTTGGCTCAAGCTCAACACCGTGCCTCTGAGTGGGAGAATCGTGCGAAAGAGTATGAGGGTGACTTGGAGATGACACGCACTAGGCTTGATGAGGTGGAGCAAGCTCATGCTCAACTTGATGCAGATCATTCTTTTGCAAAGCTTCAACTGGAAGAAAAGGAAGCAGAGGACCGTTTGGTTAAGGTGGGAACCACAGTTGTCTTGCGTGTTGCATTCTGATTGTCGTCTAATCTGCAGGACCGAGAACAAAAGTTACGCGACCAGGTTGCAAACTTTGAGGCTCAGGTCGCTCGTCTCGAGACCGACCTTTCGAAGACCAAGGCGACCCCAGTTCCATCCATGGTGTCCTCATACATCAAACTTGGTCAAACGGAGTCTCCCCCTCGTCCTGATTCGCGTTCAAGTACCGTCTTTTCTGGGGATAGATCAAGCACACCAGTCGCGCAGATCAATGGCTCACATCTACCTCGTAGCGATACTCCTCCTCAATCATCTCCATCCGTTCGGGATTCGATGCACGCACCACGTAGATACCCCCAGTTTGGTCCTGGAGTACCTGCCACTCCTCAGCCCAGACGACCCATCGGATCATATCGACCTCAATCTGTAGTCTCATTCGCTTCTTCTCACTATGCCTCGCGGTCAGTCGCATCCCCGACGCCAAGTACAGTTTCAATTATACCGGACGACGAGGGTTGGTACTCGTAGCTCGTTCGATACCTGATCTATCCGCATTTGCTCATTTCGGCCTCATCATGATAACCTGATCTAATCGATGATCTTGCTTTTAAGCCCTAGTTTTGTTGCATTTCTTTTTCTATATATTCATTCATTGGTACTCTCATTGGATCCATCGTCGTATATATACCCTTCAATTTTGCTACAGGTACAATCCAACGGATGCGCATTATGTTACAACTGCGTGGGATAAGATGTAAATGTGATGGTAGGTGAGGCTAGCAAAGCAACAGCAGATAAACGCCAAAATGGAAAAGAAAAGAATATGTCAGGTAAAAGCTATCCTGTCGTGGGCGGCCATATCCAGGTTTGCACTGCGTCTATAGCTTCAGGACAATCATCTCGAGGGATCCTGTGGGAGGCATCAGTAGAGGTCACAAAGGCATGCAAGATGGTATCACTTGAGTTTAGGCTCCCACCGTCCGTCGCGTCTCTCAAAGTAGCGAGGGATGAATCTCTCACCGCTCTCCTCTCGTTTGCGACGCAGTTCGCGTTGGGCGTCTTCCACTGCGCTCTTGGCCTCCGTAGCACGTTCCATATTCCTCTCCTCGATAGCCTGTGTGAGGTCTTTCCATAGGCTGCGCATCCAGGGGCCATGATCAGCCGCATGTCCAACTAGTAGATTTAAACAGAGTTACCAGCGTGATTCATACGGTTCCTGTTGTTCTATGTCCGGTACATATTTTGGTGCTATGCTTTGTCCATCTTTCGCGGCATCGAATAGCACGCGTTTGCTCCCACTCTGAAACTAGATCAGGAAACTGCTACTGAGAAGGCAGTTCTTTGGCGAACCTTGACACTCTTGAGATCCATGACGTGACTCCACCGCCCTGACACCTCACCTATGTCTGAGTTTCCTCGGCGTACACGTCCAGCTATTGCGTTATATGTTCCAGAGAAGAAGCCCTGAGATAGTGTTAGACATCGATCACCCAGGGAGCCGCGCAGTGACCTTTGTCTTGAACTCCAAATCACAGAAGAGTCTATTCTTCTCGTTCTTCACTACACACGTGTCACCTAGCTCCAGTACCATCTTGCCGAATAAAATCCCCCTTGCGTACATATTAGGCATCGTTACTACGTACTCTGCCATGCATAGTCAGTAACGGCATGTCTGTGCATGCGCAGCTGGAACTACACACCGCCATCATCTGGCACACCCATAAGTGTTATTCTGTTCTCACCCTCCATGGTGGTAGAAACACTATTGCCAAGGAATTTAGACTTTGGTCTGAGCTCGCCGACAATGCAGACGCGGTTTGCGGGGGAAATGTAGAAGAACGCGGAGATAGGTGGGTGGTGTGATACTGAAGGGCGTACTGGTGAGCGCCAGGACACATTCGTCTGCTGCAGAAGCAACGTACCTTGCTCAGCGACAAAGAAACCTTCTGTACCATTCGGGTAGTCATATCTACAACGGAAGAACTCTCCAAGCACGGGGTTGTATCTGCGCTCGCTAACCAGGGGCTGATGATGCAAGATGGGCGGAGACTTACGGTTTCTTTACGCCCTTGGGCTTGATATGCCAACCAGCGAGGTAATACTGGAGGATGCGAGCAAATCGCTCTTCTGGATCGTCGCATTTCTCAGCACTGGGCAGGGGGTTATGCCTTAGATCGGGAGAGGTAACGGTGTACTCGCCCGAATATGAGATCCGGATGCGACATGAAGTCCGTGATACGCTCGAGCATACTCCGGGGCTCAAGCACAAACGTAGGAAAGGTAACTTTGGACAGGTCCATCCCAACTCTTGTCCAGGTGTCAGAACCGAAGCCTTGACACGTAGCACATAACACGTACCTGAGCTGGGATATCAGTGAAAGAATAACAGATCCCTCATTCTCGTCTCTACAAGCAGAGTCAACATCGACGACGATCATGGGTATATGTAAGAATGAGTAAAGGAAGAATGACGGACAGGATTGAAGTATCGTCAGGTTCTGTGTCTTCTGGCGCCCTGTCGTCCACGGAGAGACCGCGTGCCCTCTTGATATGGGATCCAGCCTGGCTGAAAAGGCCCATCATGGTCGATGACACGAAAAATTAGACGCTAGCTGAGAATGTTTTGACAAGTGAGGCCTGCGGGCCCTGCTGCGTCCCTGATTTGTTGCGTTTGGTTGATTTGGCTGCCTCGGAAATGATAGCCTAGTCACTAAAGCGCTGATGATGAAACACGCGTCACGATTCAGAAGTTGGAAGTCGACACCAATCGCGATAGACCCAGTCTGTAGGGGCAAAATTGCTGCACACTGCTTATCAGATTTGCCACGAAAGTTCGACCACTGATGGATTATCACAATTGCAAGTACATGGTATGTAGCCTGAACCCAATAGCACAACTACATGCACAGGTGCATTATATATAAAACTAGATGGTCATTCCCATGTAAAAACATCTGGTTACCTTCCCAGCACTACTCAAATACTATCTTCGTAGGCGCAGCAGTGATATCGTCTCGGAAGAAAGCTCCGTATGCCGCGTGCCCCTTCTTCTTGATGGTCATCGGGAATTGTTTCAGGCTGTCTGCCTGCGTATCGAAACCGCCTTCGCGAAGCACACGTGCAAGTTCACCAGCCAACGCTCGCTCGTGGTTTTCTCCTGTGAAAAAGGTAATGGATTTACCGGAGCGCCCACCACGACCTGAGTCGATTGGTGTCAGTCTCTGTACCAGAAAAGAGATATTAAATGGCCACGCACCCGTACGTCCGATTCGGTGGATGTAATCTTCAAGGGTCAGCGGAAAGGTGTAATTTATCACGGCCCCAACATTGGGAATGTCTAGCCCCCGTGCAGCAACATCCGTGGCCACCAGTAAACCCGTCTCCCCGGTCTTGAACTTTTCGAGTGCGTCCATACGTGCAGTTTGTGACATGTCTCCATGCAATGCACCGACATCGTAACCTGCACGCCTCAGTGATTGCTCGATACGCGTTGCCTCTTTCTTGTAAAGCGCAAAAATCAGAATGCGCGCCTCATCAGAGCCTTTGCGTGACGTTTTCTTATGTGACAGAGCTTTGAGGCAGTTGAGAAGCCGATTACTACCGAATAGTGAGTCAACAATAAAGCAAGGACCGAGAGATACGGACTCTTTGTCACGTGGGTCATCAAATACTTCAACGACTTGCTCAACGCGACTGTTTGCTGTGAGATCATCGCTGCCAACAGTGACTCGGACAGGATTGTGCTGGAAAGAACTCGCCAATCGACGAACAGCTTCAGGCCACGTCGCACTGACTGAGATTGAAATCAATTGGAAACGCGAAATAGAACGGAGGAAGTACTCACACATCATGGTCTGGCGCCCCTCCCCTTGAATAGTATATGAAATAATTTTCGTGATATCATTTTCAAATCCTTTATCCAGCATTCGATCAGCCTCATCTAGCACGAGATAATTTACTCTGCGCAATTCGCAAGCAATGCTTGAGATGTCGACGTCCCATTGATTAAAAACAAGCTCACCTGCTCAGGTCGCAGAAACCGTCTTGAACCAAGTCGATTATGCGTCCGGGCGTTCCTACAACAATTCTGGTGATCTTCCCGTCTGTGTTTCCATTTGCCAGGGCTTTAATCTGTGCATCCTTCGGGACGCCACCAAACACCGCGACACTAGCAATGCCAAACGGTGCACCCAGCGCAGAGAGTGCGTCATGAGTCTGGATCGCAAGCTCACGTGTCGGGGCGACGACAAGTACAGAGATTGTGTTTTCTTTCTTCTTAGGCTTTTTGGGTGAAACAATGAGCTGTGCGAGGGCAGGTATGCCAAATGCCAGAGTCTTCCCGCTGTTATCCAGAAATAAGCCTTGGGGTGCAATGGTATGCAGAACTGCAAAACCTACCTTCCCGTCTCTGCAATACCCACTACATCCTTTCCTTTGAGCGCAGGCGGCCATGTACACGCTTGTATTGGAGTAGGCTCTTTGAAGCCAGTAAATGCGCCTCGTAGGCCATCCGGTATATTGAGCTGGTCGAACAATGTTACAGGTACAACAGCGTCGCTGTTCGTCTGGGTACTGATGGTGATGTTGTGCTTTCTGAGAAAGGCTTCTGCTTCGGTAGGAGAACACGGTTTTATTGAGAGTGAAGATGAGGTAGCTAACGAGGGTTGTTGGGGAGTGACTGTAGTGTTGGCAGAGGTTGTTTCCAGTTCGCGATCGTGCTTTTTCTTTTTGTGCTTCTTGGAGGGGCTAGGTTTGTCTATTGCGTCTATTGCTTGCGCAGCATCACGCTTGCGCTTTTTGTGCTTTTTCGAAGCTCCTTCACCATCTAGGTGTTAGGTATGTAAGGATGGACGAACGGCCGAGTATACATTGATACTGTTTGCTCTCACCAGGACTTGGATCTTCATCACCTGAGCCTTTGGTATGTTTGTGTTTCTTTTTCTTGTCCTTGGATTCTGGATGATATTACTTCATAGATTCGAGCGGTAAAAAAAAAGGATGCTTACCGGATGGTGTATCAACAGCTATCTCAATCGCAGTCTCCTCAACATTAGAAGAAGCAGACTCGATTGACTTCTTCTTGTCCTTGACACGTCCTGTGACAAATGATTAATTGTACAGACCATGACATGATGCGCCCAGGACACATACCTTCTGGAAGATCTACGTCCATCGTAGCATCCTCGGAAACAGCAATAGTAGTAACCTTGGGATCATGAGATTCCTTGTGTTTCTTCTTCTTGTCTTTTTTGTCCTTCTTTTCAGCTGGCTTGTCTTGACTGGTCAGGAGGGATGCAGGTTGTAATGAACTATGCAGACCTCTGGGCTCGTCGCTGGCGGGATCGGCAGACTTTTTCTGCTTTTTGTCCTTCTTGGACCTTTTGGGCTCTTCCTGGGGTATTATGTCCTTAGACATAGTGCCGTCTAGATCTGTATGTCTATGGAAGCAATTGAAGAAAAGCTGGTTATTTTGTGTCCCACGCCTCAAAGTCATGAAACTTGCAGTGCACTGACGCCCATTACTTACTCTCCATGACTTGCAGGTGCGCTCCGCCCACGTCAGGATGTTCGCGAAGACAAAGTTTGCGCTGACTGGAGTGTTGTCATAACTTTTCATGCCACCCTGGCAATATCAACACACCAACCGTGGCATTACTTGCGCGTTTTCTGACAGATGGGCGCATTTATATTCAAGTTGATTCAGGGGGTGTAATGTTCATGTCATCGTCTCATACAAGACAGAAGGAAACCTTGCCTTCTTTCGTGTAAACGTCGAGCGGATAGTTTTGTCGGCTTTCAGTCGTCAAAGTAAACGACACGTGACTCGACGCGTCGCGTTGTCGTGCTGTGATGATTAAAGTTTGGAAGAAGTTTCTGCGTAAAAGCCCGTCACGCAGCCAACGCCATCTTAACAACGTTTTAGCTGCACGCCAACTCGCCCATCGGGAGGCTCTCTCGGACCACTCATCGATTTGTCCCCCATGCTCTTGAAAACGATGCCTGGCAACAACTGAAGCTAAGGAAGCCCCACCACTAGCTAGGATGGATAGGAAAGAGCTGGTAACCACGCTGTATACTCACGCCTGCCATTGGTAGGTTCACTGCGACTCGGTCCGAGGTATAGACTGCCAGGATGCATGGATAAAAGTACAACGTTTTGCGGCTATGCGTCAGTCGATCTTCAATCTAGTTGGCCTGGCCCATAAGAATATCGATGTGAACCCCATCATTCACGCCGAGTACGTTGGCCGCCTACTTCACGGAGAGTTGTATGATGACTACGATGAGGCACCAATGACCATCCCCTGGTACCAAACAAGGACATAGGAAGGTCAGTGTCGAGGGTTGGAATCGATCAAGATTTCACGACATCAACACCGAGAACCACGTCAATATCCCCGCGCCATCCCACATCAACACACGAACGTCGGAAATTTGACAGTTCGGGCGTTGTGCCAAGTGGCAGTGAACGAACTTTACCGTCTTTAGATGTGCCTCACGGATATCCGCTGCGAGAGATAGGAACAGGAACGTACTGCTCTCAGGGCCGCTAGCTACATACCACTCACCGAATATGGACCCGCGATGGCAACTGATGACAAACCTGAAATTGACGCTGGTGACAGCGATGTCACCGTGCCTTTGGCTCCTAGTATCAGTCCGGTGGCGACTCCGGCCCCTACGCTTGGCATTCAAATTGGTGTACCTTCTTCGGCTGACCAGGATGCCGAAATGTTTGCGGTTACTCAACTGAACGACGACCTCAGACACTTCATGCATTCTATCAGCGGACAGTATGCTTCCATCATTTCTAACACGGTATTTTGACCGACCTTCCGTTCTCTCTGCGATTTCTGATTCATGGGTGGACATCATTTCTGCCGAGGCACCATATCAGCCTCCAATCAAATTCGACATTCCAATCTTTGACGATATCGAAGCCCACACCACTTATACTGCATTTCGACTGGTGAATTATTTTCCAAGCACGACGCTACTTTCGAGCCCACAAGCGAATACTGCGGCACATTCTCATTTCAGAACAACGGTCGGAGGCACCTGGCGGAGTCAATGACCCAGACAGACAATGCGCAACATCACCGCAGGTCGGCCTTGACGGGAATGAACAACTCGATAATGACGAGGCAGTTATGTTCACCCGAGACAACATTATATTGCCGATAATTCCTTCATTTGAAGTGGTCTCTTCCAAACCGATCGGATCTCCAAGTTATTTTTCAGCCACGATGCTATCTTCGAGTCCGCAAGCGAAGATTGTTGCGATGCATTTTCGTTGAGGTGTGAGCAACGGTCGACCGCACCTGGCAGAGTCAAGAGCCCAAACAGCAAATTTACGACATCACCGCGGATTATCCTTCTCGAGATCGGAAAATGCGACGATGGTGGGTCCCGGGACGCCAGTTCTTGCGCGAGGGTTCCTTCATTTGAAGATGTCTCTCCCAAGCAATCAGGCGGATCTCATACCTCACCAGGCGTCGCTTTGATAGCCAACCTGTCGACGATTCTTTCCCATTCAAGTCAAAATTAGAGGTAAATCAAGATGCTTTCGTTGGCTGCCTCACTAATGCTTATGAACAGAGTCTCGCGCTGCATAATGAGTCTCTCATGTATACGGGAATTTCAAAGCCGCAAGGCCCTTTCAACCATTCTCTCCGTATTGCTCAGATGTGGATAAAAGTGCCTTGCCATCCAGTGCAATCAACTGCGACGGTGCTAGCAATTTTGTGCTCTCTGCTTCCTACCTCTTTCCGGCGACCAGACAAAGAGTCAATCCCCTCCCTGGCCGCTGTGCTTCCGTCCGAGTTCCGTAGAAGCGTATTCGCATGTTGAGATTTGATGACCTACCCTGCTAGCCTCTAAGACCATCACACGTCGCAAACTTATCCTCCCCTGCAAAAATATTCCCCCTCCTCCTCCCCTACTACTCGAATCTGTAGCTGGCTTTCGCATTCTCTTTCGCAGCATTATGAGCCATACAACTTATACTCGCGCGAACACAAACTTCACCTACTGTAATCTCGTACTGCCGAAACACCTTCATCTTGCGCCTCACACCACATACTCTGGAAGTAGTGCGCAGCGTCGCCTCACTGCAGGTGAGTTACTGAATTGTAACGACATGTACATATAAACCTATGGCTGATTTTTCACCCGCAGTCAATACTTGCCACCAGTTTGCGGCGCGCTACCAACTGAGAGCAAGGCTGCAGTTCATGGAGCATATCTGGGTTCCTCCTCGTGGCAGGGGCATCAATATTCAATGCCCACTGCCCGCTGGAATATCACAAACCTACTGCTGTGCTTGTTAGGGTTCCTCGTCGTGGCGGGGGCGTTTCTTTGCCCACTGCCCGTTGGAACCTTGCAGGACTGCGGCTATTGCTTCTACGGGTGTTGCGCTGTTGCAATCACTTTCAACCTTCTATTAACATTGACGCTCACCACAGAGGAGTGGTGCATTACGACTGGAATTAGACCCTTTTCATAACGATCGATTTGTAAACGAGATTCTTCCTTACGGTTCTGGGATCTACTTATATTGTATTTGCACTGCACCATTCTGGGACGTTTACAGTAGAACTGGGTTTGTACATCTCACAGTACTCACACATACAATTTGTGTCTAACGTGAACTAGCGTCCTACTATCGTAAGAAGCAATTTAAATGCTCAGTCCACCTTGGCCCGTTTCCCGTAGTAATAGGAAGTACGACCGATTCCCGCGAACCAGGCAAGTCTTACAGAGTTGCTTGTGTGAACAGCCTGGACCATGATGCATTTGCTCTTGACATACCTTACGCTCAAGAGGAAGACCACAAATGTGATGTTGCCATGGGTCATGGGATTCCACTTGTCAAGGGAGTACTTGAGCTCGTCGGGGAGGCCGATAAATGAAGCAGCAATACTGAAACACGTTGCGTAGGGGAAACACTTGCAAGGTACTAAGACTTACTGTGTCACCTAAGATACAGCAGCTCGTTAGACGAGTGAATGTGAGAAAAGGAGAGAACCTACGTCTGCCAGCGCGAGCGCAGTGAAACTTGCTCCAAGTATGCGCTCCTGAGCCTCCGGATTGTTCGGAAGAGCATCTCGAATAGCTCTGAAGACCAGAGACGAAATCAAACCCAGGAGAAGGTAGCCTAAAGATGCTTCAGTTGGTTACAATGGACAAATTAGACGTGGAAGATGCACAGTTTCCCAGTTGCCAAATAGCCATCGTAGTCCTAGCATCTAGCGGACCGGAAGCAGCAGTTGTAGTTGGTATTAGCTCATGGTGGAACCAGGAGGCGCCTGGAAAGAACCATGCCAAGATGGCAGGTGATACGGTCGACACTGCAGCATGACCATGATTTCGTCGTTTGAGCAAAAATGTGAGTGAGATTGGAAGGGTTACTTACCCGGTTCAATGTACAAGAAGAGGGTCCGGTAAAAACCTGGCAATGCTGGAAAGTCGCGAGCCATATCGTATGATGCGAAATAATGGTAGCGCTGCAGCCTACTATGCCGCAACTTAGAGTGTGCAGGGCGTGGATACCGTGTAACGCGCCGGGTGCCACGGTGTTGCCAACTGGCTGTGCAACTTGAATGGCTTTTCCTATTCTCTTCAAGGAATTTTTGCCAGGTCCTACTGTTCTTCAGAATCTGTATCAATGGCTGAGTAGACGTTAACGGCACTTGAGTGCTATATGATGATTCCAGTGAAGCAGTCACTGCCCGTGATGCAAGGAAGTATCATTGTCATGGTACCACGTATGATATTTGTGTTATGTGGGTCCAACCCGAACGGTCAGCGTCAAGTCGGAGGAGTATCATGTCATCAGCGCCTACGTTGTCAGACACACTGTCAATTACTCAAGCCACAGGTTTAGTGACTCAGAGTTCCTTGAACCTGATCAATACCTTGGATATACCATTCTTCGCCGTAGACGGTCGCTCTCAACTCAGCTGAACACTTACTGTTGGATGTACAGCCCGAACTCATCTGTTTTCGATCTCCCGTTGCAGCCAGACAGTACAAGGACAACACATGAAACATGGGACCGACACGATACATCCCTAGTAACCGATGACCATGACTGTCATTTCCAGAATCATGTGTCAGACGCAAGTTCGCGCTCAAAACTGTCTTTCTTGGTGATATCCGGTGGTTCGGGCGGGAACACCATATGCGCTGCATTCGAAAATGCATGCTACGTTCTTCCGGTCTCGGACGACGGTGGATCGTCCAGTGAGATAATCAGGGTACTCGGCGGACCATCTATAGGTGAATAGCACTTCTCGCTCAGTTTGGGACGTACTCATGGCAGAAATCAAGGTGACATCCGCTCAAGGCTTGTCAGATTGATCCCTCTGGCTCCTTCCGGTTCGCCTCTCGATGCCGTGCGCACTCTTTTGTCTTATAGATTACCCTTGAACGCGTCCGAGAATGAAGCACGTGCTGAATGGCGGGGCATCATCGAAGGTCAAAGTCCTCTGTGGTCGGGCATCCCGAACGACCGGAAGGAAGTCATCCGAGGTAATGCTGATAATGGTTGCCAACCCTGCCATGTTGATGGCGTCAATTAGGTTTCCTGGTATACTTTGAGAACGAAGTCCTCAAGCGAGCACACAAACACTTCTCCTTCTTGAATGGAAGGTTGGTTGTAGTTGCCCCTGGGCGGACTATTGGCACTGATTCAAACCTACGCCTCACAGCATAGGTAATTACTTCTTGGCAGGCGCGCAGGGCTTCTTTCGGTCCTTGCCGTCCGCAATATTTTTATTTTCTACAATAACGAATAGCCAGGTGTGTTTGTCATAAGACAGATGAATGAAAGAGAAGCACATCCCTGAACACGATTTAAGGCAAACATTCTGCCAGTCATTGTGACGAATCATATCACGACCATTGCAGCGGAACTGGTTCGTGCTGATGTTGAGATCGGGGATCTGTTCCATTTGACGTGACTTGTAGGAGAATGGCGCGAAGCTGCTGGGCCAATGTGGAATATCGCACCCAGTAGCTCCTGCAGTTTCCTCTGACTCAGAGCTGCTGTCCTTGGATCCGCTATCTCCCATCGATGGAATAGGCGAGATCATACCGCAGAATCGGTTTAACATTATGTACAGTCAACAAGCCAAAGAAGGCGGATATGAGCCTCTCCATTCTCGAATATGCAGTAAGTAAACTTGTTCAGGGTCTGATTCGCGGTACCCATCCTGTATCAGGACTCTACTATATTAATGGGTATGGCCATGAAGTGTACCCGAAACCAAACCCTCAGTTTATCAAGAAACTATCAACTTCGGAAGTGTTGGTGTACTCATGTGGATCTTTGTGGACGAGGCGAGTGCGCGATCCAGGGACTCGAAACATCTTCCTAATGGAGAATGCTCAGCATCATTCCCTGCCTGGCTCTCCGCGGCGTAGCATCTGCGATCGCGGGATCTCGGCTCCTACGTGTCAAAGTGCTTCTTTGTAGGTCCTGCGGCACTGTCCGGTCACCTACACTCAGTGCATTCATCTCCAACAGTGAACGGCAGTAATGATAGAGAAACAGATGGATACACCGCCGTCGACTATATCAGGTGAATTCTTATTTTGCCCTGGGATCTTGATCTCAAACAGCGCAGAGCTATCACCTCGGTGTTGAATTCGCAATACCCGCTAAACGGACTGGGAAACGCTCCACCATATCCGATATCAGCATTCATCACGCATCTGGTATATCTCGAGGGGACAAAGGTAGCAGTAGACGTCGAAGCAATAACAGTGAGCCGTTGCCTCGTGTTTCTACCCCTGGCCACCATCAGACTTATCATTTCATACACCTACAGACACTCGGTGTGAAGTGTATTTTGGTTGGGAAAACATTCGAACGTGCGCCTAATTCTGGGGTACCGCAATACGATGCTGTTATAGTTCAGCAAGCTATTGAGGAGATTTTATCAGGACAATAGTTGATGAATTCACACAGTGTATTCTCACTGAATTATATAGACAGATCGTTGCTGTACATCATGTCTCTGTGATCTTTCTCAGCGTTTCCTGGGATTTGTCTTGTGCCTGTGTGATGTCAAAATCCAAAAACCGCAACCTCCGACTTGTGCTCATTGGTGGTCTTAAGTTCAAATTGTGTGGGGCGTGGCACCAGCACGTGAGCTTGAATATGCATCTATTACCTCACCAAATGGACTTCGACTAAGTACTAATCTGTGCTTTCCCCACACAGATGCCAACACTAACCACCATCTCAAAATCCCACATGTCTCCCGCGAGCGTCGCAGCTAGCAGTGCGCTTAAAGCAGATATCACTGCAACGCAGAGCGGCGACCGGACTCAGGGCGATACTCAGGGGGACTCAAGGACCCACAAAATGAAAGGTATGTGGATATGAAACTTCTGTCTTCGTCTGACCTCACGCAATATCATCTCATTGCGGATAATCATTTTTAAATTGATTCCATAGAGCAATCGGTTATCTTGCCTAATCACCAGCACAGGCCGGACAAAAGCAGGGAGCCAAGGGAAGCCCGCCGCCACAGCATTATATTTGATTCCGAGGATGAGGACTGTTACGAGGACACGATCGATTTCATACGTCGTTCTAAACAAAGACGTTCATCTCTAGATGGACCTCGACCATACGTAAGCCTCCACGCTGTCACATGCGATCTGGGGTGCTCAGTTAGTCTCAATGCATTGAACGTAGTTAACAGTGTCCGGAGATGACCTTCAGGGCTCTAGTGATCGCTCCAGCCCACGCGTCCACTTTCGTTCTCGTGTACGCATAACTGCTGGCATGCGTCGCAGGCGGCTTTCTGACGGACTGCCGTCTGGTGCTTCGTCAATATCGGGTTCGCCTTGCTCATCCATTTCTGCACCATTGCGTTCTGCGAATGCTGCAAGTTCAAAAGGATGGGGCCCACTAGGACAGCGAGTGAGTATCCTCGCATCACAGAGCTATGATTCGGAGCCATCATCACCCACTGGTCGGCGGAAAACACGACACAAAATCATCCCATCGGAACCATATCACAGTCCTGTGAATGAACACACGCCACTCTTACGACCCCCTTGCAGATACTCGTACGCAAGGGGATACAACGAAGATGATTTGGCGGACGAGGACGTGGAGAGGCAGCGAGAACGTGTGATAGATGAAACCTTCGGCAAGTGGCCCGGGAGACTGCTGAATCGCCACGTGAGGAGCCAAGTCACCTACCTACATAGTGTGGATTGCTCACGTTCTTCCAGTGGTGGTGGTGGCAACTTGAACCACTTGTTTGCTGCACCTGTGTGGACTGCTCTGACGTTGAGGAATAACATCAAAATGCCACCCGAAATCTCTTGCATGTTATGGGTACCATCCAGGCGTGGTGACCTTGCTGGTGACCCTTTGCTTTCACGCTACGTTGGTCCAACTACCTTTGTATACTAGCATCACATTATATCCAATATATTCTGTTGCAAGAAAATGGTCTATATCCTCTATCAAAATCCTCATTCTATTATCAATGCGATGGCATCACCATGGTGGGTGGGAGCGTTGTGATAGGAGGGAGCAGCCCAGCGGCGGTCTTGCGTGCGTTTTGAATGAGTAGCTGGTCCATAACGACAATGGCAGCCATGGTCTCAACGATGGGAACAGCACGAGGGACAACACAAGGGTCGTGACGCCCGCGAGCAGCAAGTGTTCCTTGTGTACCATCGTACTGTGCGGTGTGTTGTGCTTGCGATATGGTCGCAGGTGATTTGAATCCGATTCTGCAGTAGACAAAAGTGAGTTGAGCATGACTTAAGGTGTGGAATTCCGCACCTGAAGTAAATGTCTTCGCCATTGGTGATACCTCCCTGGATACCACCACTCCAGTTAGTGGAAGTGCCGAGTTTACCATCTTTTATGATAAAAGCGTCATTGTGCTTGCTTCCGGGAACCTCGGTTCCTTTGAAACCCGAGCCGACCTCGAAAGCTTTCGTGGCAGGAATTGACATCATAGCTTGCGCAAGTTTCGCTTCGAATTTGTCGAAAACTGGCTCTCCGAGACCTGACGGGACATTGCGAATGACGCACGTCACTGTCCCACCAATAGAGTCCATAGACTCTTTAGCGCGGATGATGCGCTATTGATGAATTAGCAGTCAGTTACCAATTACAACAGACATCAGGGGGGAAATATAATTCACCTTCGTCATCCGCTCTGCAGTTCCTAGATGAGGGCAGCGTGTGGGATGCTTGTCAACCTCTTCTCGGGTAATCGTAGCTAGTAACTGTCTAAACTCGGGAGTTAACGCGTCCGCCACGTCATCGTTGTCCTCGTCCCCGTCCACTGGCGTGAGGGACGGTGCTGCTATATTGGACGGCAGATGGATCTTGCCAACTGAACTGACAAATGCGACGATCTCAATGCCAAACACCTGTTTGAGGTATTTCTCGGCGATAGCACCCGCTGCAACACGACCTGGGCAAATAAATTTGGAATTAGAGTCTGGGGAATGTCCCAAACGAAGTGAATTCACCAATAGTTTCACGTGCGCTGCTACGTCCACCTCCACTACTAGCTTTCACACCATATTTTTCGAGATAAGTGTAATCTGCGTGACTCGGGCGAGGGTATAAATCGGTCTCAGAATAATCCTTTGGTCGTTGATCCTCATTCTTTACGAGGAGACCTATAGGAGTTCCAAGGGTGACACCTTGCTCGATGCCAGATTGCACATGCACAAGGTCCTTCTCGTCTCTCTATCGCAGACTTCGGGGTGAGAATATTGGACACAAATAGAAAAGCTCCTCACAGGTGTGGTAAGATTGCTCTGTCCTGGTCTTCTGCGACTCAGTTGCACCTGAATGTCTTGTGGAGATAACTCCAGCCCCTGCAGCATATTGACAATTGTGAACTTTGGGCTTATATTACGAGCGGAAATGATTCATACAGGAGGACATCCATCGATGATCGCACCTACAGAGGCGCAATGGCTCTCACCGTAGGTAGTTACGCGGAAAAGGGATCCAAAGGTGGACATTGTTGGTTGAAGACAAGAGGTGGAAAGTGAGAAGCTCAGGAATCGTATGATAAGATTTCTATTTATCAGTATGGCAATACTTAACCGAACAAATCGCGATTAACGTCGGCCTAGGCTACAAAGCGTCTTTAAGCTGTGTAAGCTACGGCCTGACTAGTACTGCAGAGCCTTGACTAGCCTTGGTCTAGAGGTTGTTAGAGGTTGTTATGAGACAGCATCATATTCGAGGACTAACCGAAAAGATAAAATGACAAGCGCCGTGGGAACATCATTAGCATCATGAAACGGTTCAAGTTTTCAGTCAAACGGCCAATATGTCTGTAGTAGCGACATTATCAGCCAACGCCGGTTCGGCATCAGGCTCACGTTCCCGTCCTCAAGCTCGCAAGAAGCCAAACGACGATGCAGCCTACTTTGGAGTCGCAGGAACGAAAAGACAGGCGGCGGACAGGGCAGATGGGGAGCCACGCGTAAAAAGAAAGAGGGTGGAACACGGCGCAGCAGTCAACAGAAGGGCAGATAAATCTGCAGATAATGACCTAAAGAGTGCAGTGAGGGAATTCCCTGACACCTGCCACCATGACATTGATACATTCCCCGTTAGATCGACTTCAGAAACATGCCATCCGCAGGGCTTTATCGTTACCTCTCCCATTTCAATCTCATTCCACCCGTGTACCCATCACCCTTGACCGCAGCAGATCCACCTTCTCCCGATTCCCTCCTTGACCCTGTACGCCTGAATCCACGCGGCCTCAGTCCGTTCGCGATCCCCACTTCTGGAAACAGGCCAAGGAGAGATACCAAAGATCCAAGCCGCCGACGAAGCTCGCGCTTACTCGAGGAAAGCGAGAGTCGCACGCCCATCTTGGCGGACATTGCTGAGATCCAAGCAATCCTCGCTGCCATTGCAGAGAGACATTTCCAGGACCATGCGGTCAGTGAAATAGACACGCTCGCGTCATTCATGGTAAAAACCTCTACCAAGTACGAGTAGAACGCATCTACCGTGTAACTGATATACTGTCATAATATACCCCTCAGCACAAAGGCCTCATACCATGTGATGGTGTCTCTTGCGACACCACCTACCAGACTCTGGTACCGATGTGTCTATCAAATTTTCTGCATGTATGATACGTGTTCAGTCTTGTTGAGTCACGGTTTGTCGCAGATAGGCTCTTTCCGACTGCTCATTACGTTCATCTTATCAGACAACAGCTGTTGCACACTCTGGACATGGCCCGTTCTCTGTGGTTTGCAAATTATCTGGGCATTGCAAATTCCAGTCTCGCCCACGGTCTTCGTAGACCTCCTGAAGGTCCTTTGTCTGCAAAATGTTTTCATTTTCTTCATGTTACGAGTCTCGCTGTTGACTTGCTTGTCGTTGCTGACTAAGCAGTTGCTAAACAACAACACCGTTGTTGCGATGTCGACATCCCCTATTTGGCAGTGAGTCTGCTTCTCCACGGTTTCACGACGATCCTTTTGGCTTCCTTTGGAGCACTTTCTTCAATCCTTGCAGGAATTTGACACTGCCGATTGGCTGTCGTAACGGTGTCCTGGTCTTTGTCTCTGTGGCCAAATGCCGCTCGCTGCAGTTCCCGTGGTGACCTTGAAAGTAAGGAGCACGCCGTTTGCAGGCTAGAATTTTATACCGTATAAATGTCAGACCGTTCTTTTTTATCGTCATTTTTCCTTGCATCGCCTTCTCTCTAGCAGCCGTGCTGCATTTTTGTGAGTGCCATCCTCTTGCTTTCCTTCATTTTGGACAATCATGAACGCCAGAGCAGATTTATAGGACCCCTTCTCCTGACCCTTCTTTTTCGGCTTCTGTGAAGTCTGTTGTACATTCTCTTTGAATATGAAACTTTCTTTTCGACTTCTTGTTGCTCTCCCTGCTCTTGCCTCGCTGGTCGCTGGCCTCATCGTTCCTGAGCCTGGTCTAGTTGTTCGCCAAAAAGGTGGTGGAAATGGCAACGGAAATGGAGGTGGATCTTCCTCTGGCGGAGGCGGGGGCGGCAATGGCAATGGTGGAAACGATCCCCAGAGCTCCCTGAGTATGTTTTTTTTGTTGTATTTTTTTTTGGCATGATGTCTTCATTTGTACTTCTTTAGCTCTTGACCCCGCAGTCATCGCGACGGGATTCCAAAACGACGGCCAGGCTCAACCTGCCGCTGGCCAGGTTGCGTCACTCACCTCGTCGGATAACTTCATCAACTTCTGCTTGACAGTCCCCAATGAGCCCATCACCAATGGCCAGCAGATTTCTGGTGGGTCTTGTAACCCCGCACCTATGGGCTCCATCCCCTCCACGGCGAATATGCCCTCCGCCAAATTCACCAACCCGAAGAATCTCGATGTTATCCCGCCGAACCAGGCATTTACCGTCTCTCTCGCCATTCAAGGCATGGAGACAGGGCATTTTACCAATGCACAACAGAACTACTTCTCCGCGCCCCAGCAGCTAAACGGACAAGGGCAGATCCAAGGGCACTCCCACGTCGTCATCGAGCAACTGGACTCGCTCACACAGACGACGCCGACCGACCCCAGCAAGTTCTCGTTCTTCAAGGGTCTGAACGACCCGGCTAATAATGGCATCCTCACGGCAGACGTGACGAATGGTCTTCCCGAAGGGGCATACAAGATCTCGACGATCAACAGTGCCGCAAACCACCAGCCGGTCTTGGTGCCCATTGCACAGCATGGATCTCTTGATGATGCAGTCTACGTAGGTTCATTCCCGTGACACATGTTTGCCATGCACTCATTGCCCATTTAGTTCACTGTCAGTAATAACGCCAACGCCGGTGCTGCTGCCGGTACTGGAGGTGGTTCTGCAGCGTCCCCGGCAGCGGCGAGTGGAACAGCGACCGCAGCAAGCTCTGTTGTCTCATCCACTAGCCCCCCCGGTCAAGGTAATGGCGATAATGGCAATGGCGGCAATGGCGGAGGCGGAGGACGAGGAGGCAATGGAGGTAAGGGGCGAGGAGGCAATGGCGGAGGTGGGGGAGGTGGGGGCAATCGCCGCCACTTCTTTTCTCGAAACAGCATGCATTAGTGGCGAAGACCATAATCACTTAATAGGTCCGTGCACGATGGAGGCGCCAGAATTCGTGCCCTGCGTCGTTTGGTTTCTTTTAAAAGCTCCTTGCCAAGTTATTTTTTTGTTGATTTGTGCCCTGTATCCCTATCTGTAGCGTTACCCCCCTCTATATCCGCGAGAGCGGTGTTTCTTGTACTGAAGCAGTTGATCTAGCTAGAACTAGAATCAACCATGGTTTGGACCTCCATTGATTTCATGAGATCACAGTTGTCGAGATTATTGGTAGTCCGATCCATCAATCAAAATGCAGAGTAAGAGGGCTATATTGGGCTATCTGGCACACTCTCCATAACGTTGGCTCTTCCATTTGATCATTCGGAAGGAGATCACTGCCCCCTCTTTCAATTAATATGTAGTGCTTGACATCAGGTTGCTTCATATGTTCAGCCACATACCAGGGGTCCTGCCACTGAGCGGCGTCATAGTTTCATCTATCCCATCGTCTATCTTGTCACATCCTAAACCATCCCTAGAATATGCCATCACCGCGAGGCCAGAGCCAACCATAACTCGCTCCCTTGATCAATCGCTGTTGGGTCTGATCCGGCGGGATGATCACCAGGAGCTCAAAAGGGCAACAAGGTGGCTGAAAGAGTTCCATGGTCGTGCAGGGGCGTGCGTGTGCTAAGAGCCACATAAGCCAAGCTTTTATACGAAATAGACCATTGTTCTGATGGGACTGGCCAATTGCAAAGTGAGGTTATCTATGAGGAACGGTAGGCGGAATGAGGGCATCCGTGTACTATATATGCCTTCGATGACACAGGTGCCAGACCCTGTCCCTTGGTAGCATCCCGCCTTATTCCTGGTAGCCCGATGGCAGCCGCAAGCATCCGCATCAGCGGATCGTGTGGGACCCAAGGGATCTCTCCGGATGAGCGCTCACATAAATGGCTGTGCTAAAATATCGGTGAAATGCTGATAAGGCATTCGATCTGAGATCGCAAGTGTGCCTTGAGGTCGAGCTCGCCGAAATGATGGAAGACATGCTGCGGCGCACGCACAGCGCACACGAGCATGGAACTTTTTTTAATGCTTGAAAAGGCGCGGCCTGGTATGGCAAAGGCTATTTAGTATTCCCCAATTCGATTATGATCTCACCGGGTGCACTTGGTGCCATCCTGTGATCTATCCGCGTTAATCTTGGGCGAGCTGCATATCCTTTATGCAGGACTGTGGTCTTTGCGTGGGCAAGAAGGGCAAAACCCGGTTATAGAAACGATCCAGGTCCCGACACGTATCCCACATGTCGGGGATCCGCATAACCTGCGAGAAAGTTACGAGTGCTACGCACGATTCGGTGTGTACATTCACTTGATGCTTCAAGAACGCTTCCGGGAATTGAGGTTAATAGACGAACGCACACAAGGCTATCGTCCGATCGAAGTAACTGCGCATTGGAACATGCTCACAGGGGTTTTCTCGAGGCCACGAGAGCACGCAACGAGGAGCATCAAGTACGATCTAAGAGGGCCCAAGACAAATGGATTGGGATCGATAATCACCTTCACGACCGTTATTATCCGGCACCGAGATGCGTGTGATTTCGAGAGCATCATGGAGGTCGCTTGAATACATGTCACAGATCTTTCAGACCGACCATGACAAAGTCACTACTGTTGTTAGTTTATGCAAGGGGTAATTCTCAATGAAGGATATTACGCCCACGATACAACATGTTGGTACCAGGAAGCCAGATAGATCGATTAATTGGGCAGGCGCTGACCTGGGAATTTACCCTTGATATGCCGATCACCATGAAGGATTCTGGAAACGGGGATCTGCGGTTTGATTCTTTTCACAATGGAGGTAGGCGTATTCAATACCACACAGTTCAGGGGAAGTGGCCTATCTAGAAACTTACAGCATTGCCCGCATCAGTCCATTTCACGTGTAAGGAAAACCATGCTATCCTACCCCATCACCAGCGAAGATTACACGGGCGTAGACAAGATTACAAAAAAGGGCGAAAGGGGCTTCCATTGCAAGCTCTTAATCGCGCCCATCGGAAGTAGAAGGGCTTTAAGTTCGTGTATCATGCTGATTTGAATCGCCTTCGGAACTGGGTCTCTTCTCCAGAATGCCATCAACAATCCCAAAGTTAAGAGCTTCTTGTGCTAAAAATGTTCTGTGAGAGATGTCGTCATCATATATGAGGAAACTCGCCTGTCATAAAATAATCTCGCTCCAGAGCCCTCTCTGAGCAGAAGTCAATACGGCCGCCTGCCAAAGAAAGGGAGGAGCCTACCAAATCGCTCCAACCCCAATGCCTCACTCTCCTCTACTTTGGCACAATGTCGCTGATATATACTTGTCAATAGATGTCTGACACGCAAAATCTCCTTGGCGTGAATTGCAATGTCAGAAGCCTGTCCAGAGGCGCCTCCAGAAGGCTCTGCAAGCGAATAATATTAGTTATGTGATATATGCCGCCGCCACTGTCATGACTCACGGTGGATCATAATGCTGGCATTGGGAAGACAATGCCTTTTTCCCTTTTCACCTAGACCACCACAGTGATACCGTTTTCAAATGAAAAGCTTCCAAGGGACATACCCGCTGCTAACAATAGGGATCCCATGGAGCATGCTTGTCCCACACAATACGTGTGTATCGGCGAAGAAACGTACTGAAAATGGACAAGTAGGCATCAGGCGCAAATAATTTCATCCCGCGGGATCTCAAACCTGCATCTTTGAAATATTAGCTTAGCTAGCAAAGACACAACAAAGCACTCATACAGTGTCATAGATAGCAAGCCCTGCAGTCACGCTTCCTCCAGGGGAGTTTATGTATAGGTGAATTGGTTTAGAGGAGTCTTCGGCTTCAAGGAACAAGAGTTGCGCAACAGTCAGGGCTGAATCTGTATCCCGTATCTGGAATGCCAATGAGATGAATTAATCCAGCCCGAGGCTTGGGAGAATGGCAGACGTACAGGTCCATATAACATTATTACACGTTCGCGCAATAGGCGAGAGAAAATGTCATACGATCGCTCGCCCCTTCCCTGCACGCACGAGGTGGGGTGCTGAGCTGGAAACAACCGAAGAATGCATGGCAGCTTACTGTCTGTTCGATGACTATCGGCACGAGGTTCGCTGTTGGGGGTCCCCATGTGCTGGAGATATGGTGCAATGTGCGTGACGACGGTAGTGAGCCTGCCCTCGCCTGACTTCTAGTCGTTGCTAGTGCTGCCCTCCAAGCAGCGTTCATTGTCGACAACATTGAATGAACTCGGGGAAGAGACTGTCTGCCACGTGACAGAAAGTCATGAACGTGACTTCAAGTTTGTAATTGCGTGACACACGCGTCGCTTGTCACGTACGTTCGTGTTGCAACTTGCACCCAACCGTCTGGTGGCCTTTCGCACCTTCTACACAACGTTTTGTGGCATTCAGCTTTAAAGCCACTCTGAACTGAGTAGCAGCGGTCTACTTCCGTTAAAACACCTGTGTTATTATGAATACACGCATGCATGGACAAAGATCGACGGAGGCTCCAATGGACTTCCAGTTTACGTCTCGACCAAGCAGTAATACAAAGCCAGCATGGGCTGCTAGTAATGACTTGAATGCGCCCCGAAAACGTGGGTTTTCATTATGTTTGAATTCTAACCTAACTAAACAAGTCCCAGGTCCATTCGATGACCTTCAACCCACGAGCCCGGCATTTCCTCATCCACCACAAACACCTATATTTGGAGAAAATCGCAACGTGCCTTTCATATTCCAAGCTCCAGTACCGCAGACTCCTGCAGTCCACCCATGGGCGCCTCCTGTAAATTTCACACCTCAGAAAGCATTTCCTGCACAGGAGCTGCGGGATGTGGATATGTCCGAGCTCAGCCCTCCTAAACCCGAGGCTTCTGAGAAAGAGAGCGGGAGAATAGTCGCCACAGGGGCGCTCAGAAGGGTTTTCAACTCGAGGCAGAAGGCTCGTACAAAAGCTCAACACGCAGTGTCATTACGCGACGACCCGGGGTACGGCAGCGAGGAAGAAAGTGATGGCGATGCAGATCATGTCGGCCCTGTGACACAAACCACGTCAAACCATTACACACTCAACATGCCGTCTGCGCCAACTCCACAGTCAGATACGCCACAGGTCCTGCTAGGGTGAGGTGGTTTGGATTCCCACTCTCCAAGTGCGCTGATCATGCTTCCCAAGATATTTACAATTCTTTTTCAACCTGTCCCTGGTCGTGGTATTTCTCTATCTCCTGGTGCAGTTCATTCTCACAGTACAACGTGATGTTGGACACCGCATCTCAGAATACTCGATGGGTACGATCTTCATGCCTGTTAAGGTGTCTGCTGATATTAATCATATGTCAGATATCGTGCAAGAGATTGGCATGTGTGCGACACAATACAGGAATAACCTTTGTGAAAGTAATCCTGTGCCTGCCATGATCCAACAATGTGCATCTTGGAAAACATGCATGGATCGCGACCCAACTACGGTTGGCCGTGCTCGAGTAGGTGCGGAACTCATTGCGGAAGTTGTCAATGGCTTTGTGGAGCCCATCAGCTGGAAAACATTGGTTAGTACATACTTGTCCCTGGTGATGCTGTGCTGATTACATAATTATGCATAGGCTTTTACGTTGACATCATTATCATTTTTAACGGTGTTCGTGAACTCGTTATTCTCGCTGTACCGCTCGCGCCACGAAGCTGGGCATTCGTATCCAGCTCCCCCTATGGGACAGTTTCCTCATCATTACCTTCCTTCTGGACCCACACGGGGTTCTGGGCTTGGTAACGGTGACGATATCGCCGGAGATGCACCTCGCCGAAGACGTCTAGAAGGCGGACAAGCGATTAAAGTAAAATGACAGGTTTATTTTCTCTGATTAAATATATGGGGCACGGATCACTGCATAGTACAAGCATTTTTATTCAATTTTTCATAAACGTTCCGATCAAGACTGGGATTAAAGGGCTATCACTGATTTAGGCAGACGAGTAGGTTAAACGTACTAGTGAGTGACAACTTCTAGCCGGGTTGATTGATTCTGAGTCTAGTCATCGAACCAGACGTATTTGGACACGGAGAGAACACCGGGGCGAGCGTCGTTTCAGTCGTCCGGATGGATCCGGTGTTCCTAAAACGTCGGGGTTCATCGAGGACTAGTGAAATGGGCTGTGGGCTGGAAAGCGATGAGCGGGGTGCCAGCTGCTGCCACATGTCATGTCTCTGATAAACAGATGATATGCCCCTGAAGCAAATCTGAGGACGGTTGATCGGAACTTGGATGCTGCCACGGTGAGTACGCAGGATCATATCACAGCATCCGTCAAGTGTGGACCTGCCATGGGAACAAAGTTTGACATTGAAGCAGCACCGCGTGTATAAAATAGGCAAAATGGAACCGTATCTAGTCGGTTTCGGTTTCGTGATTTGATCGCTGATAGCAAGGTTTAAAAAAACCAGGGAGGAGATCCAGTCTGGAGGATTCAGGGCTGAAGCTTTTTATCGTCATTGCATCGCTACATTTGAAAACCCAACATTTGACATGCCGGAGACCCGGTGCCCGGCCGTTCTCCTGATAAATATAGCGTTCATTTGATTGACGGCAGATATGTGGGGCACCCGAGGGACCGTCTGGGCGTCTTTGCACAGTTCTCGCAGAGGGAACAACCTAGAACGGCGCCCCTTGTCTCCTAGCTGTCATCTGAGAAACCTAGTTAGTCTCCTGAAAATAATAATATTTGATACTTCGAGATCCGAATCTCCTGTCAGAGCCTTTAAGTTTACCATGAAGAGTAAGTCTAATGTGTCCAATGATCTGTCGATCCGTGCGATTATATGGCAGAACGCAATCGTACTTTATTAGTTTTTCATCGTTTTTGATTGGACACTACGAATACATAGATAGCTGAGTCCAAAATCATACATCAGCCCATCGCGCAAGTGTCTCAAGTTGAGTTCAAGAAAACAGTGCAATATCAAAAAGCTATGGAAGTGGGTATTGAGGAAGATATGAACAGATAGATGGCTCCCACCAAAAGTCTCCAATAGTCCCAACTAATAACCACGGTCAGAAAAGAACTGACCATAGGCTCGTGTTATTTATTCGGTTTTGCTATGGCTTCTGCGGCCTTCTCTTCGTCTCGTTTCTGTGATCAAGTAGAGTGAGCCGAACAGTACAAGGACAGATGTAACAACTGAAGGTCATGCCTTCTGCTTTGCTCTTAAAATTTCTGCATCACTGCAAGGGAGATATGAGTGACTTAAAACCATACAAAAAATGACACATACGCTTCTTTACGCTTTGCCAGCGATGTGTTACTTTCCTTTCCTTTGGATTTGTTCAAGGCAGCCTGTTTCTTTGCGGCCTTTGCCCGATCCGTGTCACGTTGATTTCCTCCTGCATGAAATTATGAGTGACACAATCAGCAGGATTGCAGTGACTCACGAGTCATCGTAGTAGCAATATGATGTGTTCGTTTCCTTGTCCTTGGTGTTAAACACAAGTGGACGGGACTAGCAAACAAGAACAAACAACGCGTGGAAGAATGGTCTATATTTGAGTTTTGTTCCCTGGACCAGTTCCGAGACACGGCAGGACAACCACGTTCATGATCATCATATCGCAACTTGTAGTATCTCTAGAGATCTCTGGCGCTTCTTCAAAAGAGGCAATATCTCATGATGGGCTTTTCATATCTGCCAAATGACCACGGATCTTCCCTTCACGCTTGTCTATCTTTGGCGTCTCAGTTACTCACTTCCCCGCCCGAGCTGCCCTGTTTTTCTGGAATGATTCGTGCCGTTTTCCGCCTGTGCGTTTAGGGATCGAAGTATTGGTTGAATTAGGAAGGAAATCTCGTGGCACGTCTTATAATTAGGATACAAAGAGACATTCTGGTGATTACTACGATTGTCTAGCTTGGGGACACGATTGAGGCGTGCTGATTACGAGTTATCGGCTATCTTTGGATTTCTGCCAAGGTGACTTTTGATTGCAACGTCACATTATGTTTTAGCAGGGTGGCGCTTGCTCCGATACCAACTACTGTCAATGGTAACGTACCTCTCAAGGTTCTCCGGACTTGACTTTAGTATACTCTACCCGAATGAATGGCAGCATGATCACATTGCCTCGATCGATGTACGGCCAAAGCTCATTTATTGATAAATTATACGTTAAAAAGCTGTGAAACCCCAGATCAGGACTGGCAGCCGTTACTCTGTCACATGATCTCCCAAGTTTAGTAGGCACTTTGCTATCGACCGTGGGCATTTCATCTCCCGCGGACTAGTGGTGTCTAGTACTCGGGTGCAATCAGCATGTGCTCACAAGCGGTGTATCTGTCCCTGCAATCAACAACCTGAACGACGTTAACATGTTTGCCGGGACCCTGTGCGGCGCCGCCGCTTAGTTTCGTCCAATTCCCATCGGTGCGTGTACGCATCGCATTTTCACGTCTCAACACCCCCACACCGCAGCACACCGCCCCCAACCTGCCCCAACTTACAAATTTGTACCTGCTGGCACGCAACGCTTCCTCTTCTCTTCCGAACTTCTCCGATGGAAAGTCTTATTTGCCGGTCCGATAAGCCTGACGATCCTTCGCACGCTGACCTCCGAGTCGTTAGGAAGTTCTATGCTGTTTCAGGCGATGAGTCAACGTTGGGGAAAGGTTTTAACGTAAGTACGACTGCGCAAATTGTTACCACGGACGACTACTAACAGGGGGATCAGTAACTGATCGATATACCGACTAGGACGGAGGTAGATCTATCCGGTCGGAGGATCGCGTTCATTCATGGTTGTGATGCGAGCGCTGTGCTTGAAACGAAGTCAGCGGGACGCTGGTTCATCCTGATTGATGGAAATATGTAATTACCTTCTTTGTGTAAACGCGTGGTGTTAACTTCATCGCGTCACCTAATAGCAACAGATTAGGTGGCCGGCGCCTCAGGGTTCGCGGCAGGTTCGACGGAGATCTTTTCCGAAAAAAGGTTGGTGGCTCATAGAGTCTATGTTACTCTCCGTGACATCGCACGTGGAGTGTGAGATCATGACGGGTCTAGCGAAGCGAGAGATGGCGGCCAAGTAAGAGACCAGAAGAAAAAAGGTGAACCTGCCATATTTCATTTTCCCAAAATGATATCAAGATCTAGATTACGATGACAGGAGGGTACCTGATTATTGTGAAGGGTAAATTAGAAATTGTGTTCCAGAAGTAGTATGAATAGACCCTGGATACAGCTCTCAACTGCCATAAATTAGCAAGCTAGGCTGACAACAGTATTCATGGTAAGTCGGAACCAATATAACGGTACGTATCGCCTCCGAGATCGTTCCAGATCTGGGACGTCAGACTGCTGGAAGGGGTTGCCGTAAAGATACCGAACGGTGGCACGGCATTACGCGGATTGGCATTTCAATCATCTTTTTCAAAGACAGCGATTAATTGTATTACTAAATTTGGATTCGACCGTTAAGCTCTTTAACTCACGCTATGACCAAGATTGGACATACTTGCATGAAAACTCCACATGCGAAAAGAGCCGAGATCACTGTTACTAGTACGTGAAAGTAGCCGACGGCCAAGGCCCTGATCTCCCCTCTCCCGCAGTTTTCATATATAATACATCATCCTCCAAGGTTTGTCAACTTTCCCCTCTTCGCTTCTGTCTCAATTCCACTTGGCGTCAATCGCCTCCTACCCATGTCTCACAGACACATCCAACGTCAGTCTGACAGAGACGTCCGCATGCACGACCCACATCCTCATGCTATCCTCACACATCCACCTCACCAACCTGCACCTCATCTAAATGGCAATGCAACAGCCTTGCCTACTACACCAGCTCTTTCAAATGGTTCAAGCCATGCACATACAGCATCCAATCAGATCGTATCGCCTGTCGTAGTACCCAACGCCCCCGCCTCGAACGGCGTTGCTCCCCCTCCATCAAGCGTCATTCACAAATTGGCAGTGGCCAACGAACAAACGTGGCTTTTGATCGGTAAGTTTTTATTTTTCATGCCGGCTAATGAGTTTAATCCCATCCTCTTCCCAGGGCGTGTCGCGGAGCAGATGGGCGACCTTGAACATGCGATCACAGCATATGAAAACGCTCTACGGCATAACCCGATGTCCCTGTCAGGACTTACACAAGTTGCGGGAATCGCGCGGATTAAGGAAAATTATCCAAAGGTAGGCAAAATCGTTGATGCTATTTCGTGCCAATCCCGCGTCGAAGCCGATGTCCTCCGAGGATATCCCATTGCGCCCATCTCAGATCTTCACGTGGCACATGCTGATGTCATCCTCCTTTCTATTTTAGGCCGTAGAGTATTTCCAACGCGTTCTTCAATTACAAGAAGACAACGGCGAAGTATGGAGCGCGCTCGGTTAGTTCATCTTACAAATCATCATATCCGTATTTCCTCATGCCCTATCCCAGGCCATTGTTATCTCATGCAGGATGATCTGCAGAAGGCTTACTCCGCTTATCAGCAGGCCTTGTACCTCCTCCCTAACCCAAAGGTACATATCTTCCACTTTTATTATCATGTCCTCATGTCAACACAAAGGAGGATCCAAAGTTGTGGTACGGTATCGGTATACTATATGACCGGTACGGATCCTTGGACCACGCCGAAGAGGCCTTCGCTTCGGTCCTCAAGATGGACAAAGGTTGGCTTTCTTCTGCTTCCAGAACCCTTTTAGTTAAAATTCATTCGCAGAATTAGATTTTGACAAGGCAAATGAGATTCTTTTCCGTCTCGGCATAATCTACAAGCAGCAGGGCAAATATGATGATTCACTCAGCTGCTTCGATCGTATCCTCCGTAATCCTCCAAGCCCTCTCGCCCATGCGGACATCTGGTTCCAGATTGGACATGTCTACGAACAACAGAAAGACGTAAGTACCCTGCCTATCCTGTAGACTGCGCACTCAATATTGTCTTTTACAGCATGTCCGCGCAAAGGACGCATATGAACGTGTTGTTGCTGATAACCCTGGCCACGCAAAAGTTCTTCAACAATTAGGGTGGCTGTATCACCAAGATGGTTCTTCTTTCCAGAACCAAGAACTTGCCATTCAGTACCTGACAAAGAGCCTGGAAGCTGGTAGGTTATTGTAATTTAGCTATCTTTACATCAGTATTGATCACCGATGCCGTTACAGACCCTTCAGACGCTCAAAGCTGGTATCTTCTTGGCCGTGCTTACATGGCTGGCCAGAAGTACAATAAAGCATATGAAGCCTACCAGCAGGCGGTTTACCGCGACGGCCGTAACCCCACCTTCTGGTGTTCAATTGGTGTCCTTTACTTCCAAATCAACCAATTTCGTGACGCTCTTGATGCATACTCGCGTGCCATCCGCATCAATCCTTATATCTCTGAGGTCTGGTTTGACTTGGGCAGCCTTTACGAGAGTTGCAACAACCAAATCTCAGATGCCATCGATGCTTATGCTCGCGCAAGCGAACTTGACCCTGGCAACCACGTCATTTCGCAGCGTCTCCAGCTCCTTAAGAATGCGCAAGCCACTGGTGGTCAGCTGCCTGCTGCACCAGGCCCTCAGGATGTGCACCCAACTGCTTATGCCAGTGCCGTCGTTCCTCCTCCAGGACTCACCGGTCCTCCTCTCCTGCTGCAATCAACGTCGACCCGCCCCCCAATCTTCCGGCCTCAGTCAAGTGGCCCGCCTAGTGGTGACAACCTTCATTTGCCTCCTCCTGCACCTGCTCCCGCCTCTAGGTCATCACCTGGTCCGTTCCGGGGTGGTCCCCCACCGCCTGTAGTGTTGGACGAGAGTCGTCACATGCCTTCACACACACCTCTCGCGCCCATGGATGTTGATCGTCCACCTCATCCTCGTGACTACCCTAGTTCATCGCGCGAGGGCCCAAGTCGCGGGCCAACTGGCCACCAAACCCTCCTCCTTCACCACCCTGTTCCACAGCAGCAAGTGCAAACGGAGGAGCTTCGTAACTCTGCCGTTCACGGGCCTGGTCAATACAATGACCACTTCCCTGGCCGTCCACTCAGGGTCCCTTCGACGTCCGCTTCGCCACCGCCACCACACAATTCACGAGTCCGATCCCCAGGTCCTGGGTACCCAAACTATCCTCCATCAAGCAGACAACCTGTGGGACCTGCCCAGCCCAACCTGGCTCAACGATCGCCGCCTAATTACCCTCGTGAGGCACCTCGCCCAGAGCATGACATGGCGTGGGACCGCCGTGGGCCACCCCCTGAACACCATCGAGAATGGGAGCGTGAACGGGAGCGTCGAGGACGCCCTGAGTACCCCTCACATCCTTCGCAGCAACCTTATTACCCCTCACGCTCTCCCGGCCCTCGTGGACACAGCCCAATGGAAACGTCTCCTCGCTCTGCACATCCATCCGCACATCCTTCTCGTGCATATTGGGACTCCAAGCCCCCTGGTGGCCCTCCTCACCCTCGCTCACCTCCACCACCAGGTCCTCCTGAGGGTGGGCACTGGCGATACGACCCTGCACGCGATCAGGAAAGAGACGCTCGGGATTATGAACGGGAGCGGGAACGTCAGCTGCATGAGCAACGCAGGCAATCGATGGGTTTCGCTGGTTCTCCAGAAGGCATTCCCCATCCGCTTCCCCACCACATGGGGGGCAACTCGCGCCCCTCTGAGAGCCCACGACCTACTCCTGCCCCTGATGCGCGCGACCGCAAACGAAAGCAAACGAAGGATAGCAAGGATTCGGACACGCAGAGCATCGCTGGTACTGGGGTCATTGGCGAGGCACCGAAGAAGGAGAAGAAGCGAAGGCAGCGGCGCCCCAAGGATGAGTCTGGTCGGTCAGATTCTAATGGAGTTCCTTCGAACATGCCTGCTACATTCAAAATCGGCTCTTTCTCTGCAAAAGAGGGTCCTGAGACATCTTCCTCTGGAAGTAGGTCGTTGCAGCCTTCGCCTACAAGCGCAACGCCTCGTCCACCTTCACGTGTTGTAGATGATGACTATGATGAAGGCATAGACACGCTTCTTCAATTTTCGCAACACCCCACCGACCGTGGATCTGTCTCTTCTTCCTCGCGCAGCCGTCCTTCACCTCCTGAAGTTTCAGGCTCCCTTAAGCGTCCTCTTAGCCCGGTCGCGGATGAGATGGACACGAAGCGATCTCGTGTGGATGGTGGTGGCAAGCGCAGCGTGTCATCTCCATCAGGTGGACGACGCACTCCCATACCTTCGTCGCGACCATCACCTATACCCTTCCGTACCCAACCCTCGCATTCCCCCGAGTCGCGTCATACTGAGTCTCACTACGCTACTAGCCCACCCCAGCTAGCTGTGGTGCTTCCACCTCATCCCCGCCCCATTGGCCATGCATCGCACACTGGTCCATCTGCCCCTATCGCACTTCCTCCCATTGCCACACTGTCCCCTGCATCAAGCGTCCCTTCCCCATCCGATGACCGGATGATTCTCGACTCCCACCGTTCCCAGACTCCTCCATCGCGAGGAAAACTTTCCGAGGTCATGAACCCAGCAGCAGGCTCCCCACCAATGAAGCCAACCACATCTCCCGCTCGCTCGCAAGAAAGAACTGCGCCTTCCCCTCCTTAATGCCGGTCAACTATCCCTATGTTTTTGTATGCGCCTTGCTATTTAGGCTTGAAGCTTGACCCTTGTTATGATGGCATTGACGAAGCAGCTATGCAGTATCGCATAATACAGATAATTATCCACACACTCGCATGTAAAAGATACTTTGAACACACTTGTCAGACAGTCTGTAGAGTTGCAAATACCCCATATTTTGTGCATTGCACGATGTCGTGGGAACTTTTTTGATGCTGTAAACGCACGCAGCGGTCATTGTGGAGAGAACCATCACGATTTCCTGCGCTACAGGGCTTGTAACTGTGGAAGTCCATGCTGGTACTACTCGCGTATAAGTCGTTCCATTCCGTAGTTTGCGTTCCAACGCAAATTGCGAGATGGAACAACTTCATTTACCCTCTGACAATGATCGTGACACAAATTGCGAGATGGACTCCATGGAACAACCTCTAGGCTGGCGAACGCGGTTCGATAGGACCCAGGCATCGTTCACAACCACATACACGCAGGTGACACGCCGGGGGTATAAAAGCCTTTGTAGAATCTTCTTCTTGAACGGTGTCTCGCAAGGTCGTTCTTTTCTCGCACAGCACACGCTGCACGATTGGACCTTTTTTGACAGAGCTAATAGATCATCGAGAATCCTGCCCTTCCGAAAAGACCCCGACAGTTCTCATTTGAGACATATGCGTTATTCCCTCGGGAAGCTTCGATTCAGACTGCGTGAGTGTATTCTGTCCTCCTTTATTTTGTTGTTGATCATAAATACACATCCGCCACCGAACTAGATCATATCATCATTTTCCTTGCACGGGCTCTTGGTGAACTTGATCTGCCTGTCATCTGTCAGTCTCTGCGAGTCGCTCAGAAGCGTACATCAGCGTTAGAAGGAAGAGGTGTGCTCACTGGTGTTTGGGATTCCTGAATCCTTCTGAGGAGGCATTGCAACTATCATCCCGTTAATTAACGCATACTTTGATGATCGCATCTACATTTTCTTTTAGCATTCCTTTAGAAAGTCGCGAAGGCGCTCCTCAATTTTCTGTAGTCGACGAGGGGTGAATCTCTCAGCCACCCCACCCCTTGTCGATGGCCATCCATCTCTCACGAGCACCGAATCCATGGGGAGCCACGATATATTCAAAGCTTTCTGGAATACCACACCCTCCGCTGGATTGCAGTGTGGTGGTATTTGAGAGGACTGCACTCTTGCCTTATCGCTTCATTTGAATCGAGGGACTTGTGGAGGCGTATGTCTTTCTAATCAATTTTGCGACAGCACCTTGTCTATCTACATATGGACGTCTCTTTAATTTCCTGGGTTATGCCTCAGTAACAAGTCTGAAACTGCAGCATTTATTCATGATGTCCTGTCATGCAAATAATGAGATCTGCAATCAATAAAGGTATGTTCGCCAATCTTGTGCAACTGCAACGACAGACACGGCACTGACAAAGCTCAGTGATGTCCAACGCTCATGATGAGGTTTCATCGTGCGGCGAACAAACACAATGATTGCAGCCGTGGAGTAAGATCGGGTTGGGCGTGGCTGATAGTTTAAATGTTTTGCAGAGCCCTCTACATGTGATATTAAGCTCCGACAGCCACCTAACTCGGACCCTGATTCTTGCAGATAGAGGGCTTTTCAAAGAGTGATCAGTTTCTGATGACGTCGAGAGGTGTGCCTGCGAAGTCTGCGGAGGGCCACCCCTGTTCGTACAGAACGTAGTTAGATAACGTTTCTATAGATAACGGATATCTAGGAGAACAGAAATGCTTTATGAATGGTTAGGGTGGGGACCATGACCTGACAAGCAGCAGCATATCTGTCAATGAAATTCATATGCGAAATTTTTGTAGAGATGTTGAGATGACAAAATGCAACCAAATCTATTTCCGTTTCACTTCATACGTCCGTCCTCGCCACTGAAACAGTGAAATTCGTTCAAGCACTAGAATCAAAATCTCATCCTATATACCTGGGGCATTCTCTGCTCAAGCGCCTGTTACTGCTCAGTCTTCTCTCAAATAACATCAAGCAGTCAGCCTTCAGCGCTCCTCAACCTTGCATATTCAATGCGGCATTGACAAGTCATGACATCTCTTGAAATTCCCATGAACGATGAACCGATATCCCATACACTCTCCCAACCGACTTTTTCACCTACAGAACCAACGACTCACAACACGCGGTCGTCTTCTTCTTCTGCTACGTCCAGCCTCGTTGCTCCTGCGCAGCCACCCTCCTCTCAAGCAACATCGTGGACACGCATGGACTCCACCAACGATGATAATTCAGGGGCAGAGCAGTTGGAACTGAGAAAACTGGATAGTTTTGAAGAGGAGCACAGGGACGCCCCAACCGAGCAGCTGCCACTCAGCCCACCACTCACTCGCGTACCTACCAACGACAGCACGAGCGCGCGCATCCTAACACCACCGCTGGAAAACGAAGAAAGCCAGGGTCTGGAGGAGGTGGACATTGTTGACCATGATTGGCATCCCCTTGCACGCGCGGAGTCACCAACCAAGGTTGACGGCTTGTCCTTACACGACCATGATAGCCTCCATATCGGTTCAGAGACAGATAAGAAGCCTCGGAGGCGAGCAAATCGTAAACCAGCGCATCTAAATCTTGAATTTAGGGAGCCTTCGCCTCAGCCCTGGGATATCATCGATCCGCCACTTGACAACAATGACCGCGTCGAACCTGAATATTACTCACCTCTAAGGTCTCCAATGTTCGCGTCACAACAACCTGGGTACGTTTTGATTTTTTTCGTGGAGTGATTTCTTCTATGTTGACTTTGACTGTCCACAGGCGCCGGCGACCGTTGATTCCCCACTCATCGTACTACTATGGCCCACCTCCATCAGACTCGGCTTACGGAACACCACCAGTTGGGCAAATTGGGGTTCACCACCCTCGAGAAATTGTACGCATTGAACGGGATTATGCCGCAGGGGAATTGACTCAGTTCTCTTCAATATATCCCATCGAATTTGACGGCCGAGTACTGCACACTCCTATCCATTCCTTACTTTGGTTTTTTAACCTCAACTTACCAGATAACACCGACCCAATTCATGGAGACCATCAACGACATCAACGAGATTCTCATATCCGCACATAGCGTCCGGCATTCCTTTATATACAACTTCCTCGCAGTTGCCACCCTGCACCTCTCGACATTTCTACTCACGTCACACTATGATAAGGTTTGTATTTATGCCCCAACCTTGTGGCGCACATGCTGAACAAAGTTTACACAGGAGATGCGACGGCTACAGCAAAGGATCGAGGGAATAAATACCCAAATTTATAACCCCGTTGGCCTAAACATTTTGTGGCCTCGGAACGTGGCTTTTCTTTTCGTACGTGTTTTTAGTACCGAGGCGTCCCTGCGCTCATTATTACTTCATGACGATCCGTCGCCTGATACCAACAGTTAGAGATTGAATACTATGTGCGTCGTTTATGCGCCGTCGGTGCATTCTCATATCCGCGAAAGCTAACCATCCTTGTGATTCAGTGACCTTTTCGAGCGATATTGATACCAGACACATTTCAACGACACACTTATTGTACATCATCTTGCCTATGTCATCGGTACATGGATAATTTAATAGGCCAAAATGGGGAGTATTGGTTTGCTAACTTGTGCTAACCACAAGTTGAACTGCTACCGAAACCAATTGTGTCAATCCGAGTCAGGCACAAGAATGTTCGAAAACTTGATCTGATAAACTTGAATCATGCTATGTGCGTCACTTGACAAGTGGTCGGTCGGCGCAGGGACGTGGCCCGAGTGAGTGCCTCGGTCATTCTTTGACGCCAATTACTTCCGAGGGGTTGAATAGTCATTGTTCACGCAGTACATAGCTCAAGTTACCGAGGCTCCAGTACGATCGTGATCGGTTGATATGCTTGTTGATTCATTGAAGAGCTGATCAACAGTTAGGGGGGAGGGGCTAGAAAGGCTCGGATCTTCGGTTATTTCAAGGACAGGTATTGGGGTCCGATCAGAAACAGCAGTTTAGGCGTTTGAAATGAGGTACATATGGAGCACGCAATCCACAAGGATGCGCGTCCCTTCTGAGCTTGATGCGGTGACCACGGCCAAGCTGCGTTGGCGGGCAATCGACACTCTGAAACTCAGCAGACCTGCAAGTTCCGATGTGAAATGGGTATTGTGTTGTCCAGAAACTCGATGACCTTTGTTCAGCGATCAGTGACAGAGATCACGTACTTCAAGGCTGTTGAACAACCGTGAGAGGAGCGATCAAACCATTTCGAGTCAAAACGACAAGGACTACGGAATGCGGTATCAAAACGGCATTGGCTGCGGAAGAAGTACTCACATGTTTCACTTTGCCCGAAATTGCAAGTCAACATTCGGTGTGTTCGGACGAGTGCAATAGTGGCAACAATAGCGAGACAAAGGGTTCTAATTTTAAATGGTAAGAAGCGCGATCATATCAGACAAGAGATGAGTATGCATGTGGGATTGTGCTGGGGAAGAGCTTGGGAAGAGTAGCTCAGTGTACCGTATACGTGAATTTGTAGAGTACCATTCTGGGGGCCGCGATCCGTTGTGATCATTGCCTATAAAGGGAAGCTCTGAGCCAAGGAACTGAGAGGCCTAGCCTGAGCTGCGATATTTCTCCTCGGGGAAACTTTGAATGCAGCAAGAGAAGCACCACCAACTCCTTACCTAAATAAAGAGTTATCGTTGGTGGATATACCATCAGGCTTAGGCTAGGGAAACTGCAATGATTAGTCGAAAAGAAGCGCAAAGAAAGCCGTGCAGCTGTGAATATTGAATTTGGGCCCTGGGATCAGCCCCAAAGTTGTTTAAATCCTTTCATGATTTGGTTACGGCGAGAGGAAGAAACTAGAAGCTTGAATAACGCCGGAGACGCATGGGTTCAAAGACCCAGACGATATATGGGATTGCGACGGACGCAATAGTCTTGGTTGAAAGTGGAGATCAGAGGCATTGCAGAGGGATAGTTACATGAAAGCACCAAGCGAGTACGAAAACAGTAATTTGACAGAGACCCTTGAACTTATAACGGTGGCCCGTGGGGGTGCACTAGGTCGTGAGTTTGAGTTTGAGTGGCGAGGCGGAAGGAACTTCTTACATCTTATTGCAAAATCACCAAAGAGAAAAATCGCTGTGATCCAGCTATGCCTCCCATCCTGCTGAGGTCGGTGTATTGAGTAGTAGCCTCGGAGTGTCGGACATTGATGTTATCCGAAGCGAACGCTGAGTTCGAGTCAGAGATGGTAGTAGACCATGGCTACCGGGACCGCACGTGGAGAGCATGGATTTTCTGTTGGCTATGTGCATGATGACCGTCGTGATCAAACTCAGAATTTGTAACGATCAACGCGGAACTGAAGTCAGCAAGGGACACCCCCAATTGCGTCACAAACCACTGACGAATACCTTTGGCCGTCGGCAATAAACATAACGTTATTATTTAAGATAAATTAAAATAAAACTAATATGTATGGGGGTCATGATGATTTGTCATCGCAGACTGCTCTTCCAGGAGCGCCGACACATACCTATCTCGTTCTCCTGACTTGACTGCTACAGCTCATCTTCCTTATCAACGTTCTCTTTACTTCTTGTCATCGTTGCCTGCAGTGAACTCACGAACACCTGACTTATTCCCCGTGCAAGAGACTCCTAATCTCATGGAGTTCCCCACTATGAACAACTTCTGGGATCTATCGCAAACTCCATCTCAATTCTCTCAACTTGGCGATGACGACTTTCTTGCTCTTCTCCAAAAACAATACCCAAACACAGTTCCCGACATCAATTCCACTGACATTGACGACGTAAACCAGAAACCTCCACTACCAGGTCTTACACCACCCTCTGATGATAGCAGCCCAAGCCCACCAAGCATCAACAGTGCCAATCATTCACGCTCCAGGCACCAGTCTACTTTCTCCCGTGGAAATGACAATGAGGAGTCTGCGCTGAAGCGCAAAGCAAGTGATGACGACATGGAGGAGGGTCCAAGTACAAAGAATCAACACACTGGTCCGTAACCTATTGTCCCTAGTGTTTATTCATGATATTTAAGCCTTTATTTACATGAGCAGCTGATGACCCGAGCAATTCAAAAAAAGGGCCAATGTCCAGACGAAAGTCGGGAGGGTCTCAGGTTGGTGGCCCCGTCGGCTTCCATACACTGCAATTAAATTAATTCACATCTTCTCAAGGATGATACACGGCTACTCAAGCGAAAGGAACAAAATCGTGCTGCTCAACGCGCTTTCCGAGAACGAAAGGAAAAGCATGTCAAAGATGTGAGTCTGCCGCTTCAACCCGTTGCCGTCGCTTACGGGCCGGTTTTCAGTTGGAAGATAAGGTGGCAGCTCTCGAGGCAAAGAATAAGGATGCGCAAAATGAAAATTCTAATTTGCGAGATCTTCTCGCACGCCTTCAGGAGGAGAACCTTGCTCTTAAGCAAGCCCAATTCACATTTTCAATGCCGAAGGCGATCGATCATCCAATTCCTCAGGCTTCCTCATCAGCATCACCTCAGACCGTTCAAGCGCCGTTTAGCTTCTTTAGCTCCCCTCCAGCTGTACCGCCCCCCGCTCCCCCCGCATTACGCTCCTCTCCTAAGCCATTTAGCGATATTGATTGGAGTTCATTGACAACGTTTGATCCCTCATTGCTCAGCGCAATGGATGAGATCCCTTCAGGTCCTATGCAAATTGATCCTTCGACTTCGCCATACGGTCAATATGCCCTGCCAGCTCCCAACCAGTACAAGACTCTCGCCACCAATACATTCTTCATGTCGTTTGCTGACTCCGATTCCAATTCGTTCAACAATGGCCCTCCCAGCAACGAAAACGTCAACAATAATACCAGTAACGGTTTGAATCAATTCCCGTTCAATTTCCCCTCACCTTCGAATTCCTGGAATAGCACAAGAAACGGCCAATCCACAGCGGAATTCTCACAGTCTGCAGGTCATTCCGACTACATGCAAAACCACAGCCTAGACGAGCTTTTCGGCGAAACATTCATGAATGGCCAAAGCGTTGACTTTGGCGCACTATTGAAGAGCCCGCCTCCACCCACAATAAGTCCCGTGACGCACGCAAACGGGAATGCGCAATCACCACCAAGTAGTATATCTTCAAAAAATTCCATGGCTTCTCCCCTTTCCGCACATCCCTTATCATCACCGTCGTCAGCTAGCACATCAAACGGCCAAAGTCCATTCAGCTGGACGATGTCCCGACAGGACGCCGAAAGTCCACCCTCGGCCTCCGAACCGGCATCTAATGTCAATCCCGGAGGGGCTATGGCGCGCTGTCCGACGAGAGATGATATCGAGAAGTATATAGTTGCATCAGGTGACTCGCCGTTTACGAGTTCGCCGTTCACACAGCCCGCGGTGCGCAAGATGAGTGATGCTTCTCAAGGAGGGAATATGATATCCTGCGAGGGCTCGCAATTCCCGAAGACGAAGGAGAGTTCGGAAAATATCGAAGTTCTGAAAGCGTGGCGGACGATTACGTCCCATCCTCAGTTTAAGGTGGGCGTCTAATTGTTTGGTATGGTGGCTTTTGTTGATTTGAGTGATCATAGGACGCGGATATCAACCACCTATGTACGGAGTTTACGAAGAAGGCGCGGTGTGATGGGACGAAGGTCGTTTTAGAGCCAGAGGGTGTGCATCATATCTTGGAGACCTTCAAAGCAAAGTCACTGGCTCAGAATCAGCAACAACAGCAGCAGCAAACATCTACTAGTTCATCGAACTAGCGATGACGGATTCCCATTTGTATTATCATCGCTAGATCATCATTTATCCTGCTTTCTCGCGTTTTGCTATATTTTTTCTATGTGGTATTTCCTGACTATTGCATAGCCGCGATGTATACGTGAGGGGTGGTACATAATAGTCCGGTTATTGTACAATGTGTGATCTCGGATCGTTAAATGAAAGCATTTGCTTGTAAATACGAGCCTCGTCAATAGTTTGTTCTTCCTGGACGAATGCGTCGATGTACCACGTCAGTGCGTTCAGAAAGACTCAAACTCACGAAATGTTCGCATTTCTTGTCCCTGCTCATTAAAGGAAAGGTTCCGCTTGTAGATTCCAGACATGAGCATACTCTCCCCCTTTCCTCATCAGTTCGTCGTGTGTGCCTTGTTCATGGACGGATTCGTCCATGTACCTGCAAACCGTCTCAGCACGAGCATTAATTCAAGGAAGACCCAAACTCACAAAATGAGATCCGCATGTCGGGTGAGGTTCCCGAACCGGTGAGTGGAGAATATTATGGTCTTGCTGCCCCTCAACTTTCGTAGACGCTCGAAGAGAGCTATTTCGAGATGTGTTTAGTCATCCCAATTGGGTATGTACTTCAAGGAAACAAGGCAACGCACTGTGTTCGGCCTTAGGGTCCAAAGAGGCGCTCGGCTCGTCAAATAATAGCATGCCAGCGGAAGGCTCTGTCTCGGAGGGCAACGAGCGCATGAATGTGCGTGAGCTAGTCCAACAGTCAGCACCGGCACCCGAGAGGTCAAGGGATGGTCACGTACACTGCAAGCCGCTGCATCTGGCCACCACTGAGGGCCGGACCATAGGTGGAACGGATACCCGCAACGCTACGCAAAAAGGAGAAGTCGATGGGGGGCCCGAACGACGAAGAGCCTTCAAAGCGACTATAGTGATTGAGACTGGGGCCTTCGAGGGAGGTGTTGAATCCGTCGGGGAGGTCGTCGATAAATTCTTCTGCGCCACCAAGACGGGCGGCTTCGCGGATCTTGTCGTCATCATTTGCGAGCGCGGGGTTGCCAAGCCCGATGTTCTCGCGAATCTGAGTGCGCATTAGGTGCGTCGCATACGGGAGACTTATCCGAGGACGACACTTACGGGGACGGGGAAGTGGGCATAGTCTTGGAAGAGGATAGACATGGCGGACCGGAGGTCGGCCAGTTTGAGCGTTTTGATGTCTCGGTCGTCTATGAGGATGGTGCCCTCTGTTGGGTCGTACACGCGGGAGATGAGTTTCAAGACCGTACTTTTCCCAGAGCCGTTAATGCCGACGATGACCTATGATCACGATTAGAGAAGAGCACTGCAATTGAAGTGGGACTTACGCAAAGTTGGCCAGCTCCGATCTTGAACGAAACATTATGGAAAGCATACTTCTCGTTACCAGGGTACTGGAACGTCACATTCCTGACATACACGCTTCAGAGATGCTTACATGAAGTCACCAGTAATCACAACACCTGAACTCGATAGAAATGCCACTCCTAAGAGACTGCTTGTCCTCGGGGAACGATTCTGTGCCATCCACCACCTGATTCCGCACATTTTCTATCTCGTACACAGTGCGTACATAGGTGAATTTCTTCGCGAGAGAGACAAACTGGCTAAAAGGTGACTCGGAGAAGGGCGGGGAACTGAACGAGTTAGAAACTTGATACATTAGTACGAGTGAAACCAAATAGAGGGGGAGGGTCATTGGTTTTTGCACGACGCGCAGAGTGAAGATGATCTAGTTAACTTGATCAGCTTCGTCGGCTCTTAGGTCAAATCCGAGTACCTGGGGCAGCATGTGCATTGTTTCTCGAAGGATGTGTACCGCGCTCAGACTATCCTTGATAGAAAGAATTCGATCAAGCTCTATAAAATCAACTGCATCGCCGCCAACGCGCTGGACGGATTCGCGAAATTCTGGTCTCGAGACAGTCAAAATAAGGCCGTCCGGTAAGGTGCGTGGACATACGTGCAGTGATGTGTTCACTGAGGTTTCCTGTAACAACCTCTTTGCGGCAACGAGGATCATGAACAAACAGCTTTAAGGCATTCATGCGAATAAAATCTTTATTCGTGGTGGTTGCAACCCAAACTACATGCAGCTCAGATAAATGCTTGGAACGTCAACTATTGGCTTACCTAAGGATCTGGCCACGGCTTTTCGTGTGCCATCCCAGTGAAATATAGGTTGCGAGAAGCTGAGAATCGCAAGAAGTAGACCATCCTGTTGCTCCCGCAGGACTGTGACCAGAACCAAAAACTGAGAGAGCAGACGAACAACGGTCATTGTGATGTTCGTCGACACTTGGATAATTTCACATTCTACGCTGCTAGTAGAGTCTAAATCGGAATCCGGGATCCCGAGCTTCCCGCTGTGAACAAATTGTGTATAGGTGGGCACGTCAAGGCTGACAATGGAGTGGAATGTGCGTCCAGCGTAAAATTGTGTGATGGAAATGTCCATGGGGAAAATTGTGCAGCGTCGGAGATATTTAAAAAGGCGCGTCGCGACTGCGCATGCAAGATGTCCTACTGCAACATGAACGAACACCGTTGTGTCCACAGTACGCGTCTCCATTGCTGGCTCTATCTAGGTGCGAGATAAGTGGGGCAATGCAGATTGAAGCGAGGAGGGCCTTACAAGACGAAGTAGTTGTCCAATATACCTGTGCAAAGGCTTATGAACGTACAACGAGTCGCCCACATATTTGCAACATACCATAGGGAAATGGCGGGCATAAGAGAGCCCAAGACTTCCACTATCAAGAATATGGGAAGAAGGATCTGGACTCGTCTGATACTGAATATATCCCTTAACATGCGCACTGCGTAGGGCGAGCTCTCGCGTATCCAGGTATACGTCTCCAATATTGATGAGCCTTGTTTATCTGTTTGGCACTCCTCGTAGAGATCCCATATACCGATGTGGGTGTGCTTGACACGGCGAGCATCCTGGGGGTCAACTTTTCCTGTGCGCGTTGCCATTCGTCTCTTTTTCCCAATGTGTAAAAGAACGAAGAAGTCGGAGATATGTTCTACTATTTGTAGTTGGCTAAGAGGCAGGCGTCAGGCAAATACCGAAATACTCACAGCAAAGATAAAGCAATGGACATCGAATGGGATGGGAATGCGACACTTACACGACACATGATTCGGCATGAATCAACTTTTTTGATGTCTTTATCCCTAGCGGCGGCGCACCGATGCCTAATTTAGGCTGCGTAATCGTGACAGTTTCGCATTTTCACTACTGTGTCGATACCTTGTGCCTTCCTCCGAGGGAGCACCTTCGAATCGATTAGTTTAGCGTAGATGCGGAACCTACCACCAGAGACCAGGACATCATGTTGAGGCGATAAGTACTGCATCCTCGATTCAAAGCAGGTGTGAGTGAGTTGTGATGATATTCATATTTGACAACATAAGGTTACTAGTATGAAAATGCACGGACTTACGAAGAATAGATCTTGAAGGTGGTGCACCCGTGTCACCAAAGTCACGGCGGCGGCCAGAGTCATATCTAGGGCTAAGGGTATGCACCATATCTTCAAAGGAGACATTACTATTCTCATGGTGCACGAGCCATGTCCTATACAATCGCGTAGCCGTGATATACGCGTGAGGATGGGTGGTTCAACCACGTACTAGTAGTATATCATAGGTCTGGGGTATTTCACTTTGTGTGTGGGAATAATTGAATTGAGTGGCCCGGTGACCACTGCCGCAAAGCCAACTACAATATCTCCAGTGGCCTAACGTCCATCATGCTATGAACAGAAGCCACGTCTTTGACTTGTGCAATAATATCATGATCCGATGCGATTCTCTTATATTCTCCGCCGCGCTGCTGCATTAGCAACAACGCATTGAATTGCTGCCCAAGGCGAACAATCAATCGCAATGCTCGTGAGTGAGAGTCCAGATCGACAGACCCCTTTTCGTCCTGTGAAGAGGACTGGGAAACGAATACATCTTCGACGCTCTGCGTGTCATCTGCGGGCAGCTCTAGGAGATGATGGTTCCACGGACGGACAAGCAGGACTGTCTTCTGGATGGGTCGTGCCGGCGAAAAGTGAATAAGTTTCACCCCCGTTTTGATCGAGAGGTCATGCAGCCCATCGGCCTTGATTTCGTATGTGAAATATGACTGTTCGTTTTGAGCGTGGCTCCGTCTGACTTCTGTGACACGGAATACCATGCAAGGCAGGTGTAGCCGACGATACGCGAAACGAGGAGCGCTCAGATTGCTAAGCAGTGTATAAAGTTTCGAAGCCGAATCCGCAGCCACGGTGTCTCGCAGTGACGAGATCGATGTCTGAATTTCATCTTCAGAGAGAGATGGCAGCTTGCATGCCGCAGCTTCGTACGATGTGAGGTTGGCTGGCAGACAACTATTGAAATCTGATGATTTTCCGATCCAGTCCAGGGCACTAATTTCGCCCGACTGAGCGACAATCACCTCCAAAAGCCGCCCGAGTGCGTTTTGCTTCTTCTCGCCATAGATTACGGGTAGGTGGATGCCGAAGATGCCAAATAATGAGTATGCAACATCTTCTGGCAAAGTGGTCTCACGCGTTGACGCCCATTGCAGTTTCTCTCGGGCGCCTGTCATTCCTGGACGGAAGGAAACGAGGGTCTCTGTATCTATCCCCGTCGCATCCTCCAACTCCTGCATGATCGCAATGGACTCCTTGTGGTTGGGGGAATGATCATCGAGATATAAAGTCCAATTGCTCTGATAAAAGAGAATAACTTTGGGAGCCAGGAATTCTTGAACTGTCCATCCTCGCCGGTTCCAAGCACTGTTTGCCAATGCACTAGACTTGGATGAAGGCGGAACATCCGACAGGTAGACAATCGTAAGCGCTGAGTGGCGATACCAGACAAACATGGAGTTAAGCGATTCTTGGACCTCAGTATTGTTATTCTTGTCGATGCAGCACGTATCCATCCATGCCCAGCGATACCGCGCCTCACGAGCAATTCTGCAGAACAATTGCAACTTCAAGATGCCGCCAACTGCCTCCAATTCGTACACGACCTTGTCCTGGATGTCATGCAGCAGCGGCTCCTTCTCTTCCCACCTGTGTGAGAGCATGACACAATGGAAGTATGTCGCCACCACTTCGTTGATGCGCTCCATTCGGAGGTGCGCATTCTTTATTGCGAATGATACAAGCTCTTTATATTCTGTGCTCGTTTTGAAGACGCTTATCTGCGCCTCTCGATCACACAGGAGCCCAGTGATGGTGTCAAGTAGACGGAGTGGGGTGTCAGCGAGTTGTGCGCGAATGACCTCTCGGATATCACGTTCTGCTTCAGATGGACTAAGATACTGCTGACGCATCTCTGTACAAAGAAGGTTAAGCATGTCGACAAACATATTTATTCGGGCTTACGTCGTATTTGTGTCTCGGGAGCATTTTCCAACTGAAGAAGCATGATTTGGAAGGCTTCGATGGATGCATCATAGCGTTGCGCACCATGTAGCGCTGCATGCTTCAACTCGTATCCAATATAACACGAAGGGTTGAGTTCGATGACCTATGTATCACAAAATGAGCGTTGACCTCGACACAACAAATACTTCTCGCACTTTTTGCGCATCAAGAAGCGCATCCTCCCATAACTTCTTTTCCAACTTTGCCTTGCTGCGTTTTTCATAGATGGTGTCGCATGCGGCCGCCAAGTCGATCGCCGCCGAGTATAGAATAATAGCTTTGTCGTAATCACTCGCACTGAGCGCGGCGTCTCCGTCAGCAGCATAGAGCGCACTGCATTGCTGCTTGAAAGCTGCATGCAATGCGGGTGAGGATTGTAGACTGATCGACATTACAGAAAACTTGCCAGTAGACCAATCAAGGCAGTTGGCCTTTGTACTTTCGTCACTCTTATCCATCATGTATCGGTGTGCTTCGAGGGCTTCTCCAAGTCTACTTGCCTGAAGGAGTGCAAGGCACCGTTTCTTGTTTGCAATTTGCCACAAGGACTTAAGGTCCCACCCGAAGAGCTGCAGCAAAGCATATTGGTTGGTCTTGAAAAGCATTTCCAGTTGTCTCATCAACGCACCACGACAAAGTCCTCATATTTGGAATGAATGGCTAATTTAGAGAAGGAACCGCTGATGTTGACAGCGGCAGTGAAGTGGTCAGCAGCTTCGCCGTGACGCGCAACATCCGAGGCATGGTTTCCGAGCTGAATATGTAGATATGCCTAGGGTGCGAAGTTTTAAAAATAAGTGTCAATCGCATAGACTGGGCTTGATTAAGTACATGACACTTACTTTCACTACCCAGCACGCACGAGTATCGGCACTCGGACAGGCTTTAGCTAGCTCTTGGACGCGCATAATTGCCTCCTCGTGTTGATCTGCATTGAAAAGTGCGACAGCCTGAAAACAATAAACAAAAATGGAGCATGAGAGTATGCAAGAATAATTTAACCTACCTTAATCAAGAGAAGGAAATGATTGGCCTTTAGATCTCCGTTCGTAAACATGGACGCGAGGTCAAATGCTTTGATCGCGTCCCGGACCTGCTTTCTCCCGCAAAGGGCAATGCCCTTGGAGATATAGCCTGTAAACGAGGGTTGAATGTCGATGGACTTGTCGCGAACAAAATCAGCTTTTGGTAAGAGGCCATCATAGGTCAGTCTATCTAACCTTGGAGGCATCATGAAGCGCAAGGTCCCAGTTATGCTTTCGTGCCATAACAAATGAGCGATTGGCATAGGAGCTATAGTTGTTGGCGACACCGTCGATCTCTCGTGTTAGCAGCTCTTCAGCTTTAGACAAGTCCCCAGTTATGCATGCATTGCGTGCCATTGTGTTTATAGTGAGTAGCTGCATGAAGAAGGTCACATCAAGTCATGCGAGTCGAGAATAGACACATGCCTTGACATCACATATAGCGTACTCTGGTACTATCCACTCCGAGATCTTCTTGTCATCACTTCCACTAATGATGCGCTTGCCATCCATGGAGAATGTGACGCACCGTACCAAGCTAGAGTGCCGGAATATAGCGATGGTTTTTCGATCCCAGAGCTGCCAGAGGCGAACATGATGGTCTGTAGACGCGGAGGCGACAAGAGTACCATCACAGCTCACGGCAATGGCGTTGATGTCGTGATTATGGCCTTTCCATGGATCACCGACCTGCTGCCCGGTGAATATATCCCATTCCCGTATGGTTGGATCCAATATACACCCGCCTGAGAGTAGCCGTGTGCCATCGGGCATCCAGGCGAGTGGCAAGCTGATCCCTACAAAGAGCTTGTGCATGTGATCCTTGAAGTTTACCACGCAATCTCCTGTCCTTGGATTCCGAATTTGAATATCAGAGTTTGTCGCAATGGCAAGTAGTTCACCCGATGGCGAATACCGAACGCTGTAGACTTCCGCATGACAATGAATTGTATCTCCTTGTTGCTGCCACGTCTCCGTGTTCCACAACTTCGTCGTATAGTCCATTGAACCAGTCGCCAACGTCGTGCCGTCTGGTGAGAAGTCCAGCGAGCGGATGTATTTGGAGTGGGCTTTGATGGCAGGGGTGATAGATTCGCCAGTGTCTCTGTCCCAGGCAATGACCTCTTTGTTGTCAGCGCTGGCTATCAATTGTCTGTCTTGTGATGCTGCCACTGCCACTGCCCGCACCCGGCCGCGGTGCCCCTCCATCTTCTTCAACACAGTGCGATCCTTCAAGTCCCACAGACGAAGCATCCTGTCCGCCGAGCCCGTCACCATATGTCGTCTGTCAGGAAAGACTGCCAGGGCAAGTACGATATCGGTATTTTCATGATCTTCAAACGTTTGAGCAGGTTCGGTGTTTGGAATGATGGGCTGCTCTGCCGGTGCTTCTGCCATTGTAGCAAGCTCGATGATGTTGAACACGGACGATAAGCACTATCTTGAGCCACAGCTGTACTCGGCATTTTAGGCTTTATCCTGCTTCGCAGCGCTAAACTGTATCATTAGACGCACAGCCATGAGACTATTTCCCGTCAAACTTCTCATATGAGAAAGTCGGATTTCCATTTGTATGGTCATCGCTAGATCATCATTTATCCTGCTTTCTCGCGTTTTGCTATATTTTTTCTATGTGGTATTTCCTGACTATTGCATGGCCGCGATGTATGCGAGAGGGGTGGTACATAATAAATAGTCCGGTTGTTGTACATATTAATGTGTGATCTCGGATCGTTAAATGAAAGCATTTGCTTGTAAATACGAGCCTCGTCAATAGTTTGTTCTTCCTGGACGAATGCGTCGATGTACCACGTCAGTGCGTTCAGAAAGACTCGAACTCACGAAATATTCGCATTTCTGGTCCCTGCTCATTAAAGGAAAGGTTTCGCTTGTAGATTCCAGATACGAGCATACTCTCCGCCTTTCCTCATCAGTTCGTCGTGCGTACCCTGCTCCTGGACGGATTGGTCCATGTACCTGCGAACCATGTCAGCACGAGTATTGGCATTCAAGAAAGACCAAAACCCACAAAATGAGATCCGCATGTCGGGTGAGGTTCCCGAACCGGTGAGTGGAGAATATCATGGTCTTGCTGCCCCTCAACTTTCGTAGATTCTCGAAGAGATCTAATTTCAGCAGGTACAAGAATCTCAAACTTGGCTTAGAAGAAGAAATGCATACCATCTTCGGCTGTGGGGTCCAAAGAGGCGCTCGGTTCATCGAATAACAGCATGCCAGCGGAAAAGTTTTTCTCGGTGACCAAAGAACGCATGAATGTGCGGGAACTAGTCAAACAGTCAGCACCGGCACCCGAGCGATCAAGGCATTGTCATGTACACCGCAAGCCGCTGGTGTTGCCCACCACTGAGGCCCGAAACCATGGAAGCACAGACACCTATAGTATTACGCACGGAGGGCATCAGGACGTCTCCGATATAGGTGCTGAATCCGTTTGGGAGCTCGTCGATAAAGTCTCGTGCGCCGCCCATCTTGGCGGCTTCGCGGATCTTGTCATCGTCATGTGCGAGGGCGGGGTTGCCAAATCCAATGTTCTCGCGAATCTGAGTATGCTTAGGTACGTTGCTTGTGAAGTGTGCAAAGATTAGACTCACCGAGAGGGGAAAGGTTGTGTAGTCCTGAAAGAGGATGGACATGGCAGCGCGGAGGTCAGCGAGTCTGAGGGTTTTGATGTCGCGATTGTCGATAAAAATGGTGCCCTCTGTTGGGTCGTAGATGCGGGAGATGAGTTTCAAAATTGTACTCTTTCCAGAGCCGTTGCCCCCGACAATTACCTACGCTCACAGTTATAAAGAGCATTGCAAAAGTGGAGGCACTTACGCAAAGCTGGCTAGCCTCGATCCTGAATGAAACATTATGGAGAGCATACCTCTCTTTGCCAGGGTATTGGAACGATACATCCCTGAAACAATATATCCTCAGGAATGCCTTCATGGAGCAACGAATAGGGAGGGCACTTGAACTCAACAGAAATGCCTCTACTGAGAGACTGCTGGTTCTCGGGGAATGGTTCCGTGCCATCCACCACTTTGTTCTGCATATTCTTGAACTCATATAGATCGCGTACACGGGCAAACTGTGCACCAATAGCGAACGCTCTTGCCGAAACGAATGAATCAGATACACGTTCGATTAGCACTAATGACGCAAAGGAGAGGGGGACCGTCATGGGATTTTGCACGGCGTTCAGCATGAAGACGATCTGGTTCATTTGGTCAGCTTCATCAACTGCCTTGTCAATCTTGACTACCTGAGGTAACTCGTGCATTATTACGCGGAGGATCGATGTGATGCTCAGGCGTTTCTTAAGATAATGGGCTTCGTGCACTTCTGCAAACTCGCTTGCATCGTCGCCGAGGCGCTGAGCGGATTCGCAAAATTCTGACTCGTGACACGTCAAAATGAGGTTGTCCTGGAAGATATGTCGACATACGTGAAGTAATAAATTCACTGAGATTGCCTGCGACAAGCTCCTTCCGGTGTGAACCTGAATCACTGAGGATTTTCAGGCCTTGCATGCGAATATAATCTTTATTGGTCGTGGTCGCAGCAGCCTGGTTGTGCTCTACATATCTGGCTCAGACAATTCCACAGAGCATTGATTGTTGACCTACCTAGACCATAGAAGCTGTTTTTCAGTGATTGCATCTTATACCAGCGAAGCATAGATTTCGAGAAGCCAAGGACCACAAGAAGTGGGCCATCCTGCTGCTTCCGCAAGACTATAAACAAAACCAAAAGCTGAGAGAGCATACTGATAATCGACATTGCGAGGCTCGTAAAACTATGAACAGTTTGCCATGCAATGCTACCGCCCCTGCCCCCATGGTACAAAGTAAAACTGAGCTGTCCCTGGATGACAAGGTCCGTAAAGGTGGGTAGGTCGAGGCGGGCCATCGAGTGGAAAATGTGCTTAGCGTAAAATTGTCTGATGGATATCTTGATAGGGATCGCGATGCGGTCCTGGGCATGTTGGAGAAGGTGCGTTGCGACTGCGCATGCAACGTGTACTATCGCTACGTGAACGACTACCGTTATGTCAACAGTACGTGACTCCATCGCGGTGTCCACCTATGTTCGAGATAAGTGCGCGGTGAATGTGGAAGAAAAGATCGCATTACAAGTTGGAGTAGTTGTCCATAGTACCTGCACGAAGACGTTATGAATGTACAGGGAATCACTCAGAGCGTTGTGACATACCATAGGGAAATGGCTGGGATGAGGGAGTCTAGGACTTCCGCTACCAAGAATGCGGGAAGAAACACCCGGACTTGTCTGATGCTGAGTATTTCCTTAAACATGCGCACAACGTAGGGCGCGTTATCGCGTATCCGGGAAAATCTCTCCAATCTTGACAAACTCGGCGTAGGTGGTACATCTTTTTCCCTTTCCTCGTCGATGTCCCATATACCGATGCGAGTGTGCTGACGAGCACCCTGTGGGTCTAACTTTGTTGGACCTGTCGCCATTCGGATCTTTTCCTGATAAGTCTGACTCTGGTAGGAGAACGGATGTGAGCTGGAGAGGTATATATAATGGTTTGAGAGGAGGGCGTTAGGCAAAATCCGAATACTACATTGCAAACCAGTGCAAAGTCAGAAAGATTTGAGGCCCAGGGAAAGCTGCATGTGATGGGAGCGGGCGGTGTATGATGGGATGTGACTAGCTAGCGCTACACAGCAAATGAGCAAATTTCGTATAAAATCAAAACATTTGCGTCATGCACCACTTCATGGTCCCATTTCATTGTCGCAAAAAACGTGAGCAAGTCTCAGTGCGACGTCGTGGCAGCATCAAAAAACTGGCTTATTAGCCACAAACCCTAGAACATCATCAGTTTAGCTGTCACACACACAGATATCTTTCCTGTGCGAGAGGCTGTGCCTCTCCATTATCATCACCGAAATTCCCCAACTCGGATAAGGGCTGATAATGACTGACCAGGATGCGCAAGGTCACAAAAGGTGCACCAGGTGTATCAGCGCGCGGAAGGCGGGGGAACCGACATATAAGATCTGGTTGAGAAACTCAATTGAAGGTAAGATGGCGGAGGTTGGGTAAGTAACTCGTACCTTAGCATAGATTTCGAGCTTATAAGCATTGATATGGCAATGCTACTTATATGTTCTGATCTGGTGTTGGATTCTGATAAGAACATTTCATTTCATTTCGGTATTGTATTACATGGTATGCGCAGACAGTAAAAGTACATCTAAGAGCAGAACGTGCACCAGGGCTTCTCTAAGAGGCAGACACGCGCCAAAGCTTCTGAAGGAGATTGACAGCGACAACAAGGAAACATGCGATGATCGGAGAGCAGCTTGAATGTGAATTGCAAATGAGAATAGGGACGACGACAAGAGCGAAACGTGCGACAAGTGGCCAGCGGCTTGCAAGTGAGACAGACAGACATCGTTCTGAGTGAGAAATCAGTGTCAACGATGAGACGAAATGGAAGATCGTTAACACATCATTTTTTTCCCTTCCCTTTCTTCGGTGCGCTAGTGGATTTAGTAGTAGCGGCACATAGACGGTCGTCTTCAGCGTGCCCAATCACCTAAACAGCAAGCTCGACGGCCTTCTACCCACGGTGAAGATGATCTATCTCACCAGATTGCAATCCCACCGCCAATGAAATTTCTGATGAAGTATCAGGCATGTCAATCCGGACATCGTCATCCAGGTGCTTAATAAATGCCACGTTAAACGCAATTCAAACGACAGACAGAAAAATTCACACCTTCAAAGGTTCTGGGTCGGGATCAACCTCTTGCAGTCCGAATGCCAGAGCGTTGGAAAATCGGGCGAGAAGAAGTTGTGCTCGATGCGAGGCCATCAATTCTGCGAAGCGTTGTCCGTCAATTGAACTATTGCTGCTTTCAAGGGCACGTACGTGACAGAGCGCCCCAATCATTTGCCTGTGGAAGTTCTAAGTGATGCACTCCCCACACGTACGGCGAAACAAATGCACCTTCAGTTTCAAGCTCCGCATGCTTGCTACTCTCATTAGGGTCTGTAGGTGCGGCAGGTAGGGTAGGACAGGTGGTTGAGTTTGTGTTGCGCTTGCCACTCTCGTTAGGGTCTGTAGGTAGGGTAGGACATGTTGTTGAGCGTATGAATAGAAATCAGGATATCCCGGGGCCATAACCATGGCTCCAATAGACTGTAGTGGACGTCTGGTACTTACGAATAACGAGTGTCATGCCTCGTCATGGCTCGCTTGAAATACACCCCTGGAATCGTTTGCGTGTCAGAAAAAGTCAACAACAGAGAGGTTGGTGTCACTCACGTCAAATGGTTTGTCGTCATCGTTTCCGTCAGCGTGCACGGAAGCAGCCTTCAGCGTGAGAGAAGGAAAGACACCTCAGATGAATGAGGAGGACAAGTATAGTATCATGGCTGTCATAAAACGTACCTGGCTATGTCACAACAGGGTATAAGGGCCGGCAGGAGAAGTCCAAAGTATGTGCATATATGCGCAATAAGAGTGCCACGGAGGGCATGGAAAGTGCTTTAGAGGGGTCCTTGAGGCCTAAATGAGTAAGAACACGTATAACAGCAAAAAAAGGGGCGCATATAAGCATGAAGGGGGTGTGCACACTGTAAGGCACAGCAAAGGAACAAGGTGAAACATACCAGGAAGGCACAGAAAGGCCGTCGGCACGTGAGCCTTCACATCAACCCATGTCGAGAAGGAGCGAAAAGGCCAGAAAAATCTGTGCATAAGCTGATATTCACAGCAATTGCGGAAAGGCAAGATGGTGGATGGAGAAGTGCAGAAATATCGCCAAGTCCTTTGTTGACGTGTTGTTTGTTATATCACGTGATCATGTTTTCAATCACCGCATTAAGTATTGCATACCATGTGCTCTTCCCTGCTCTTCCACACATCTGAACCTGTACGTCCCGTTTCTTATATCCTGGTACAGCGGTCGCGGACACATGCATGGTCTATGATACGGACACTGGGCAGTGATGAAACAGAAATGGTAAGTCATGATTCATCGGCTAATGTTAATGATACATAATAGTGCATACAAAACCAGCGCTAGCACCAGCATCGTCTGGAGCGAACCCTTCGGTTGTCGACTCCTTGTGTTGGGGCCCCTGATAGGCAAGTTATCTCCTCGGGCTACCATTATCCTGAGACGTGCATACACAATTGTAATCACCTGCTGCCTGTCTAGATGGCACCTACATCACAATCACAGTAAGCACCATGAAACCACGATAATATCAGATCCTTAACACTCACCACAATCAATCGCGCCTGCTCCCTTGGAAAGGTTCCATCCCATCAAGCTGCGCGTACGACTGCCGAGGTCCGTTGTGAAGTTCGTACATAGATTGTGCGTGGGATATCTATGAACATGTTTTGTCTAGATCGTGTAGAGGTCCTGGGGCGAGAGATTCCTGACAGAAATAGCGCAAAATGGTATTGCTTCACCTCAGTTGATAGAGCTTCCCACTCTTGCGTGGTTAAGTCGTCCATGCGAAAAGCCTTGTATACACCAGCGTAGTACCACTTTCCATTTTTGTTGTAGAAGCACTCTAAACGAGAGAGAGAGATCAACATAACGAGATCAAATGGAAGACAACAAACCAGTAGGCCTGTTCATGGTGCCGATCACATCCACCGCAGTCCACCGATGTGCTGTTGTTGCTCGGGGATTGGTGCTACACTTGAAAACGGGGGTGAGCAAGTATCCGTGTTCTTCGCGCTCTGGACACCAGTATGTCGTCAGTTGGCTGAGGACACGATAGTTTGACAGGCTAGGAAAAGACATTCGTCACCCTTGAAATTCGTGCATGAGCTGCACGCAGTCTTACGAGCTTTTGAGACTCTGTATCAGATGTGAATAGAATTTCCCACATAATATATAGAACACTGACACCAGAAGCATTACCCAAGAATTCATGCAAGGTGTACAGTGGAGGAATGAGGATTGGGTTTAGAGCGTTATCTGGGATATGAGCAGGGAGAAGAAGCGTGGCAAGAAGTGCTTGTCTTGCGAGGATCAATTTCTCAGGTCCATCACCGAGCGGAAGTGGTTCGAGGATATTCTATGGAAAAATTCCTTTGATTCAGCAGGAAAATGCGCATATATGATATCTACTTACCGGAGAGTTGAAGTCGACGGTTTCAGGGTGGCGTGAATCAGACTAATTTTCGAGACGTGCACAATAGTTTGACTGAAAAGACGGACTGAAGGAATTGGAATCACTGGCTTTCTGAGCGGGATTCTGACGGTGGCGTGAAAGGCAAACCCTGTGCCAGGTCTGGTCGAAGTGTCCTGGAAAAAAAGAAATCATGGGTTAAGTTCTGCAGAAGTCAAAATGCTCCGTCGTACGAGAGACGCCTGCCAAGGAAAGGCCTGAGTGGAAGCACTCTGAGAATTAACGTCCCCCACGTATATTGGAGCTGGTTGTGGAATATCAGGGGAAATTTGAACTTACCAGGGGCGCATCAGACTGATGGCGGCCTTACACGTTTCGGAGGGTATTGAGGTATGTCTGAGGGAGTGTCGTTGAACCTGCGAGCCCATTGTCATCAATCGTCATCGCGTCATCAGCCCGTAAAAGATTGTGGCGCGGGAAAGTGTCCGCATAAGGTAATTTCAGACTTGGGGAATTTTGGTGATGATAGATACGATGTAATGTGTCATTCCCAGCACATTTTGGCAGGCGTGGGTCATAATCAAGAAGGAACGACTGCCTTCCTTCTACATGGTCTGGCTAGGGGAGACTAGGTGTGGAGGAAAATATTGATAAACGAAATAAACGAAATACGAATACGAGAGCTGGCGAGGACCGTCCCATAATTTATTATGTAATATTGACTACAATATTTCCAGCGTTCTGACATCCATCATGTTCTGAGAAGCCATGTCTCTGACTTGTGCAATGATGTCGCGATCCGACGCGATCCTTTTATATTCTCCGCCGTGTTGCTGAATCAGCAACATCGCATTGAATTGCTGCCCAAGGTGAACAATCAATCGCAATGCTCGCGAGTGAGAATCTAGATCAACCGTCCCTTGTTCTCCAGGAATCCCGTCTGTCAGATCCTGCGAAGCAGACTGGGGAACGAACGCATCTTCAACACTTTGCATTTCATCTGCCAATGCAGGCAGCTCGAGGAGATGACGGTTCCACGGACGGACAAGCAAGACCGTCCTCTTGAAGGATCGTGCCGGCCAAAACTTATTGAGCTTGTCCTTCGTTTTGATCGAGAGATCGCGCAGCCCATCTGCCTTGACTTCATACGTGAAATACGACTGTTCATCTTGAGCATGGCTAGGTCTGACTTCTGTGACACGGAATACCATGCAGGGTAGGTGCAACCGGCAGTGCGCGAAACGAGGAGGGGGTTGTTCGCTAAGCAGGGTATAAAGTTTCGAAGCGGAGTGCACTGCTACGGCATTTCGCAGTGACAAGACTGATGCTTGAATTTTTTCTTCGGAAAGAGGTGGCAGCTCATATGGCGGATCTTCGTACGAGGCGATGTCAGCTGGCAGACAACTATTGAACTCCGATGGTTTCCCGACCCAGTCCAGGGCAGTGATGTCACCCGACTTAGCCACGATCTCCTGCAAGAGCCGCCCGAGTGCGTTTTGCTTCTTCTCGCCATAGATTACGGGTAGGTGGATGCCGAAGATGCCAAATAATGAGTATGCAACATCTTCTGGCAAAGTGGTCTCACGCGTTGACGCCCATTGCAGTTTCTCTCGGGTGCCTGTCATTCCTGGACGGAAGTCGACAAGAGACCTTAGAGCTATGCCCGTCGCGCCCATCAACTCCTGCATAATCCTAGCGGACTTTTTGTGGTTGGAAGAGTGGTCGTCGAGATATGGGGTCCAATCCCTCTGATAAAAGAGAATAACTTCGGGAGCCAGCAATTCTTGAACCGTCCATCCTCGCCTGTTCCAATCACTCTTTGCCAGTGCGCCAGGCTTGGACGAAGGCGGAACATCCGACAGGTAGACAATCGTAAGCGCTGAGTGGCGATACCAGACAAACATGGAGTTGAGTGATTCTTGGAGTTCCACATTGTTATGCTTGTCGATGCAGCATGTGTCCATCCACGCCCAGTGATACCCCGCGTCGCGAACAACTTCACAGAATTTCTGCAGCTTCACAACAGTTCCATCTGGATCCAGACTGTATACAACCCTGTCCTGGATCTCGCGCAGTGCCGGCTCTTTCCCTTGCCATCTATGCGATAGCATGACACAACGGAAGTACTTCTTTACCACTTCATTGATGCGCTCCCTTCGAAGTTCTGAAGGCTTCATTGTGAATAACAAGAGCTCATCGTACTCCGGGCTCTTGCTGAAGGTATCTATTTGCGCATGTCGATCATATAAGCGCCCGGTGGTGGTGTTTAGTAGACGAGACGGCGTGTTTTCGAGTTGTTTGTCGATGGCCTTTCGAATAGCACCTTCTGCTTCTGATCGACCAAGATACTGCTGGCGCAACTCTGGAGAAAGAATCAAACTTGTGGACGGGTGCATTATTTGGGACTTACTTCGTATGTCCGGTTCGGAAGCGGTACCCAACTTGGAGAGCATTATTTCCAAGGCGGTGATGGATTCATTAAAGCGTCGTGAGCCGAGAAGCGCTGCAAGCTTCAACTCGTACCCAGTATGCGACGAAGGGTTGAGTTCGATTACCTATGTACCGCTAAAAATGAGTATTGATTACGAAACAACAAATGCTGTCGCACTTTTTGCGCATCGAGAAGGGCATCCACCCATAGCATTTTTTTCAACATTGCTTCACTGCGCTTTGCAAAAGTGGAAGCGCTCACGGCGGCCAAGTTGATCGCGGCCGAGTATAGGGTGATAGCTTTGTCGTAATTCCTCGCACTGAACTCGGTGTCTCCATCAGCAACATAGAGCACGCTGCATCGTTGCTCGAAAGCTGCGTAGAATACGGGTGAGGATTGTAGTCTCATTAACATTACAGAAAACTTGCTAGTGGACCAATCAAGGCAGTTGGCCTTTGTACTCTCGTCACTCTGATCCATCATGTATCGGTGGGCTTCGAGGGCTTCTCCAAGTCTTCCTGCATCAAGGAGTGCAGAGCACAGTTTCTGGTTTGCAGTTTGCCACAAGGACCGGAGGTCCCACCCGAAGAGCTGCACAACACATGTCATTGGTCGTGAAAAGCATTTTTGGTTGTGTCATATCAACGCACCACGACAAAGTCCTCATATTTGGAATGAATGGCTAATTTAGATGAGGAACCGCTGGTGTTGACAGCGGCAGTAAGGTGGTCAGCAGCTTCTTTGTAAAGCGCATTATCGGAGGCACGGATTCCGAGCTGAAGATGTAGATATGCCTGGTGTGCGAAGTTGAGCGTAATCAGTGCCAATGCATGGGCTTGGGCCCGATTAATCATGATACTTACTTCCACAATCCAACACGCACGAGTATCGGCACTAGGACAAGCTTTAGCCAGCTCTCGGACGCGCAGAATTGCCTCCTCATGTTGATCTGCATTAAAAAGTACCACAGCCTGAAAACAATAATGAAGCATGGAGTATGTAAGACCCATTTAACCTACCTTGATCAAGAGAAGGTGATGATTGGCCTTCATATCTCCGTTCGTGAACATGGATGCGAGGTCAAATGCTCTGATCGCGTCCCAGACCTGCTTTTTCCCGCCAAGAGCGATGCCCATGGAGATATAGCCTATCAGCGAGGGTTGAATGCTGAGGGACTATGCCACGACCAAAATTAGTTTTTGGTAGGTGAGGGCGCCAACATAAGTCATATCTAACCTTGGAAGCATCATGAAGCGCGCGGCCCCAGTCGCGCTTTCGTGTCATGACAAATGAGCGATTGGCGTACGAGTTGTAATTGTTGGCATCGGCGTCGATCTCTCTTGTTAACAGCTCTTCAGCCGTAGACAAGTCCCTTTTTATGCACGCGTTTATAGTGAGGATCTGCACGAAGAAGGTCACATTAAGTCATATGAGTCAAGAATAGATACATACTTTAACATCACACAAAGCGCGCTCGGGTACTATCCATTCCGAGATCTTCTTGTCGTCACCTCCACTGAAGATGCGCTTGCCATCCTCAGAGAATGTAACGCAGCGCACCTCGCAGCTAGAGTGCCGGAATATGGCGATGGTTTTTCGATCCCAGAGACGCCAGAGGCGAACATCATGGTCTGTAGACGCGGAGGCGACCAGAGTACCATCGTAGTTCACGGCAATGGCGTTAATGTCGTTTTCATGGCCTTTCCAGGGATCACCGACCTGGTGCCCCGGGGTAGATAGATCCCATTCCCGTATGGTTGGATCTACTTTACATCCGCCCGAGAGAAGCCCTGTGCCATCGGGCTTCCAGGCGAGTGGCAAACTGATCCCGACATATAATTTGTGCATGTGATCTTTGAAGGTTGCTTTGCATTCCCTCGTCGCTGGACTCCAAATTTGGATATCAGAGTTTGTCGCGATGGCAAGTAGTTCGCCAGATGGTGAATACCGAACGCTGTAGACTTCTGCGCCACAATCGATTGAATTTCCTTCTGGCTTCCACGTCACTGTGTTCCACAGCTTTGTCGTATGGTCCGACGAACCAGACGCCAACATTCTGCCATCCGGCGAAAAGTCCAGCGAGCGGACGTATGTGGAGTGGGCTTTGATGGGTGTAGGGGTGAGGCGGGTATCTGTGTTCCAGACGATGATCTCTCCGTTGTCAGCGCTTGCTATCAATTGCCTGTGTTGTGATACTGCCACTGCCCGCACCAAGCCGCGGTGCCCCTGCATCTTCTTCAACACAGTGGCACTCTGCAAGTCCCACAGCCGAAGTATCCTGTCAGCTGAGCCCGTCACCATATGTCTTCTATCAGGGAAGACTGCGATTGCGAGTACGGTATTTTCATGATCGTCGAATGTTTGAAGAGGTTTGGTGGTTGGAATGATGGGCTGCTCTGCTTCATCTGCCATTGTGGTGGTGCCCGATGGTGTTGAGCACGGATGATAAGCACTGTGGGTATCTTGAGCTACGGGTGTACTCGGCGTTTTTCTATCGCAGCGCTAAACTGTATCATACATAAGGCGCACAGCCGTGAAGGCTGTTTCCCTTCAAACTTCTCGTCGTCTATCATGAAGACCGGAACATATATGGCATATTTGTAGTCTTCCAGCGCTCGATCGGATGTGATTAAATGATTTAAGAAATGGGCGGCTGTGCGTCTTCCGCCATTTCTCGTGGAGGTCGATGGTGTTCGAGGTGGCCTTGCTAAGGGGATCGTGTCATCGTGAGTGTTTTGCTCCCAGCTGTAGAGGTGTGTACACTGGGCGTCTTTATCAATATTGCTTCACACTGCACAGCCGAAGTGCGCAGCAGCAGCTTTCCAAATACAATGCTCACGCCAGATTTGGAAAAGTGCAGTCGTTACGAAAATGGCACATCATTGTCTGTCATACCGTCATCTTTCGAGGTCTGCACGTGTATCTTTTCCACGCGTGGATGAAATTTGTTTGTCATTCTACTGCAGAGTGTGGCCGCAGCCGCACGAGTGCCAAATGCGATGCTCGGAAAAACGGTCGGGGATGCACTATAAGGAATGAATCAAAAGCTTCAGCAACACGATGCCAGTGAAATGTCCTTACAATGTACGCATTTTTTCGGCTCGTGTGAACGATCGTGTAGTGTACTAAGAAAGATTCACCGCCACGCACCGTCGATGGCCACTATTGCATGTATGGGCACAAGCATCAGGGGTTCGATATTTAATAATCGTGGTATTGTGTAACGTGTGGTTCGTGGTTGTTAAATGAAAGCTTGCGCTTGTAAATTCCAAATACGCGCATACTCTCCGCCCCTCTTCAATAAATCGTCGTGTGTGCCTTCTTCCTGGACAACAGATTCATCCATGTACCTGCAAGCTCCAAGTTAGCGCCATCGTCGAGGTGGAGGCAGATTAAAATTACAAAATGATATCTGCATGTCGGGTGAGGCTCCCGAATCGATGCGAGGAGAATATCATGGTCTTGTTGCCTCTCAACTTGCGTAGACGCTCAAAGAGATCTATTTCAAGATGTGTTTAGTCATCCCAGTCGGGTATGTAAAACAAGGTAGCGCACCGTGTTCGGCCGTAGGGTCCAAAGAGGCGCTCGGCTCGTCGAATAACAGCATGCCCGCAGAAGACTCTGTCTCAGAGACCAATGAGCGCATGAACGTGCGGGAGCTATTCAAACGGTCAACACCTACACCCTGATTCGTGCAAAAGTGAAACATACACTGCAAGCCGCTGCATCTGCCCGCCACTGAGGCCTGAAGCCTCAGAAGCACGGAGACCCCCAACACCACGCACGCGGGAGTAGTCGACTGATCTACCAAAGAGCGTTGTGGTGCCCTCAGGAAGGCCCGAGTAGTAGTCTTTAACGGGGCGGTCGAGGTATGTATCGAATCCGTCAGGGAGCTCATCTATAAAGTGTTCTGCGCCGCCCAGACGGGCGGCTTCGCGAATCTTGTCGTAATCGTTTGCAAGGGCAGGGTTGCCAAGTGCAATATTCTCGCTTATCTGTGCGTGTATTAGGTACTCTTCTGAAGTGTGTGAGAGAATGAAGCTCACCGAGAGAGGAAAGTGCGTGTAGTCTTGGAAGAGGATGGACATCACAGCACGGAGGTCGGCCAGTCTGAGGGTCTTGATGTCACGGTTATCGATAAGGATAGTACCCTCCGTCGGGTCGTAGATGCGGGAGATGAGTTTCAAGATTGTGCTTTTTCCAGAACCATTCACCCCGACAATGACCTATGAGCACGGTGAGCGTGAGGGAAGCACCATGAAAGGTGTGATACTTACGCAAAGCTGACCAGCGCCGATTGAGAACGAAACATTCTGGAGAGCATAGTTCTCTGCACCAGGGTACCTGAACGAAACGTTCCTGGCATACATGCTTCAGAAATGCATGAAAAAAGCAACAAATACTGATCAACCTGAACTCAACAGAAATACCACTCCTGAGAGCCTGCTGGTCCTCAGGGAATGATTTTGTGCCATCCACCACCTTATTCTGCACATTCTCAATCTCATATAGCTTGCGTACGTTGGCAAACTGCTCTGCAAGCGAGAAGGACTCTCCGAATAGCGAGAAAAGTGTGGAACTGAACGAGTTAGATGTTTGATTGATCAGCGTGAGTGATGCCAACGAGAGGGGAATGGACATTGGTTTTTGCACTGCGCGCAGGGTGAAGACGATCTAGTTGATCTAGTCAGCTTCCTCAACTTCCAAGTCAGTGTTGAGTACCTGGGGCAGTTCACGCATTGGTTCGCGGAGGATGGACGCGATGCTCAAACGATCCTTGATAGTATGGGCTCGACGCATCTCCAGGAACTCACCCGCGTCGTCGCCGACGCGCTTAGCAGAATTACGAAATTCTGGTCTCAAGACGCGTCAATATGAGGTCGTTCGACGAGATGCATCGACATACGTGCAGTGACGTATTCGCCGAGGTTGCCCGCGACAAGCTCCTTTCGGTGTGAAGGGTTATCGACCAGGTGCTTAAGGCCTTGCATGCGAACATAATCTTCGTTGGTGGTGGTAGCGGCCCAGACTACATGACTGGCTCAGTGAAACTCAAAATACGGACTGTTGACCTACCTAAGGAGCCAAACACTCCTTTGCTTGTGCTGTACCAGTGAAATATAGATTGCAAGAGGCTGAGAATCGCAAGAAGGGGACCATCTTGCTGCTCGCGCAGAACTGTAAATAGAACCGAAATTTGAGAGAGCAGACGAATAACCGTCATTACGACGTTCGTCGACATCTGGACGGTTTGCCAAGCTACGCTAGAGCCCCAGGGGGAGGCCCACGCGGACTCGAGTTGCCTTTGAACGGCGGGGTCTTCAAAGGTAGGCACGTCAAGGCGTGCCATGGAGTGGAATATATGCCCAGCATAGAATTGTTTGATGGACATGTTGATGGGGATGACAATGCGGCTTTGGGCGTATTGGAGAAGGCGCGCCGCGACTGTGCATGCAACGCGTCCTACTGCAACATGGATGAGAACTGTCGTGTCCACAGTACGTGTCTCTATTGCGGTCTCTACCTGTGTGAGATATAAGTGGGCAGTGCAGATAGAAAGAAGCAGGGCGTTACAAGGCGCAGCAGTTGTCCGGAGTACCTGCACAAAGGCAATTTGAACGTACAGAGGTCACGTAAAGCTTCGAGACATACCATAGGGAAACGGCAGGTGTGAGGGAGGCTAAGACTTCTACTACGAAGAATACAGGGAGTAGTAGCCAACACTGTCTAATGCTGAGTACATCCTTCAACATGCGCAGTACGTGGGGCATGTCCTGGATTATCTGGGCATACGTCTCCAATCTTGATGAGCCTGGTATGCGTGGCAAATCAGTCTGGCGATCTTCGTAGAGGTCCCATACGCCGATGCGAGTGTGCTTGACACGGCGAGCATCCTCTGGGTCAAATTTGCCTGAACGTGTCGTTATCGTTCGTCTCCTTCTCATGATGTGGCGGTGAATGTCACGGTCGAAGAATAAGGATAAAGTCAGAGACGCGTTATAAGTATAAGTTATGTTGAATTAACGCATTGGTCTAATGAACAAGCCTTAAATGTAATTTGTAAAGCACTCGGTGCACGTGGTCCCGTGACATGTTTTCATACTTTTGTTCCCGACATTATTCCCCGGCGACTTAGCAGGCATTGACCGTACCTTCATCTTTTATACGTTGAGAACCTGAAGACCTGAGGAAACCTGAAGCTTAACCAAGAATTATCTCGAACCAGTACGCCACCGAGCTTGACAACACCAACGATGACATCCGACCTTTCTTCATTGCTGAACTCGTCAAGAGCTCTGAACTCACATCTTTCACGACCCGATCTTCCTTCTGTCAACCTTTCACTAGACCAGATCGAAGCACAGTCACGCAGACTCGTGTCCCGACAACCTGGAGCATCCAGCGATGCTGACCGAGCGTATGAAACTCAACAAACGTTGCGAACTCGCTGTCCTAACCTCTATATGACAGGAACTATCTTTTGGCACAGGCTCACGTCGATGCTCCTGCCCTTGCCAACTCCATCGCGCACTTGAACACTTCAACAACTTTCTCTCCCCTCCAGCCCCTCCAAGACACGGATGTTGCAGGCTATCTTCGTCACGCTCACGAACAGAATCTTATTTCGACGATAGAAGAAGGTCGGAGGGAAACTCAGGAGCACTTTTATCGTCTGCTTGAGGAGCGCAGTCACAAAGACTGGGAGGCCAAAAAGAGACGCGTGTTTGAAGAGCTGGGAGGTCGTGCAACCAGTGATAGCAAAGCTCTTGCTGAAATGAAAAAGAGCTTCCATGGAAAGGCAGCCCTGACGGTCAGTTTAACTATATATATATGTTACTCGCCTATTAACAAGGTGGAACAGGCAAGCACAGGGCCTAGTTTGACACTCCAGATGCAAAGCAAGATGATGGCATATGACCGCGCAATCAGCGAATTGAACGCTGCAAGACTACGTGGAACGTCTTGCCCTATCATTCATCTCCTTATGCAAGCTGCTGCCAGCTTGAACTCGGAGGCACGTACTTCTCACTGTGTTGAATTCCGAATGTCTCACTTTTGTGCATACAGCCTTCCTCGCAACAGATGCTTCAAAATTTCCACGTACTTGCGAAGATTACTGGTGAACCTCCTGCTCTACCGCCTGTGGAGCACGCAGGCGCTCATATCTTGAATGCTCCGCTTTTCGAGCGCAAATACGCGCGTGTTTACTTGGGGGATAGCGACTCGCGGGAGGCCGCAGCTCTGCGGACACAGATTGCCAAAGGCTCACGAGAGGCGCTCGAGGATCAGTTCTGGGATATTATTGAACGTTCGATCCAGTCAAGACCTATGGAAGCACGCCTCGGGGGAGACCCTAGTGTAGCAAACAAAATTCGCGCCTTCCTCCTGATGAGATACTACAAGAACGGGCAGTGGGAAGATCGGATAGAGGTCAGAATAACTCGTGCTGAGTTTGCTATATTCTGACAATCAAGCTATACAGCTCGTCGCTGGTCAGCCTTTGTGGGCTAAGTTGTACTACCTTGTGCGAACCGGTCACGCACAAGAGGCTCTCGATGAAGCCCTGAAGTCGCAGCAAGCCATCGAGCACCGCGAAGACAGCTTCGTGAGCCACTTCCGCTCATGGGTCGAGTCTCCAGAAAGACGGTATGTTCTTTGCACAAAGGATAGCGTCTTTTATATCCCAACTATCTCTCCAGGTTGCCCAAACCCCATCGCGACCACTTGCAAACAGTATACAATGCGCACATGTTGCATTCTGCATCTGCAGACCCATTTAAGCTTGCGCTGTATAAACTTATGGGCAAACTCGAGCCTTCACGGCGAACAGTGCCACAAGTCACGATGACGACTGAGGATTGGCTGTGGTTCCAGCTTGCAATGGTGCGAGCTTTTCTTGTGCTTCTTGAGGAATGTGCTGACATACAGAAGGTTGACGAAGAGGAAGAGGGTGGCCTTCGTGGGCTTACCGAAGTTCTCCTGAGTTATGGAGAGCGCCACTTCGACGGTGCAAAAAAGGGTGTGTGGCCTGGTGTTCTGCTTATGTGTGGCCAGTTTGAGCGTGTAAGTGCGACGTTACGCATATCTAAGCTCCATCCTGATCATGTCCCAGGCCGTGGCTGCACTATGGGAGCACCCAGAAACAGAAATCGAAGCCGTCCACCTTGCCATCGCGCTTGCATACCACGGGCTTCTACGCGTCCCGTCTCGCGCTGAAACATCTGACATCAGTCCTTGTGCGTACACACTTAATTGTACCTATGTATGACCCACATAGATTTTCAGTGACCTTGTCCCCACTCTCACCTCCTGCACTCAGCTTGCCGATGCTCATTTGGCGATATGTACGCCAGTTCGTCAAGCTGGATGCGAAAGAAGCGCTACAGTATGTCTACTGCGTGTGTCTCTCCGCGGACCAAGGCGATGGTGTTGGCAGAGAGAATGTAGAGACCGCTTGGGAGCTCGTCAGGCGCATCATCGTTCTTGCTCACTCAGGACCCGCCTGGGAAGAGCTTGTCGGTGGATTCAGACCCGACGGCACGCGATTCGTATGTTCCATATCTTAATTCAGTTGACACTAGGTATAACTTACCTCTCCTGCAGAGCGGCGTCATCGAACAGGGCGCCACCCTTCTCCATCTACAAAATAGCGCCCAGTACAACGAACAAATTCTCATCCGCGCTGCCCGCGACTCCGAGGAAAACGACCGCATCCCTGAGGCAATCAAGCTCTATAACCTTGCCGGGGATTATGGCACCGTCATTTCATGTCTAGCCCAGGCGCTTGGCAACACGCTGGCGCAGCCTGCAGGTGAAACAGAGAAGGGCAAAATCATCGAACGCACGGCTGTGGAGATTTTGAGACATTACGAGCGTACTAACCGGGCAGTGGGCAAGGATCGAGATGCCGCTGTAAGATTGTTGCGCATCAGGGAAGCACTCAATGCGAAGAGCTCTGGGCGGTTTGATGTTGTGCTTGAGGTGCGATTTCATCTCAGTCTTCCTGCTTCCACCAAAGGCTGACGTTTATTGAAGATTATGGAGTCCACGGATCTCATTCCTCTCGATGGGGATGTTGCGAAGATCACGCGGAAGGCGGAGGAGTTCAAGGATCTGCATGATGCCTTGCAACGCAATCTACAAGCCTATTTACCGCTGACGATGGAGGCATTAGCGGCAGTACATCAGTCGATCAAAAATTCTGCTACGGCACAAGCCACGAGGCAAATGGTCTGTACTGGAGAGTTGCATCCAACTTCGTGTCCTCACAATTTGTTTCAGACATTGACGGCCCTCAGGAAGAAATCGAGGTCGCTGATGGTGTTTGCTGGTATCCTTAAGTATCGGATGTCTCCTGATGTGTACTCGTATCTGGCGAGACTGGATGTCGAGATCGCTTTGTAAAATATAGGAGTAGTTCTGTATGTCGTCGATCTTTGTTTATGTTGGCATGATACCTGGAGGAACCGACGGCAAGCACATGCCTGTACACCCATCAAACGCCCAGCATTAATCTCTGTTTCGATGGCCTAAAGATCATCGCCCAGATCGAATTAATGACGATATGGTCGAAACATCATGCTTCAGACACATTTCAAGTACATTTTCCGTTGTTCTTTTTTTCATCCCATCATGCTTCGAACACGCTATCGCACGCATACGCCGAGGCAATGATGACATTGAATTGTTCATTAATGAGCCACAGCCTCAGGTAGCACACAAATGAGCAGTCAATGATTCCGTAGCTTTGAGTCCTCACCTTCAATTCCGTAACACCATCTGCACCCATTCCAATAACGTTTTGGTCATATTACCGCTGAGCAGGTACCAAATCTTCGGCTTCAACCTCAAGAGCTTTTTCATCACCTTCTTCGTATTCCTGATGATCTTCCTCCCCGACAGCATCCTCGACAATCTCTTGAGAGGAATGCTGATTTTGGCACTGCGAGCAGGCTGATGAGTGACTAGTGGCCCGCAACAAGCTCGTAAAGACTTACATGGTATACTGCGGTCCAGTATCCGCCCCAATACATCGCACTAAGAGCACGGCTGAAAGCTTCATCGCGGCTTACCATGATAGTTGAAGGCGCAGGTATGAAAAATGAGGACTCGGGTGCCGCTGGGGCCTCAGAGGGCACCGGAAGCGAAGGGTCATACGACGGGATGAAAGTATCGAAATCAAGCGGGGCAGAGTCCTCCTCTCCAGCTGCAGAAGCCTGACTGACGGCCTTTGTAGACATCACTTTCGCTGACCTAGGTGTCTTAGCCTTTTCCTTCGAACTATTATAAGGGATGTTGTACCATCTGAACACAATTAGGTTTTATTTTTCACGAATGAGGTTACGCACAGAGAGGATTTCTTGGCAGTGTCTGACTTCCAGTCTTGCGTTTTTCCGTGGAATTCCTTGCAAAGGAGTCAATAGTGGCAGATGCAAGAGTGTTTGCTGGACGTACCTCATATTCTGCTGTGGCAGAGTTCCAAGCGTCGATGAGCGCAGAGTCATCCCATATTTCTTCGTGTGTGAGCTCCCGACTCTCTTCCTCTTCAATTTCACCGTCCTCACCCTGCGCACTGGTATCGTCGTAGTTCATTTGATTGTCTCCTGGTTCATCCCAATGGGCAGTTTTTCTGGGACGCTTGGCTTTTTGGTTTGACCTCTTGCGTTTTTTGGATGGAGGTGATTGACGTGAATGCGAAGCTGCTGCTGAGCTGCTGGCCCCATTTGTTTGCTGCGATTGTTCTAGGTCGCCGTACTGGACGAGTTGACGGTGCGAGTTCATGATGAGTGTGCGGTATTGCAAGACCACAAAAATTTGTTCTACTATATGAACTACTACATAGCCTGCGGCAACAATTTACATGTCTTTCGATTTCTAGTTAAAAAGCTGTTCTTTTTAAGTCTCATGTGTCGTCCGGTATCCGTTTTACAGCTTGAGCTTTGAGTGTTGGGTAGAGTCTCGAAGCAGGGCAGCTTTCCCGTACGTAAGGGGCTATATTCCTACTACATAGTACCGCACTTCTCCGTGTTTCTTGCAGTCGACTTTCGAACTCGATTCATGTCTTTAGCATATTTGCAGGGACCCGACCAGAGTCAAGACAATGGCTATTCAACGTTAAGCCCAGCGAGCCGATTTTGCGGGCGCTGAGATTGTTGGAGCTCTCTTCGCCTCTCGACTCGTCACTCGAGTCCATGATATTTTTTTTACAATCATCGGTCATATTCACGATGCAGACGTATGTCAGCCCTCATGTCATGGAGCAATCGCTTGACGGGAAACATCGTTAATCAAGTTGCAATTCGGACTGGAATGATACATGTGAGACATCCGTTCCATCATGACATGGTATATACGGTCCTACTACTAGCATTCTGCCCCTATATTCTAGCATCAGATCCTCCAACCATCTTTCCTCGTCCAATCTCGTAGCCGGCTACTATGATCGGACAATTTGACACCTACCAATCCCCATTCTGTTTCTCTCCACCAAACCATTTTAATGCTTCAGCGGGACAAAATTTCATCGATGTTCAGGGAGCAGCAGGAACTTTTCTGCGATGTGCTGCAAATCACTGGGTGAGATATCCCCCAAAGAAATCTCGCTGGCTCCTCATCTATCATCGCTAGGTGGAACTAAAGGCTAGATTCCTTTCAGTTCACGCAGAGCAGATGTCACGGCCTTCGTCATCTCCAATTTACTATAATTCAAGTCCGAGATCAAAGCGTCCCTTGAGGCCACGTTCACCAAATGTGCATTTTTGGACTCTGGAGGACAGGATGAAACTTATCAAGTCCCGCAATGCCTCCCAGCGTAGATCCATTTCGCCACACGTTTCTCGGCGATCGACAACGCCAGACCTTGGAGTTCTTCACGTGCACTATGCTCGCCAGCATGCCCATGGCGAAGTATACGACGAATATGACTGTGGAGAATCCAGTCAAAAGCGCAAGCGAGCTGTCATTGGCATCCGCGACGTGAATAAAACAACCCAGGAAATGTTGCCATTCGTACGGCGTCGACAGTCATACGAATGCAGCTACAATGAGCGACAGCCACAATGGTCATCAGGTACCGAGGGCTTCGTGAAAACCCAGGTCGACTCCATAGTGGACCACAAGATGGCAGACGTCAGGGATGAATATTGTTTTCAGTCCAATGCGACTCCAGGATTTTCGATCAGTGGCGATTCCACTTCCACAAAGCGCGTCATTGATGGTGAACCACCAAATCATGCTCGTGGTGTACCACGCATGTTTGAGAAGGTGCTGGCGTCGAAGAAGACGACAGATCCCCGTCGACGACCTCGCCCTGCTATAGTCGACATTGACATGACTGCACCTCAAGATCTTCCATCCGCCAGTCATCACCGCCCATCTCGAGATATATGCAAAGCAAGGCGGATTCATCGCAACCAATCTGCATCTACGAACGAAGCCAACAAACCTTTAGAACCGGAAGTCATTCAAGCTGTTGAGCCAATGCAAACCACTTCGGACCTGATGCGGGAGATTTTTGGTGATGGAGAAGTGGATGATGCGGACAGTGTCTTATCGATGATTAGATACTTGAATATTATGTGAACGAGCAATGGTTTTATTTGTAATTCCTAGCCTTTTGCCAACAGATCCGTTGAGTCTAAGTCCTGTAGTGGACAGACGAAGGCAGTTAGTCCTTCTTCTATATCAGGCTGATAATTCTTTTGCGGCCTAAATTTTGCTGTATCTCACAAATCGAGAAACAATGCTCCTGAACAAATACCATGATGGTTGAGAAGTCGACTTGATAAGGCGCGAAATACCAAGTGAACAGATACAAAACATGATCAATCCGCCGAATCCCAGGTCCAAATTGAAAATTCTCTCCTGCGCAAGATTCCCCAGGCTTATAAAAATGCACCGCATCGCGGGAGCAGACATGTGTACGACGTGGTTCTCACAGGCAATTCCGCCAATCGGGGCCTGTGACAACGTTTGGACTCTGTGGCAGTGTCGCCGTTACTTTCGGATCCCTCATGTGATCGCTATGCATGCGCATGTGTTCAGCAATTAACAGCATAACAGCCTTGTAATCTTTTCAGCCTGGTTCACGGCTTCTCCATGTAAAGAACATGCGCTCGCTAGCAACCGTTGATGTATCTATGGCACGGATACGTTCTAGAATGCTTTTGACTCACTGACCAACGGGAAATTGACTTAATTTTACTAGTTTGTGATGTGCACTGTGCGTACACAGCACCTGGTCGAATAATTGTGGGAGGATCATCGGTCCATGCTCAATATATAATACTGCGCCGGACATGCTCAACACTCCTCGTACGTTACATATTCATATTGCCTCGTCGTAATGGATATCATTCAAGCACAACAAATGTGAGTGATGCACGCGTAGGCGCACTATGTATTTTGATAGGCTGATACTCACTTAATACTTTCACTCTCAGGACGATGTCATACTACGCCATGTTGGTGCCAAGCAGTACGCTTTTTATCTTTGTTGTCAGGACGTTAACAGTATTCTACTAGCCATCCTGATATACGATCACATGGCGACCCTCACAGAAGAAATTGCTTTTATTTGGTGTCGTCCGAAGGCACTATCTGCAGTGTTGTTCCTCCTCAATCGCTATGTCGCTCTGCTCGGAAATATATATGGCTTAATTGGGGATTTTCTGCCTACCTCAGATGAGGTTCCATATTCCATTATGCGTGTACTCATATGGCAGGCTCATGATTAATTTCTGCAGAGGTTCGATTCCATTTCTTGAATATCTGTTGTTTTGCTCAACATAGACTTAGCTGTCCGACATATGTGCTATCGAAACAAGTCCTCGTTTTTTCCCAAGCAATTATAGTCTGCCGTGAGTGGACTTTACTTTGACAATTCGTTCACTGAAATTTCCAGTCATATTGACTCTTCGTACTTATGCTCTCTACGGCCGTAGCAAGCGCCTGCTTGCTTTCTTGGGAATTATCGGCCTTGCTTTTGCGGGAGGAGCTGCTGTGCGTGTTTGCGTAGAACGTTTGACTCTGGAGTCAACTGATCGTGTCTAGGCGGAGACCTTTGGTTCATATCCAAGCACTGTGACCAACGTGCCAGGAGGCTGCTATGAAACATTCACAGCAGATACGTACGTCATCTAGTTCATGGTTCTGCTTGCCTGCTCAACAGTCGTAGAAACATCCGTCAGTGAACTCTAGACATATTCACACATAGCTTGATATCCTGGCTTGCAGGTCTCGGGCTTGCATGGGTGGTCCTATCTGTTTATGAGTCACTCATCTTTGTCCTCACGGTGTCCAGAATTTTCGGGATCAGAGGATTCCTGCGGTTATCTCTGACAATGTCGAGAAGAAACATTATTGTTGTCATATTTCAGGACGGTAAATTTTCCGCTACATCAGAGCATTGTGAACACTGAACCAACCGAATGCAGGCGCATTGTACTTCGGGTAAGGCTGCTAGTGAAACTGCGATTCGGGTGATTCTGACCTGCATTCTTTAAGAGCGATGACACTGTTCAATATACCAAATATCCTGACATACTTCGTGAGTCAACAGATGAAACATTAGTTGGATCGCACGCTCACAGCTTGGTTCAGGGTGGTTCAGTGAGCACACCAACCCGTATCAAATACTTACGTTGACTATGTCCTGGTAATCGAAAGGATATCATCAGGGGTAGCCTGAGCACATTTACTAGCTGGTGAGCAGCTGGTGTGATAAATATGGATCATCAAAGTCTGACTGTGCCCTCGGAGCAGCATGTCTGTTACTTTAATCTCGCGGCTAATGCTTAACCTGCACAAATCTATCGACACTGGCATTTTCTCCGCCCCCACCTGGGACGATGACGACGCCCTCGCTGTTCTTACTACTAGGGTCGACGTACAGTCCACGATTTCCTCTCACCATTGGTAGGCTTAGCTGGATGCCAAAATACGGATATTCTTTTTGGGAGTGCAAAGCTTGTTTGAATCCTTTTTGGAGACCTTTACATCCCATTAACATTGTTGTCGTGTGGGGGCAGTGCCCTATGTGGACCATATATCTCCGTATGTACTGCTAGATCGTGTTAGTAGGCTACAAAGGCGTAGAGGAGCAAGACGTCGTATCTACGGCAGCTGTGATACGAAGATGTTTGCGTCTGGACCCTGCGAACAGGCCGAGCGCCGCTGAATTGCTCACGGATCCGTGGTTCGCGGGGGTCGACCCCGTTTAAGGCCAGGACCAGCACATCCCCGATCCCGTAGCCAAAGTACATAAAGATGCCCAGCAAGATGAGATTTGCCTTGCCTCGCTGACGCTCAAAGAGTCGCCTTAATTGCCTTGCCTTTCCAAGTCATCAGCACTTCAAGGGTTTATCAGATTTCTTATGTTCGATGACGTGGTTCAGCGGCGGTTCTTAAATGTATGCTTGAGCCTGTCGTCCGATGGACTCGGAGCTCGCAAGAGATGAAAGGCCTGCCGGTTGTGACATGCGTACTTCAGAGCGTCTGAAACTGATTGACTTTTTTCTGTGCTTCGTTTGCAGAAATCGAAAACACCTTACCACATGCAAGCCATTAATTATTTTTCTCCGATTTTCTCAGCTCTCATGCGCAGTCATTATAATGTTCTGATTTGCAGCAGTTTCTATGCTTCCAGGTCATTGGACGGGAGAATAAAAATGTTGCTTTCATCATCCCCTCCAATGTGTGTAATTTATAACGACTACTTGTACGTGCTTGCACCTCGACAAAGCCTGGTATACATCAACTCACGATACACAAATGTCAGCGTAGGACAGGTCACCATTAACTGCAGTGAAAGTAAAATAACCACTAGATTGTCACCGCCGTGAGGCACGCGCACTCCTCGCGCGCTGGTTCTCAAACTGTTGTTTGATGACCGCATAGCCTTCCCGGTCGACTCGATGTAGATAATAGGAACCACCTCCGCTCCCCCATGAAACGCTACCAGAGCGGTAGGGTCGTTCAAACACATCAAAGATAGCGCTTATATCATCCACCTGCGGGATGCACATGAGATAAAATTTGTGCAGCGGATATACATCGTCACTCACGTTGCGTTCAGTAACGCGTGCGTTGAGAGAGGAGACGAACGGCTTTAAGGAGACAACAATGGCACCTTCTTTTAAATCTAAAAACCGCGGGCGCAATGCTTCGTTTACTGTAAAATGGTCAATATGTAATGCCACAGATAAGAGAAATTTCACTGACACGGCTGCTGGAACACCTTATTATTGACTAGCACAACATCCGCCTGAGGTAGTAACTCAGTCACTCTTCGACTGGTCAACATGTCTCCTTCCTCTAGCTCTACCTCTCCCATCGAAAGTCCCCACATCCTACAGCGCTTCTTCATCTGCCTCAACTGCTCTCTCCCCACCTCCGCTGGCGTAGGCATCACCTCAATTCCATAACTTCTGCAGCACGTTTCTAAGCTCGCCTGCACCAGCACATTTCCAACCCCGCACCCCAAATCCATAAACAAGGAGTCTTTGTGGAGACGTGTGGCAGCGATGATATCCGAGGTGAACGAGGGCATCAGTTCGCCATATACCTCGCTCGAAAATGCCTCGTAGCGGTTCAGTTTCAGAGCATGCGGGCCTACGGAGCGTTGATACGTCTCGTCGATTATGCGCATAAGCACCCGGTTGGGAATTTCGCTTGACGGCCAACCTTTAATGGCTTCTATAAGCACATTCGGAGACGCGGGTGTAAACGGGTCCGATGGAAGTAACGGGTATTTAAGCGCACGGAGGAGCTGGTTAATGTTCTGCATGGTAGAAAGGAAAAGCGGGCCGTCACGCCGTCGGATGGAACGTTGGAGGAGACGCAAGTGATTCATTCCACGAGGATCATACGAAGGGAATTTTACAGGACTCAACTCCTCTGAATCACCTGAGAACTGTGTGAGCGGCGAGGATGGTGGCGTATTATCGACATCTTGTAGAAAATCTGTGGGTAATGTTCCAAATAGCGCTTGCTGCGCGGGCGTAAGGTAGCCTGGTATTGTATCAGAAGCCGTGCTCGCAATTGGTGATCGTAGTAACGCACATTCGAAGATAGTATATAATGATTGTTCTAGGCACATAATGGGGTTGTAGTGATCTGGGTCCTTAGGAGCCAGTATATAATAGCTGCACGCGACGTAGATCAGCAAGAAGCAGAATAAGACACCGCACAGAACGTACGTCTCGCAAGCATTAGCATTAGGATACTCGAGTTCAGTGGCAGGATGAGATTCAGCTTCAAATGACGTGTCACTGGGATCGTCCAAATTCTTGAAATCTGCAATGAGTATGAATTTGAATGAAATCTGCACGTGATACATGAAATCTCACAAGTTTTGTATGATCGCGATAATATTGTTACTACAGACGCGGCACTGACAAAGTTCTCACCTGGCGAGCCATCCTCAGTGATCCACAACTGCCGATGATGAAAGTGATCAGCTGGGGGAAAGGTTGACGTTGATCGAGAACGACTGTTTCGATATATAGACTCGATATCGAGAGTTTCGGAACGTTGTCGACTTTGAGTACGCGACGAAGACGCGCTCATAGTCGCGCGTTTCTTCGACTTTGGGGGGCGTAATATTGGCTCGGGTGCAACTGACGATACTCTAGGTCGCTTTGAAGGACCTGCTATCCGCGCGAAGTGAGCTGGGTCATCAGCTTCTGGTGACGTCTCGGCAGAGACTGGGGTAGGCGGAGATAGGTGTGCCTGTGAACCTGTAGCCTCCTGTTCTCGTATCATTTGTGACTTCCAGGCGCGACGTGTAGTGACGCATATCTCTGGGACCATTTGCTGTAAATTTTTCGAGGAGTTTTCAAACGGAAAGCAATGAAAGTCTGGATACGGTGAGGAAGGAACGGCAGATGAGAGCATTAGAGCAAGTGATGAAATCCTTAAAACCTACAAACGGAACTGGGTAATCTTGTCGGTGGCGGTGTCCCAACACCGCTTTCGGTAATTACCAATCTTTTTCTCCAAAGGCGCAATCTAAAGTTTCTAAACGTTGCCTTTGCGTTGCCTTGGGACAACCTTGTACTATGTACTATGTCTGTCAGTTATACAAGCCTGAATGAGATACAATCAAGGCTAGCTAACCGCCAGCTTTCCTTTGCCTCCCAATCCAGGCTGTCACAGCGCTCCTTTCTATCCGCAGATGTGCAATATACAAAGGCTCCAGAACAACTAGACGCAGCATGAAATGCATGCTCCTTCAGTTTTATTTCCGACCCATTTCTTTGAACGCCGCAGGGCGTCATCATGCACCGTCTACGCCCACAAATTCGTTTGTCCAACCCGTCTGCTTTGTTCCAAAGGAGCATTACACTGACATGTTCTGACGTATCTGCTTGATACACTCGTGTCACGTACCCGGGATATCTAGGTGCTGTCTAAAGGTCAGGACATCTGGTTCGTGACATCATACACCGTCACAATGCCACCCACCCCGCGGTAGGTGCGTGGTGATTGCTTGAAAATGACCCTGCCCTGCCGTGTCTCACTTGTATCACACTTTAGACCCGCACGTCGCCCCGACAAAGTTCACAGTCACAATCCGGACGTACTTTTGATCGACTTCCTTGTAACCAATGTCAATCGTTGAAATGAACGAAGGGGACGCAAGGCTTGATTTGCCTTGTCAGTTGCAACTATCATGAACTTTGGTTCACCCACAAACAATACTCTGAATCTACGGACTATCAATACATGATCTACGTTCCATAAAGCATGCATGCCTGCCCTTGAGCCAAAACCTAGTCCCCTACCTATCTAGTGGTATTAGGTGCCTGGTGTTGCGCTCGCAGTTCATTCATATCATTCGATGTCACCCTATCAGACATGAGGACCCTGTAGCTCCACTATCATACCCTTACTGTGACTATTTTCAGTCACTGCATGCCAGTCACCTGAAGTTCCATCTCAACGTTGCGCCTGTATGAGTCCACATACGATAGCACGTACACAGTACTAAGTATGCAATGAATCTAAATTCGGACAGTCACAGGAATGTTCATCTTACATAAATTAAAATTTCGGCACTTGAGCACTCCGCAGCGAGTCAAAGCAACATTTGCTTCAAAAACTAGTGAAGATATTCAGTCAAGAGCACCGCGCCATGGTAGAACAGTATTACATGGAAGGGGAATACGGAGGTAACATGAAATAGGTTGCAAAAGATGAACAAGAGAAACTCGGATTATACTAGCGTCCAACATAGGTGCTTATGAACAGCAACCGATCGACGCTGAAGTCGCAGGTTGGTTGACTTTCACTGATCCATCTGCGTTGGATGCACCTCCCGGTGAGGCAGCTGAATCTGCTTGCGAGTCGATGAGCCGAGTCTTGCAGGCCCTGTACAGTTGGTAGTTGAGAGTGAAGTCTGCAAATATAGCACGATGCGACAAACCTTGCAAGATTGAAGAAGGCCAATTCCACACCTTCATTCGCCTTGGCAGATGTCTCCATAAAATCCATGCCAAGTTCTGTGGCAAGTTCAATTCCCTTCTCTTCTGATACAGCTCGCTTGTCTGTCCAATCTGACTTATTACCGATGAGAATCTTGTTGACACCCTCCGAGGCATGTTGTTCAATGTTAGCATGCCAAGTGCGGATACCTGGAGATGATATGTATCAGGCTGGGTCAATAGTGGGAGAGATGCTAGTGGCGCGTACTATGGTATGATCGTTCATCTGTGACGTCGTACACAAGGAGAATGCCCATGGCTCCACGGTAGTACGCAGTCGTTATAGTTCTAAACCGCTCTTGGCCAGCAGTGTCCCACTGTACAATACGAGTCAGGCTTGTGAAACGAACAGTTTATGACTGTGTTGAGATGACAGCACGCACAATTTGAAGCTTAATGCGTTTTCCGTCTAGCTCGATTGTACGGATCTTGAAGTCAATGCCGATTGTGGTGATGAACGATGGCGTCCATGCATCGTCGCAGAAGCGGAGCAAAAGACACGACTTCCCAACACCTAAGCAACAACTTAAAATTGGAACACGCTAGAACCATGTAACAAACACACCTGAGTCGCCAATCAAGAGCAGCTGCGAAGCAAGTCATGTGTGAAATGTCAGAAATGTGCATGCAGCATGCTCACCTTGATGAGGAAATCATAGTGTGGGGGAGGCATTCTAGAATATCTTTGCTAACTAATGAGATGCACTTCTACGTCTTCAAGGTGAAGAAACAAACTAGATGGAGTCTTGAGTAGATGGCCAGCGAGCAGGAATTCTTGACCACGATATTTGCTAGTGCGTCACTGCAAACCCGCCTGTTGCTGTTCAGTGCATTCAGTGCCACAGCACTGCGGGAGTAGCCGCATAAATTACGTAATCGAAGCAACTTGGTTCCCCAGGCTCGTTTGAACGCCTGTGCGAACTTCTCGGACTACTAACTTGAATTTCTATGCTTCGGGAGTCGCAATCCACGGTCCATGAATGTGTCTTTGTTACCCTTCAAATTTCTTAATCCTACCCTCACAATCTCATAATTCTATACTAGTTCCTCTTCCACACGTACGTAAGGGTCAAGTTCTTGTCACAATCTGGATTCATTTGAGGGTCCAAGTTTATCGCTCACACACAGCTCACAAGTGTCAATTTTAGGTGCACTAGTTGCGCCTCAACCTGTTTGGAAACTCAGTCAGAGCGCTCGCTCGACAATATAAGAACCGTTTTCTTGCGGCCCAGCTTGCTTTGCGAGGCACTCCTTTGTACCTTTGTACCTCTCAAGTCTTTGTCTGACCTTTCGTATAAGTACTTCATTATCACAAGCTCCTCTCGTTCAACAAACCATGTTGGACTTACTTTCCAAAGAACGATTAGTCAACGAGGCAGGCCTCAAAGCCGCCTTATATCATCTGGACGCAATCTCAACTTCAGGAGCAACTGCATTACGAACCACAGTCGAACATTTGCTGTCATCACCCCATGCTTTTGCGTATATCATTTCTGGTATCTTACAGACTTTCTTTGAGCGCCACTAGCTCTGACTTTGCAACAGTTTGGGACCGCTCCAGGACAATGATCTCACAGATCATGACAGATTTTCCAACAGAATCTCAAGAATACCCAGCATCCATTGCGAGCAAGATGCTAGACAATCTGTCTATGTACTTTTTAGCCCTGCCAGCTGGGTCTCTGGCGGCCGAAGTCTCAAGGGACATCAGCCGCCACAGAGGCTTCATCGAGGGTGCTTTACCCGTACTTTGTGCCTTGAGCACTATGAATTTTGCCAGCGCAAAGTCATATGAAAATGAGATGGATCTTTTCGACGTCGAATCTGATGATGGATTCGTCAAGAAAAAAGTACCTCAGAAATTGCGCAAGCGTAATCGCCAGAAAGCTCAACCGGCTATCGACATATCGCTCTTCGTCAGGCTTGGTGTAGTTGTGCCTCCTACGAGCGAGGCCGCCACATCACTGTCCATTCACATTCTTGCGGAGCTGAAAAACATTCTCTCAGTGTGTATATTCTCTGCTCTTTGACGCTTCCCCTGACAGCTCCCCGTAAGTTTTACTTCTCACTTCTACGGAGGACGGAACTGTCAGGCGACATCAAAGCCTCACTCCTCCCCAATGTAGGAGAGTCTGCCAAAGATGCGTCGCCTGAAGTTTCGTCAATCGAAGATGTCGAGAGCTCAACAAACCAACCCAACGCGTACCCAATGGTACAACCCATGAAGGCTGCGCTTTACTTCGAAAACGCGGATGGGTTCGGGGAGTGGCGGATCCTCATATCTACCGAGGCCTACAAAAATTTGCGTGAATTCCGTAGAGCAGATGAGAAGATATTCAGGATCATCGTCAAGAAGATCAAGTCTGTTGTCTTCTTGTGAATTTGGCTGCAATGATCTCATCTTTGCCATAGACAACTATCGAATGGTCATTTCTCAGATGATAACCACAAACGGCTCAATGGGCCGGATGCAGGCATACCTATCCACGAAGCCAAGATGACAAGGGACCTACGATTGGTAGTAGGTGTAATTTTGCATACGTCACTTTGAGCAGGAGACGACCGACTTCTTCTCACAGTACCAAATTGATTGTGTCCCTGACCAGGACGGAGAGGTACGTCGTTCTTCCATTAAGGACGAGTATGTTACTGAAACTGGAGTTTCGGCAGTCTGAGAGACAAGGTGAGCTATCAAGGGCAATCATTTGTGTCCGCCCTTAGCGCTCACATGAACACTAGTAATCAAGGTATACGGCATCTATACGCACGCTCAGCTTGGCAGAATATGGGATGCCTTGGGAAGCCATCTCGCACGCAAGGGCAAAGAGTATCGTAGAAGGTGAGATCGGTTTGACTTCTTAGTGCAATCCAGTGAACCGTTACTTTCGCAGGTGCATATTTCGGAATAGACCAGCCCTTTCTAACGACAGCGTGATTTTGCCGGCGTCATTCCCGCCGGCGGAACCTGAGTCAGAATGCTCAGGGAGCCCACTTAATCTTAGTGATAAGGACATGGACCGCGTTGAGTATTTTTCAATTGTCATCTGCGCAATGACTGATTGATGACATAGCTCCACTCTTTGCTTGTGTAAGAATTTACGCCATCCTTGTACAATTTGATTTCCATCTAACGATTTTCTAGTTTGGAGAAATACGTCACATTCTCGCAAGTAAGCTTATATATGCTGTTCTTGGACAGGCGAATATTGACTTGATACTTCGTTTTAGGCGTTCCTGCATAGTGAGTGATCATGCAGTTGGCTCGCCACCTCTTCTCATCTCTTGCAAAGGTCTTATCGCAAACCAAGACGTACAGCACGTCTTCATACTCACGTAAGTTCTGCCCCAATGCGATGAATTCACTGATCAATGTTGGTTCAGGCCTCAAGAACAAAAGATTGTCGAGTGTACCACGTCGTGTTATGTTTTGGGTCGCAGCGGCACGGGGTAAGTGTCCTGCCCTTGAGATCAGTGGCCTATTTATCACACCCAACTAGAAAAACCACGACGATGTTGTTCAAGATTCTTGGCATTCAGCGAGCTTGGGAGATGAGTGCCGTCGACATGCCAAAGCCACGCCAAATCTTTGTCACCAAATCCAGAGTGCTCGCCACGAAAGTGGAAGAGTATTTCACGAAGCTTCTCGAATCTCTGGCGCTAGCAGGCTATACCCTGCAGGAACTTGCGAAAATGAAGGCACAAACACAAAGTGTTCAGGAGGGCCTTGTTGACCTCGACGACCTGCCCGAATCACAGATGAATATACCCATGAAATATAGTGAACTTGAGGACAAGCACTTTCCTTTGTTTGTGACTTTCGATCGAGTACGTCCCAATCCATTGTCCGGATAGTGCCTACGCTCATCGCTTCTGTAGCTGGCGAAGATGATCGCGGGAGATATCCTGAGCAAGGATGACCCCGAAACGAGAATTAGCGCAGGAATTTTCTTCAATGTTGACGATGCAGAGGCGCATGACTGTTTCGTCACCTATGAAGTATTCGTAAATCAATATTGGCCTCATTTCCCGCAGAATCTCACTAAGAATCTTAGTGCTGTCCTTTTCTTTTGTGATAACAATTAAGTACTGACACTTCCCCACCAGACCCGTGGTTGGTTTTCAGCGAATTCATGGGCGAGTACCAAATCGTATATCTTAACACCAACAATTCCTAAATATACCTACAGGGATCGTCAAAGGGTCCGAACATGCGCTGACTTGTCCTGACGGAATTCTCGATCGCCCAAACTACCTTCGTCTTCCTCATCGTTCCAACCCGAATTTTGCGAATCAGAGGGGAATTCTGTATGACATCTTCGAGACTTACACAAAAATCAAGAGGCAGCGACGTCATCATGATGTTGCAGACCGGTACGACCTTTTCCTCCTCATCCATGTAATTTCACGACATATGCCCAAACAGCACACATGCGATACTCAAGGTCTTGCGGAGCCAAAAGTTCCCCGGCAAACAGATCGATTATCTGTATGTGTCGTTCCCACCAGTGTATCCTGCTCCTGACCGCCTGTACTAGATATGTCGACGAAGCGCAAGACAATCTTCTGATCGACGCACTCTGTAAGTAGTTGCTCCATCCTTCAGATATCCCTATAGAACTTTCTGTTTCAGTTTTAAGGCAACTGTGCAGGAATCCAGACGGTTTGTTCTGGGCTGGAGACACCGCACAGACGATCTCTGCAGGGAGTTCCTTCAGGTTCGATGATCTCAAAGCGTTTCTATACCGTGTGGAGGTCAGCAAACCGTAATGTAGCTTGGACCCGAATTGACATCTTACAGCAGCAGCAAAATTTCTCGGTCAATTCCGCTGGACCATATCTTCATCAGCCCACTATGTTTCAATTAGCGATCAACTACAGATCGCATGGTGGCATCGTCAACTGTGCCCATTCTGTGATCGAACTCATCACAAAGTTTTGGCCCAACACAATCGATAACCTTCAGCCAGAAAAAGGGGTGGTTGACGGGCTGAAACCTGTATTTTTTACTGGTTGGGATAAAGACACCGTTCGTTATGAACAGTTCTTGTTCGGGGCGAGGTGAGTAGGCCCTGGACGATATACTTCCTTTCCTTACTGAGGATTCTTGCAGTGGTAGTCACATTGAGTTTGGGGCCCAGCAGTGTAAAGTAATTGGCTCGAGGTTCTATTCATATACTAACAAGGTATCTTAGGCATACTTGTGCGTGACGATGCAGCACGTCAGAAGTTGCGGGAACAAGTAGGCGATATTGGACTGATTATGTGAGTCGTATTACCACTACCTTTGCTTCGTGATTTTCATGTTCACATTTAAACGCAGGACGCTTTACGAGAGCAAGGGCTTGGAGTTCAATGACGTGAGAAACTTACCTTGGCTTTTGATGTATATCTGACTTCGACCAGGTGCTATTGTACAACTTTTTTGAGGATTCCGCTGTAGATCTGTCGCGATGGCGCATAGTTCTTAACGGAGTAGAGAGTGAAGGGCATGCACCGAACTTCGATCGTGACGAAGCGCGATACGCTGGGGTTTGTAGCGAGGTAGGCACATCGCTCCTCGACAAAGGAATGAACTCCGACTTACTTTCATCAGCTCAAACTTCTTTATGTGGGAATCACTCGAGCGAGGAAGAACATGTGGATCGTTGACAAGTCTGATAAATCAGACCCAATGCGTGTACGTTTAGAGCAACGTATTGGCGTCACTCGATCTGATCATTCTCTCTGTCAGATATTCTGGACCTCTCGCAATCAGGTCCATAATTGTACCCCCCTCACCGATGTTCCTCATCTAGCCGTCTCCTCAACTCCAGAAGAATGGGCAACCTTCGGGCGCTCACTGTTCTCGCACAAACGCTACTCGCAGGCTATCCACTGCTTCGAACGTGCTAACCTTCCTCGTGAGGTGAAGGTCTGTGAAGCATATCAACTGCGAGAAGTTGCACGTTCTAGTGTCGGGGTGGCCTTACTCAGCGACCAAAAAAGAGCTTTTAACGTGGCAGCTGATGCCTTTACCGCTTGTGGTGCGGCCGCGTCAGTGAACCAGAAGCTCCAGTATTATCGTAACTCGGCGGATTGCTACGTCCGAGGGGGCGAGGATCTCAAGGCTGCTGATGCCTATCTCAATGCTCAAGAATTCGAGCAAGCAGCGAAGAGATATCGCAAGGTTGGACGTTTTGACAAGACCCTCCATGTCCTCGATGACCATGGCGTGAATATACCTAACGAGACCGCGGAGGAGTTACGAACTGTGTGCAGACTCTTTTACTGCAGCAGGAACAACACTCAGTAAGTCTCAGACCCTCCACAATTTGAGTATGTTTTTGTTCAATAGCAATTGTGTAGGGCTCCCTTGCCTCTCTTCTCGACATTTGAGGAGGAACTCGAGTTTCTGGAGGACTATGATCTCGATTACGCCCGTGCCTCACTACTTGAATCTCACTCGAGGTACTATGAGGCCGCAGAGCTCCACTTGTCAGAGAACAGGCCCCTGGAAGCTGTCCAAGCATTCATCAAGGACGACGACAATGTCGATTCTACTGTCCGTGCGGCCGACACTATATTGGAATACCTCTGGCGCAAATGTTCTTTTAGAATCACTGCCAAAACTGCCTTTGTTGATGAGCCAATGCGGCATTTCATCGCTCTCGCTAATCAGCTAGAGATGAGCAAACTCAAGCCGGCGACGCGTGATTTAGTACGTACAAGTAGTCTTCAAGTGACCAAGTAGACTGATCAGCATCCAGATATCGATGTTTCAGAACATCTTGCGCGAAAACCATGGGATGTTGGAAAATCTCGCGCTTGCCTTCGATGAACATAAAAACAACCCAGCGGCTCTCCTTTGCTTGGACCACGTCTTCTCTCGAAGCACAGACATTCGATCTTTCGCGGTCGATGAAATGCAACGGTTCCTCCAACAGTTTCATTCTTATGCACGACTGCTTTATCAAATTTCGACCTTTCCTGACCCCGTGGAGCATCGCGGTATTCAGAGACTGTTCTCCATCGTGCGGTTGTCCGGTGACGAGTTTGTCATACCAGATGGAACGTTCCTCCACCGCTGTGTGACGGAAATCCGCCAAGGCATCACTTTAGTTTCGGAACATCCATCCGGGTACACAGCCTCTCGCAGAAATGTTACGCAGCTGCTACAACTATCCATTCGAACTGTTTTGAAAGAAAAAGTGTCGGAGATCGATGCTATGTGTTGCACATCCCCCGTTTTCTCGCAATGCCTACCATTCTTGGTTTCTGGAGTATGTCGAAGAGATAACTGTCCCCAAGAGCATGTCGCGATATCGAAATTGGATCGCTTGTATTACAACAACCGTGTTGCCATCCACATCTGGCAGATTCTCATCTTGCAATTCATGTATTCCGCTCATCCATACATGGAACGACGCGATAGGTGCGCCTGCAGGTAGCTTCTGATCGAGTATTTATACTGACCACTTGATTAGCATGAGGGACTGGCTCACTCATCTTTACGAGGCTCTTAATCCACCCTTCTTCATTCAAGGTTCTCCCGCGGACCTTGATATGAGCCTAATGCCTTTTCGTCTAGATGGTATGAAAGTGGTGAAACTCTGGATCCGCGAATCCTTCTATTCGCTTGACCCGTTCTGGACTAACTCTCAGTTTTTGACGGCTGTGATGAGGATCACTAGTTTGAGTTTTGCGTTTGACAGAAACGACGCATCTAGCTACATCTCTCGGGCAAAATGTATGGTCTCCAGGCCGGCGGAGCTCATTCGCAGAGGAGACAATCGCTATATGCTCAAGGACCTGCTCAATTCTTACCAAGGAGCTATCTGCAGCAGCGTCTCGTCGGGAATTCTGTTTCTTCTGTAAGTTTCCTCCTTGTCTCTATGTGTGATATACTCAGCGTCATTTAGCCATGTCCTCGACAACCGTTTGTACACCAACCTCTCTGTGCTGTGCGATTGCATCGAGGACGTCTGCAGTGCTTTTATAATTAAGTATCGAATGGACCCAGGATTTAATGACTTCCCCCTCCACGGCGTCGTCCTTCCATGCAACTGGCTGCTGTCTCCCCACAAATTTACGGCAGAGAAAGAGACTAGGATGGTTTTGATGGACTACCTCCTGAATGAGATAGCGAGGCTGGTCGAAGCATTGCGTGTGGAGGCCGGCATGGGTGAGTTTCTCCACTTTTCAGAGATCTTCCGAGACTACGATTGAGCAGAATTCCTCTGGATGAACCATACAAAACTTACGCCCATTCTCCGTAATATCTTCATTTCCCGGATGTAGGTCCAACTTGGTATCTGCTCATCGATGATGCACAAACTAACCACATGTAATGCAGCTGCAGAGTTCTCTGCCTTCGTACGTTTTTTGTTGCGTTCAGAATCAATTGGCTGCTGAATTTAATTCGTTAGTTGCTCATAATACCAGGAATCGCTTCTTGAAAGACAAAGTAGACAAGATCATGCTTTCCCTGCACAAGAACAGCCCTCCTTCGAATTGGCGTACAGCCAACTATCGAAAAATCGTGGATGACGTGGTCAAGTACATGACACCCTTGCCAGGACGGCCGCCTACCTTAGACGGTTACGTGCGAGCTCTCCTAGCTTTCGACAACAACATAGGAGTGAACAATTTGGTGCACCTTGTCCACAAAACGATGGACCAGCGTACCCGAGGCTATACAGTTCGTCGGCTCGTATTCGAGAAGGTCACCGAGATTCCCCATCTCCTTTCATCATATGCAGTAATCGCACAGTCTACTCTGAGAGTGGAGGCCCCGACCTTTGTGCCTCGCTTAGAGCATTCCAAGGACCAACCAGAGGTTACGCAGCACGATGAGAAAGAGATGACGGAACCGCAACCTCAAGAGTTCGACGGAGAAGACGAAAAGGAGGAGGATGTCGTGGCGAATGTTGATGCCGAGACCCGTGATGCGTCGGAGAGGTTGGATGAGGCGGTGACGTCGCTTGCGCCTGATCTCGATGAGTCGCTGCGCTCTAACGGACCATCAGTGGCGGAAGAAAAGGCAGCTTGCGATATTCAGAACACATACCGCCGTTACGTTCGACGTCGCTCGAGTCGTGCAGTGAATGCCGAAATCGATGCGATATTCATGACATGCCTGAAGGAGACGCAGTCCTCTGAATGGCGTCCGGGTCATTACAGCTTCCTTTTCCTTGGACCATTGCCTCACCTTCTGCTGTGCCTGGAACGAGGCATTGCATTGACTCGCGCTGCCAAAGCGAAGACGAAAGGCCTTCTCAACAAAGAGTCTCATGAAAAGCTTGAGCAGTTGGGCCGGCAGAGAAGCGAGATCGCGTTCGTCTTTACTTACCTAGCATCATACAATAACTAACACCGTCCTGTTTACAGAAAGCTCCTCAAGGAGGGATCGAAATTGCGCAAGCAGCTAGAACCTTCCTCGCCGGCCCATCGTTCCCGTGACATTGATGCTCTCAAACGTGCAGTTCTAGAGGTCAAGGAATTCATGCAGAGGGTTCCCAGCAATATGCAGGATATGCAATCCGAGTTTCAAGTGGCCTATAAGGGAATTGTCGCAGAGAAGAAGGTTCCGGTGCGCAAGGAGAAAGAGAGACCCGTTCTCAATGTCGAGGATATCGACGACTATTAAGATATTGCTTAGGTTGTGAAGAGGCGAGACCGCTATCTCATCGTGTAACAAAACATTGTACAGTACGTATTCCCGTAATAAATGACTGTGGGCGAGGGCAAACGAAGGCGGCGCGCGCCCCACTATGGTTAATCATTAATCGTTGTATACAGGATCTTCACAGCAGAGACCGTTTTGCAGTGGATCTCATTGCTAACCTTCTTCATCTTCTTTTATCGCAGGTGCGATATCCTGGGCCCGGGATCAGCTCACCGCGTCACGCTGGCACTCGACGTTTCTGCTTTCCAGATGGATGTCAATGGCCAACTTCGACTAGCGCCTATTGCCACAGTCGTAGGCAACTGGCACCTCTCCTTTGCATTCTTCCCCATTGGCACCCACTGATCCGATGCTGGGGTACAAGTTGAAGCCAGTTCCGCTTTATCTGCAAGGTTACGCTAACATGGGGATATCAGGTGGAGGAAGCACCATATCACAAAATTCTGCCTGTTGAAACCATCAATATTGACAGGGTATTGATTGACATAGTAGTGGGAGGAGGATCATGTAAAGAAAAATTCCCTATCGCGTTTGCCTTGCAACGTGCAAATCTCAAGGCAAAACGGCAAGTACTAGTAGAAAGTCCGCGGCAGTTATATTCAAAGTCCGCAGCTTTCATGCCGAACTTTGTATCATCGCCGCTTGTTCTATGTAAATATCACTGTACTAAGTTACACTTCGATTTGACTTCGATCGGGAGTTGCGCATCCAAGTACTTCGCATCCATGAAGGTCGGACACGTCCATATAGGTTCAGTACCCTTTCTTTTGAACATCTTCTCGAAATCCAGATCTCAATGTTGGTCCAAGTTTGTTTCGCCAAGCCAGTCTGGGCCTGGCCCGACTGGGCATGTTGTCAACGCCTTGAAGCTTTAAGTTCAGAGCCTTCGAGCACGTTTGAGAGCTTGTCTTTGCACCGTGACCTTTGCCTTTGGTGTACCAACCATTCAAGTGCTCTAGTCCTTGTCAAGTTCTTTGCGTTTCTCTATGACAAACTCTTCTAGTTCCACCCACATGTTGGAACTGTTTTCAACCAATCGATTGGCCGACGAAACAGGCCTCAGAGCTGCCTTGCGTCACTTAGACGCTCTAGGAGGTCACAGTGAATTACAACATGCGGTCGAGCATCTGCTTTCTCTCCCTCATGTTTTCGCATACATTGTCTCTGGTATCTCGCAGACTTTATTTCTATGCCATCATCTGACCCCCTGAATAGTTTGGGATCGCTCTGTTGAAATGATCTCACAAATAATGGTCGACTTTCCTACAGACGCCCAAGAGTACCGCTCATCCCTTGCGCACAAGATGCTGGACAATCTGTCCGTTCACGTTCTAGCCCTACCAGTTGAGTCTTTGGCGAGGGATGTCGCGATGGACCTTGGCCGTTACAGGTCCTTCATTCAGGGCGCATCGCCCGTGCTTTGTGCGTTGAGCACTATGAAATTTGCCGACGTAAAGTCGCTTGAGAACGATTTCGATCTCTTCGGAGTCGAACCTGATGACAGATTTGTCAACATGCAAGCGTCCCGGGCCATGCGCAAGCGTGATTGCCAGAATGCTCGTGTAACCATCGATGCGTCACTCTTCGCCACAATTGGCATGGATGTACCTTCCACAAGTGAGGCAGCCACATCGCTGTCCACTTACATTTTCGCAGAGCTGAAAAAAATCCTCTCGGTGTGTATTTTCACGATGTACTCTTTGACGTTTCCTGACAGCTCCCCTAAGTTCTACCTCTCGCTTCTGCGGAGGACGGAATTAGCGGGCGACATCAAAGCCTTGCTCTTCCCAAATGTAGAAGAGTCTGCCAAAGATGTTGCGCCTGACGTTTCGTTCCCCGAAGACGCCGAGAGCTCAACAGAACCAAGTGCATACCCAATGGTACAACCCATGAAGGCTGCTCTTTACTTCGACGACGCGGATGGGTTCGGAGAGTGGCGAATCCTGATATCAACCGAGGCATATAAACATTTGCGTGAACACCGTCGAGCGGACAAGAAAATATTCAAGATCATCTACAAGAAGATCAAGTACGTCTTTCGATGCTATTTGTATCACTGATCTTATATTTGCTACAGAGATCTCTCGCAGGGCCACTTCTCGACCGACAATTACAAGAGACTCAATGGACCGGATGCAGGCATTCCCATCTTCGAAGCCAAGATGACCAGGGACCTACGGCTGGTGGTAGACGCATTTTCCTAGACACTCTGGGCGGGGGATAACCTACTTTCTTTTGCAGTACCAGATCGATTGCGTCCCTGACCCGCATGGCCAGGTATGTAATTCTCCACAAAGACCAACACGTGATGCTGAAGCCGATTCTTGACAGTCCGAGAGACAAGGTGCGCCATCATGCAACCAAGAGTGAACATTAGGCTTTGACCTCATGCGAATCCCAGCCATCAAGGTATACGGGATCTATAAACACTCTGAGCTTGGCAGAATATGGAATGCCTTGGGCAATCATCTAGCACGCAGGGGTGCGGAATATCGTAGACGGTTGAGAACACCTCATCTATCGATGCGACATACTGAGTCATCGCTCTTATAGATGCATATTTCGGACCAAACTTGCTGACAACGTTATTCTGCCGGCCTCATTCCCGCCAGCGGAACCCGAGCCAGAAATTGCGGCAAGCCCACTGGATCTCAGTGCCCAGGACATGGAGCATGTTGAGTGCTTTCACCTTTCGGCCGCACAGTGATTGATCTGTGGTGCAGCTTCACTCTTTGCTTGTGTATGAATGAACGTTTTGCAATTTACACATGGTGATTGACAATTTTCTAGCCTAGAAAAATATGTTACATTCTCGCAAGTACGTTTATCTGCATATAGCTATTCGATAAGCAATAACTTGATCATGTCTCCTCAGGCATTTTTGCACAGTGAGTAGCCGAATATCAAGTCATTCACATCTTCTCATTCCTACAAAAGGTCTCATCGCAAATCAAGATGTACATCATGTCTTCATGCTCTCGTATGTTTTACTGCTTTGAAATGAGTTAGTGATTGACATTGCTTAAGTCCACAAGAACAAAAAGTAGTCGATTGCGCTACGTCGTGCTATGTCTTGGGTCGCAGCGGCACAGGGTAAGTACCTCGTGCTCAAGATTGCTCATGTATTTATCTTGGGGGTCACCAGAAAAACAACGACGATGCTGTTCAAGATCCTTGGCATTCAGCGAGCCTGGCAATCAAGTGCCATTGACATGCCTAAGCCACGTCAAATTTTTGTTACTAAATCTATAATGTTGGCGACAGAAGTGGAAGAATACTTCACGAGGCTTCTCGAGTCCCTTGCAATGGGAGGCTATACGCTGCACGAAATTGCGAAACTCAGGGCACAACGCATCGAAGCCGATCTTATTGATCTTGATGATGCTCCTGAGTCGCAGGTGAATGTACCGACGAGATACAGCCAACTCGAGGACAAGCATTTCCCCTTATTCGTGACTTTTGATCGAGTACGTCACCATGTGTTTCACAGATCGTCTTAAAGCTCATTTTGTTTAGCTAGCAAAGATGATCGCAGCCGACATCTTCAACATGGATGATCCTGAGACGAAGCATATCGCCGAGCTTTTCTTCGACACTGACGATGCAGAGGCGCGCGACTCATTTGTCACCTATGATGTATTCGCAAAGCAATATTGGCCACATTTTCCGCAGGGTCTCACCAAGAACTTTAGTAGTGCTGATTCTCTTTCTGTCAGATGATGAACTCACACGTTTTACCCAGGTTCATGGCTGGTTTTCAGCGAGTTTATGGGCAAGTACAAGTCCGCATCCAATCAAGCAGTTACTGAACCGCCTTACAGGTATCATCAAAGGCTCCGAACAGACGTTGGGCTTTCCGGATGGATTCCTGGACCGCCCAAGCTACCTTGGTCTTCCCTTTCGCTCCAATCCGACCTTTGCAAACCAGAGAGACACTCTCTATGACATGTTCGAGATCTACAGAAAGTTCAAGAAACAGAAACGCCACTTCGATGTAGCGGATCGGTATGGGCCGTTATTCTCAGACTCGTTGGACCTCATAATTAATCCCAAACAGTACGCACGCAATACTCAAGGTCTTGCGAAACCAAAAATTTCCTGGTCAGCAGGTTGATTGTCTGTATGTATATCTCTCGTCTGGCTAGTTATAGATTTTGATCGGTTAAACCAGGTATGTCGATGAGGCGCAAGATAATCTTTTGATCGATGCGCTGGGTAAGTCATCGTTCCCTTCTTCAATATGAGAGCGTGAAGGAACTTTCCGTACTAGTTTTGAGGCGACTGTGTAGGAATCCAGATGGTCTTTTCTGGGCTGGGGATACTGCGCAGACGATCTCTGCCGGAAGTTCCTTCAGGTTCAACGATCTGAAAGCGTTTGTCTATCGCATGGAGGTCAGCAACCTACTTTTGTGTCCCGGGATGCGAATTGATGTCTTCCGACAGCAGCAACGTAACTCGGTAACACCCATTAGAGTCCCTGTGCATCAACCAACAATGTTCCAATTGGCAACCAACTACAGATCACACAATGGCATCGTGAACTGCGCTCATTCTGTCATCGAGCTCATCACGAAGTTCTGGCCAAACGCAATTGATCACCTCCAAGCTGAAAAGGGGGTGGTTGATGGAGTGAAGCCAATATTTTTCACAGACTTGGATGATGACACTCGCTGCAAACGGTTTTTGGTCGGGGAGAGGTAAGTAGATCATCTTAATCTTCATTACTCCCCTTCTGAGATTCTCGTAGTGCGAGTAACTCAGGGCTTGGACACCGCCAGTGTAAAAGTTACTGCCAAAGATTCTATTCATGTTCTGAAAAGTCATTCTATAGGCATACTTGTGCGTAACGAAGCAGCGGTCAACAAGTTGCGAGAACAACTAGGCAATATTGGAATGATATTGTGAGTCGTCTCACAATTATGTATGCTCCATGATTTTTATGTTTACGCGTCTGCTTAGAACGCTCCATGAGAGTAAAGGCCTTGAGTTCGAAGATGTGAGAACACTGACCTTGACTATCTGACGGGTGACTGACTCCGGTCAGGTTTTCTTGTACAACTTTTTCAGAGATTCCGCCGTAGATGCATTGTGCTGGCGGGTAGTTCTCAACGGGGTGCAGGGTCAAGGATATGCACCTGATTTTTATCGTGACGAGACTCGATACGCTGGAATATGCAGTGAAGTGAGGACATCGTTCGTCATTCAAGGAATAGACGTTACTCATTTTTATTAGTTGAAACATCTCTACGTGGGGATTACCCGAGCAAGGAGGAATGTATGGATCTTTGATACATCTGACAAGTCTGATGCTATGCGTGTACGTCTAGACTGGCTGCATCCTGGGCGCTACTTGATTCAAAAATCCTCTATCCTCAGATTTTCTGGGAGTCTCAAAAACTAATCCATACCTGTTCTCGCGGCACCGATGTTCCTCCTCTAGCTGTCACCTCTACTCCGGAAGAATGGGCATCCTCCGGGCGCTCAATGTTTTTTCATAAACACTACTCGCAGGCTATTCATTGCTTTCAGCGTGCTGGCCTTCGCCGCGAAGTGGAGGTTTGCGAAGCTTATCTACTACGGGAAGCAGCGCGTTCCAGTGCCGGAGTGGACTCGCTAAATGTTCAACGAAGAGCTTTTACCACGGCAGCAGATGCCTTTGCTGACTGTGGCGCAGCTGCGACGGGCCGTGAGAGTCGTCAATATTACCGCACCTCGGCGGCTTGCTACGTCCGAGGTAGACAGGACCTCAATGCCGCTGACACCTATCTCAAGGCTGAAGAGTTTGAGCTAGCTGCAAAGACATATCGCAAGACTGGATCTTTTGACAAGACACTCCATGTCCTTACCAATCACCGCACCATGATACCTGAAACGACCGCGAAAGATTTGTGGACTGTATGCCGATTTCATTACTGCAGCAGAAGCATCAATCAGTAAGCAACCGCAGCTTTGCTATTATTTTGTCTAATAGCTATCGCACAGAGCTCCCGTGCCTCTATTCTCTTCGGTTGACGAGAAACTCGAGTTTTTGGAGGAATATGACTTGGATAATGCTCGTGTTTCTTTACTCGAGTCTCACTCGAGATACTACGAGGTCGCAGATATCCACTTATCAGAGAACCGCCCCATAGAAGCAGTTCAAGCATTCCTCAAGGACAACGGAAACACTGATTCAGCTGCTCGTGCGGCTGACACTCTTCTGGAATTCATGTGGCACAAATGCTCATTTAGGATCACCCGCAAAGCCGCCATTGCTGACGACTCAGTGCGACACTCTATTCCCCTCGCTGATCGGCTGCTACTGAAGAAACTGGAGCCCGCGACTCGTGATTTGGTAGGTATCACACATTACGGAGATGTATTAATTGACCTGTTCCGTATGTAGGTCTTGATGTTTCTGAGCATCTTGCGAGAAGATCGTGGGTCGTTGAAGAAACTCGCTCTTGCCTTCCAGAAACGCGATCATCAAACTGCCGCTCTCCTTTGCCTGGATCACTTTTTCGCTCGGGTGACAGACATTCGTCCTTTCCAACTCCACGAAATGGCAAGCTTCCTTGAAACGTTTCACACCTATGCGCAAATCCTCTATCAAATTTCGACTTTGCCTGACCCCCTAGGGCGCCGCGAATGCGATGTACAAAGACTGTTTTCGATTGTGCCACTTTCGGGAGACAAGTTTCTCATTCCGAGTGGGACATTCCTCTACGATAGCGCGACAGGAACTCCTGAGAACAGGCGTCTGGTCTCGGTGCATCAGCTCGGATATACGGCCTCTCGTAAAAACGCGACGGAATTGATCCATCTGTCCATTCGAACTGTCTTGAAGGACAAGGTTTTGGCAGTCGATGAAATGTGTTGCGGTGCTCCGGTCTTTTTGCAGTGCTTGCCGTTCGTTATCTCTGGGACCTGTCAAAGAGAGCGATGCCCCCAGGAACATGTCGCGATATCGAACTTGAACCGCATGCAATACAACGCCCACATCGCAATCTATATGCAGATTATTCTCATCTTACAACTCTTGTATTCTGCACATCCTAGTACGAAACAATGGGAAAGGTGCGCCCAGTGAATGGTCTATGAACGGAGCACACTAATACTGTTGTTAGTATGAGGGACTGGCTCGAACACCTGTACGAGGCGCTGACTCCGCCCTTGTTCATTCAAGGTTCCTTTGCGGACCTTGATTTGACACTCATTCCGCATGGCTTAGCTGGCTTGGGGGTGGTGAAGAACTGGATTCGCGAATCCTTTTATAGATTGAACCCGTCCCAGAGCCAGTTTCTAACGACTTTGATGAGAATCACCAGTTTGAGTTTCGTTTTCGACCGGGATGATGCTCCTGCCTACATTTCTCAGACAGTGTTTCTCGCCCCAAATATTTCCACCAAGCTCCTCCGCAAACCAGATAATCACTACCTGGTGAACGACATGCTCAATTCTTACCGAGGAGCTACGCAAAGCAGTATATCGTCGGGAATTATGTATCTACGGTGAGTTCGCGCCTTGTGTTCACATTCACGTGCTAATACTCTCCAGGCATGTCCTCGACAACCGTTTACACGTCAATTTGTCTGTTCTATGCGACTGCATTGAGGGTATCCTTTCCTCTTTCGTAATCAATCACCGAATGAAACCCACCCCCAACGTCCCTCCACTTCATGGTGTTGTTCTCCCGTCCAACTGGTTGATCTCCCCCTACAATTTTTCTGTGGAAAAATACGTCGAACCAGCGTCAGTGGGCTCACTCTTGGATGCGATAGGGAATCTCATAGAGATGTTGCGTGTGAATGGCGGCATGGGTAGAACCTTTGTACACTCCGCAGACCGTCCTTGATGCTCACGATTCAGTAGATTTTCTGTGGCTTGCACATAGCACAATTATCACGCCGTTACTTCGCAATGTTTTCATCTTCCGGCTGTAGGTCCAGTTTACTACCTATATGCACAATGAGCCACTCATCCCTACACATTCGCAGTTGCAGGACTCTTTGCCTTGGTGCGTCTGCTCCAGCCTGTCCGAATTCAACAATTTTTAATTAACCATAACAGTTGCTCACAACACATGGTACCCCATGGTCAAGCGCAAAGTAAATTCAATCGTGCTTCATCTGCGCAAAAATACTAGACATTGGCGCCCTGCATACTATCAAAAACTCGTGGACGACATAATTGAGCATATTGCGCTCTTGCCCGGCAGAGGAATGCCTCGCGTGGATGGCTATCTCCGAGCTGTTCTCGATTTCGACAACAACAATGCTGCGAGCGATCTTGTCGAACTTGTTCACAAGACGAAGCGGTCTACTCAAATCTCGTCGGTACGACAACTGTTTTACGAGAAGGCTAGTGAAATTCCCTATCTTCTTTCTTCGCACGTGGTCGCTGCACAGTCTATGCTGAGGGCGGAGGCAGCCACCTTTGTGCCTCGTCCCAAAGATGATGTAGAAATTCACCAGGACGAGAAGGAGAACTTGGAGCCGACACCCCAAGAATCCGATGGAGGGAAAGTGGAGGAGGAAGAAGTCCCAGTGGTCATTGATTCTGAGGCCGATGATGGCATGGAAAACATGGATGAAGCAATCGCATCCCTTGACCCTGTGCCAGACACGTCTCTTCGCTCCAATGAACCATCAGAAGAGCAACACAGTGCAGCTCGCAAGATTCAGAATGCATACTGGCGTTACGTTCAACATCGCTCGGGCCCTGCAGTAGATGCGGAAATAGATGCGATATTCACAACATGCTTCAAGGAAACGCAGTCCCCTGAATGGCACCCGCGTTATTACCGCCTTCTTTTCCTTGGACCATTGCCCCACCTTTTAGCGTGCCTGAGAAAAGGCGTTACTCTAGCTGATGCTGCCAAAGCGAAGGCGAAATCCCGTCTCAACGAGGAGTCCCATGAAAAGCTCGAGGAATTGGTCAAGCAGATAAGCGAGATCACGTCAGTCATGACTTACCCAACATCATACAATGATTAACGTGTAGTCTGAATCTTGTTTACCAGATTGCTCCTCAAGAAGGGTTTGCAATTGTGCAAGCAGCTAGAGCCTTCCTCACCAGATCATCGTACCTGCGACATCGACGCCCTCAAACGCGCGGTTTTGGAGGTCGAGGAATTCATTCAGAGGGTCCCCGGCAGCACGAAGGATATGCGAATCAATCTTCAAGTGGCGTATAAGGGAATTGTTGCAGAGAAGAAGCTGTTTCGCGTGCGAAAGGAGAAACCTGCGCTTAACGTCGAGGAGGACCTATAGATCCAGTTGTTTGAGACCGTGATCCGATAGTGTTGTGTAAGATTGTGTACCAATACGTACTTAGTACTTAGTCTTCTATCTTTTTTAATCTCAGTCGTTCCTCCATTATCCAACATCAAAAATGGGAGCATGGGCGACACAACTACTGGAACTAATTTACGCCCGCCATGTTCTCGACGAGCGAGTGGGGTTAGTTCACTCATGATAATCGATACGGAACGAAAGTATATCCAAGCAAGTGGCTCATCAAAGCGGTACAAGGGGAATTCCATCGTCAGCGGAGTGCCACCCCTTTCAAGTTACATTGATGATCGGCCGATTTAAGCCTGCGATGAAAATGCAAACTTGCGGTAACTTGAACTGTCATGAGGTGTTATATATTTATACCCCCAATCCCATGTTTACATACTAGAACAGTCGTTGAATATATGTTACTGCCCTTACCAGTCATGAGCGTAGTTTGTGATGGAATACCAGGGTACACTACCCGCGAAACATTATTTTCCTGCTCTAGGTTTTCATCTTCTTAATCATTGTCCGTCGGAGTCACTCTCGGCGAGTCAGCAACCAGCGGCACCCACGCCAGGTCAGCACCCGGTCTCGTCCACGCAGAGCGCTTCGTGTACGCAGCACTGACAGCCTGACACTGTAAAGCGGACACAGGATGTCACGTGTAATTAAGAAAAAAAGACCAGTTGAACGACTCATGGGCGCCCAACCATCTTGACAAACACCCACCATCTTACAGCCCGTGCCTCCGATCGCTAGTGACTGAATTGGTCTGAACGGATCTCCTTGTGAGTGATGCTCTAGCTCTTGGGCAGGACAAAGTTTGACCAGTCACTTCGCAGCGACTTTGGACTCCTGCAAAGATATCTTGCATATTCTTGAATAACGGCCCAGCAATTCCTGTGCACGATCCTGAAGCCGTCCTGGTGGGCTAGGATTGAATCTAGATTGTCTCGTGAGCAACGTATTGTGATAAAATATAAGCCCGTGGACTCACCAGAGATCTTTACCCTTACCAGATAACTCGTTCTACCCCGGCGGGCTCTTCGCATAAGAAATCCACAATCGGCTGTGAGACACTAAGCGCTAACCATGTCTTCCCCTGCCAGTATAAAGCAACAGATTCCAGCAGTCAAGCCCCGTCAGACAATGAGAGGTCACACCCGCCAGATAGAAGGCGTTGTGCACCTACCCGACGGACAACGCATCATCACAAGTTCGTGGGACGGCTCACTCAGACTATGGAGCCTGGAGAGCGGTACACAAATAGGTGATGACTGGCGAGATGAGGGGACTTTGGGATTAGTGTTCAGCATGGCATTGTCTCCAAATGGTAAAACCGTTGCGAGTGGAAACGATGATGGGACAGTAAGGTTATGGGATGTGGAGACGGGAAAGGTCATCGCCAAATGGACAGGGCACACTGAGTATGTGCGGGCAGTGTGCTGGAGTGCAGATGGTGAACGCGTAGTGAGTGGATCAGAGGATGGGACGGCAAGAGAGTGGGATGTCGAGAGCGGGAAAACAATACTCGGTCCAATCAAGACAGGGCACAAGAGGGTGTATGGGGTGAGCTACTCCCCCGACGGATCAAAAATTGCGACAGGTGGATTTGATGAGAGCGCAGTAAAAATCTGGGATGGGAAGAAGGGCAAACTGCTGAATACAATCAAACATGATTGGGGTGCTTGTTTGGCGTGGACATCGGATGGAAAGAAACTTATCTCTGGTTCTTATCGCTCGATTAGGATATTCGACACTGCCACTTGGAAGCAGGTTGGCACTCTCGAGGGTCACACATGGTGGGTCAACCTCGCCTTGTTCCAGAATGACCGCCTTCTTGCAAGCGTATCATGGGATAAGACAGTCCGTCTGTGGAATCTCGACACAAACCTCCAAATAGGACAACCCATCCAACACGAAGATTCCGTGTACTGCGCAGCCTTTTCCGTTGATGGAAAGGCTCTGGTGACGGGTTGTCGTGACACAAACGCGTATGTGTGGGATGTCTGTGCCATTCTCAAAGAAGCTGGCCTTGAAGACCTACTATCCATTTCTCATGTGAGTATAAATATCATGTCTATTAAACATCACACTAATCACACTTTTATAGGCCACACCTCGGAAGTCGTTAATGGAAGTACGTGTCGTGTTTCTTGACCTTGTCACTTGATTGAATATCAATATGGTAGACTACTGCGACGCGACGTCCAGCACAGAAAGATACCCATCGAATACCGCCAGGCTTTTTTGATGGCGCGCGAGACGGTCAGTCCACTACACACCGCCACCATGGTGCTCTCGCACCCTCTCCAACCGTGCTCTTTGGTCGCCTTTCTTCACTCTTCCGCAACTCTCAAACCACCACCAGCGAACCAACCGAACTCCAGCAACGCCCAACGCGAACTACACGTTCTCGTCGCGGTCCTCATACCGCTGAAGTTGCCGCAGTACGAGACAAACAGGTATAACTTCTTCAGGTACTTTACAATTTCTGTGGTTCGATGATTTCTCTGCAGGCATTGTTTGTTGCTCGACAAGACCGTGACAAGGCGAAACAAACACCGCGGCAGCAGCAGCAAAACCAAGCCCAGCCATCAACATCGCAAACCCAGCCTGTCACTGCCGCGTCGACTTCTACGACACCTCTGGCTCCTAATACTAATACACCAAGTGGAACAACCGCGCAACCACGCCCTATCCCCTTGTGGGCTCGTTTGGTGCTTTTTCTCTGCTGTGCATCTCCTCCACACAGCAATGGTCATTAATACAGACGCAGCACATAGGTACCTACATGTTTCATCATTGTTTTATTATCTGTCACCTGTGTATTTAGCTTATAGTTCATCATCAATGACGTCCATCTAGTATTTCCACAACTTCCTCACACTCGGGTTGGTTTCAAAGCGGTGTGTGAAGCAGCCTTGATGGTACTCCGCAATCCTCTGTCTATGGTGATTAATTGGTCACTTCTATGCTACACGAATATCAAATCCCCATGGTGCATCTTTCGCCGTCCAGCCCGTAAGTATACACTTAATTAGTGCAATTTCAGCGGTATTGATGGCATGATTGAGCAGCCTCGCCCATTGTACAGGAATTCGGTCCTGACTGATGTGCACCGTGAAATTGCCGTGCAAGCTTGGTGTACATGCGATAGGTGTGATTGCTTGTACAACGCTGGCGCGCCAATATCCATCTGATTTAGCAACCACCCAAAATTCATGTGCTCGATACGAATCATTACTTTCAAATTCAGTTCTTTGGCAGAGTCCCTCGAGCCCAAACGTATTAAAATTCTCATCCGACAGAACCCTAGCTAGGGCGATGGAACAAGGCTGGCTTCAACTTCGAAGTGAGAATTCACATCGGTACGTGTACATTGTCGTCCGATGGTATTGAGCGATTGGAACCAATGCTACTACTTTTCACGATGTCCCGATCGAGAAACACGCCGAATTATGCTCTTATGACAGCCGATCACTGTGTTGCTCGACATACAGATATCATAGATGAATGGACAATGAGCTAGCTTGTGAGCCTTACAAGCACCTAGTAGTACAATCCCGGCGTGGTTACATCTCAAATCCTGTACACACACGAGCAACGTGAAAGAAAAATATCAATGCGCGATAACAAGATAGCATGACATCCGATAAAATCGACAGTTTCAGACCCGGGACTGAGATGACTCTGCAGCTTCAATGAGATGTTCCTATGCACGCATGTCAGGTGGTTAATCACAAAAATAATTGGAAATCAGCACACCTTTGCAATTGTCTGCCCTTCGGATAAAATGGCGAGGCAAGACTGTAGACCCTTCAAACACCACTGCCGTTCAAGCCAAGCGAGGAGATACTGATTCCAGAAAGAGTTGAATGTATGATAAAGCGCGCCGTTCCTTGGTTCCAGCTGAGCTCGCGAGAGATGGACGGCCCAATTTTGGCATGCATACTTTAGAGAATCGGAAGTTGATCCACTTCGCTCCCGTGCTTCAGTTGCGAAAATTGTGAACGCGGTCATAGCATGGATGACCTCAATGTCTGGACGATCTGGTGGGAATGCAGAGATGGAATGATTTTGGGGCCTTAATGCCAAGAACACTGGAAACATCAAGAAATCTGGTAAGCTCTTGAACTCCTGGATTACTCGAAAAGCTGGTGGTAAAGGCAATTGTGGGCTTATTGCGTATTCGCTGATCGTTTCCAATGTGTTCGAGAAATCTTCCATTGTTACCCAGACAGACGCCGCAGGGGTCAATTGCCATGCTTGCCCATGGGGGGTCTGGAGCCACCCTCGCCCGCTCTGGGTCTGGAGCCACTCTCGTCCGCCCTTGGTCTGGAGCCAGTCCCGCCCGCTCGGGGTCAGTAGCCAATCTTTCCCGGGCTGCATCTGCAGCCATTCTTGACCACTCTTGGTCTGCAACCCATCTGGGGTCCGCAGCCACTCTCTCCCGTCTGAAGAATAAAGCCATTGTCGCCCTTCTGCGGTCAGGAGCCACTCTTCCCCGCTCTGGGTTAGCAACCACTCTCGCCCACTCTGGGTCAACAGCCACTCTCGCCCGTGCCAGGTCTGCAGCCAATACGTCCCGGTTTGCGTCTGCAGCCACTCCCTCCCGGCCTGCGTCCGCAACCACTCTCGTCCACTCTGGGTCTGCAGCCGATCGTTCTCGGCCTGCGTCTGCAACCACTCTCGCCCGTGCCAGGTCTGCAGCCAATCTTTCCCGGCCTGCATCTGCAACCACTTTTGTCCACTCTGGGTCTGCAGCCAATCTTTCCCGACCTGCGTCTGCAACCACTCTCGTCCACTCTGGGTCTGCAGCCATCCTGTCCCGGCCTGCGTCTGCAACCACTCTCGTCCTCTCTGGGTCTGCAGCCATCCTGTCCCGGCCTGTGTCTGCAACCACTCTCGTCCTCTCTGGGTCTGCAGCCATCCTGCCCTGGCCTGCGTCTGCAACCACTCTCGTCCACTCTGGGTCTGCAGCCATTCCGTCCCGGCCTGCGTCTGCAGCCATTTTGTCCCGGCCTGCGTCTGCAACCACTCTCGTCCACTCTGGGTCTGCAGCCATTCTGTCCCGGCCTTCGTCTGCAACCACTTTTGG